GATATTGGTTATCGAATTTATTTAAAAGAAAGACAACAATACATAGCTTGAGCAATAGCCTGCATCCTCCTAGTAAATATTTTGTCTCCTTCAAATATGATAATTTTTTGTACCTGTTTAGTAATAGCATATCGCAAATAGGATACATAATTTATAGCTCCACCCATCTTGGGCCAACTTCTAGGGTCTACAAGGCAGTGTTTTGATGCCCCCAATTGCAATAAATGACCTATCAATACCAGACCTTTCAGAGAAGTTTTTTTTTTATTTTAATATTTTTAGGTTGTATTAAAAAACAAACAACGAAAAATAGTACCATCCCAACCATCTAGCAATGGTCGTAAAACGTGTATTTGCATTCTTACTAAATATCACGTTTCCATGCATTTAACAAATGAAATGAGATAAATGTAATTAGCAATGAAGTTTTTATCACGTAATAAACTAAAACAAGCTAGCAAATAATCCCCTTTAATTTAAAATTACGCCTTCCGTCTGAGAAAAACCATTAGATAAATTGACGCGTGAAATTTAAAACCCCAAGTTTGAAAAGTGAATTGATATTTTTTCCTGCCCGCTATATAACCTTGCAAAAACAAATATTTTTCTTGAGTTTGTTAACTGCGCCTTAAAGAGATTAATTTAAAAATCGATGGTCACATATTTGATTAAATTATGGTACAGATAACTCGCAGTTTCTTTCTTATCGCCAAATAGTTATAAATAATGAACTACATTGTAAATGCACTAATTTTCTAATCAAATTTATAACTTCTACTATCACTTGTAGTTCAATATTAGAAATAATAATAATAAATAGTAAAATAATATTCCATTTTTTTATATAATTATGTAAGTAATAATTACAATTAATATTCCACCTACTAATAGCGCAATCGCTAGTAGCGGACACGTGACAAACAGACATTGCTTACGTGTGCTAATGTATATTGTACAATAAGTTTGATAAACGTCATTTTAAAGCGGAGCAGAGTGACTGAAAAATTGCAACCTGATGCATGCACAAAGTTTTTGAATACATAAATCAGAACTGACAATCCTGGATATTTTAGAGTAGGAAGTAGAAAAACGTGATTTTTTCCACAATAATCTAGCTCAACTACAGGTCAACGACATGTTCACTGTTGCCTAAAATTACTTGCTGACTTACTGCAATAAGGCTATTAACGTTTTTATCTGCTCGTAGGCATGTTTGGGTCAACAAAAACAAATGTAAAATTGTAATTATATGTATAATAAATTAAACAAAATTTTTTAACTAAAGTGCTCTGAAGAGTAGCATTATCCTAAACTATTAGGCTGCCTAGTGGAATATATCTGCCTAGTGGAATATATGGAAGAAGACATTTTTTTTTCTCTCTAGCGGTAAAAAGGATCTCCATAAGCATTCAAAATGCATTGTACATCACTCCTTTATAGTGTCATGAGTGTCGAATGATGTTTCGTCTAAAATATTTCTAACTCCATTCCACCAATTTTTCGGTCTATTTAATTCAACTACGCTTGTCAATATTTTTTAATCTCAATGTGCGGAAATCGATGTAAAATTTCCGCGGTGTAGACATTACTTAAATAAAAATACCTTCTCGTAGTGACAAACACTTGTAAAAAGGCTTTTTATTGGTGTAGTGCACGGTTTATTGAGCGCTTTACAGGAGAGGCACGTTAACTGGGAAGTCTGGTCACCGTGCAGGTCGCTAAAACACCAATATACAGAATGAAACCCATTAAATGCTAGCATATTTTTCCGCATTTACGAGGAAATTTCCTTTACTTCCTTTACTTACTTATGAGGACAAATCCACTTTGCTTGCCGTTCTGAGTGAAGTTTCTACGTACATTTCTAGCGGAAGTCGCTCTTTTATATGTGAGTTTAGAATGTGATATATATATGTTAGCACTGTGCCATTCAGCATCCAGTTATAGCAAACGCTGTAACTTAACCGGGTTCAACGCGGGTGGTCCACACAAGCAAGTGACCGTGATTAATAAACCAGGATTAATTAATAAGATATATGAAGTATATGAAATGGTGCAGAAACTTATAACTGGTTTCCAATCCATTAGAAAACATGTATCACTTCTCTGTTGTGGAATTTTGTATAACACCCGAATCTGTAATAAAATATAATTCATTTAAAATTCCAAAGGTAGATTTCTGCATTTGCGAAAATATTTCTAAAATATAGTTTACTAAATGTGAAAACTTTTCAAATCAAATCAAACAGTTTTATTTGCCAGAATATATATAAACAATAGTAATTCTGCAATACACTTGCTCGGCAAATTGAGTACACAGTGATTATAAAAAAAACGACTACACAGGAACTGAACATACCTGTGATGTGTAAACACGTATTAAATGAAAAATTAAATATTGTAAGTATAAAAAAACTATTTTTACAAAGACACATTAGAGGGAGGAGACTCGCGCGCACTCAGACCGAGAGGCAGACAGAAAGGAAATAGAGACAGAATCTCGATAGCGACAGCTGGAGCCACAGAAAACCATAGCAGCATAGTATATATGAAAACTGCATTTATTTTACGGCATACACTTTGTTTCAGATATTTTTTATATATTTCCAACAAAAGTTCAATTTTTTTTTGGTAATTTGATATGATTAGGTATGGCATTCCAATTGCTCACAGCAACATAGAAGAAAGTTTTTTGAAAATTTTCAGTTTTGTGCGCAGCGGCAATCTAAAATCAGTATTTATCTGATGTTATAATAAAGGTCAAAAGCATGAAATAGCACTGTCAGATAGGGCAGATGACCACCATAGACAATTCTATTTAGAAAACAAAGCATGTGATATTTTCTACGATACTTTATATTTAATAATTTATTATATAATTATATTATATATAATTATGTGATGTCTAAAGGGTATACATTGTAAGCAAATCTCATGCATGAGTTTTGTAACTTCTGGATTTGTTGTGCCATCCGCAAGGGCAAAGAGCCCCACTAGAATAGATGGCAAATGTTGCTTAAAAAAGATTATTTTTTTTTAAAAGTATGTTGGAAAATTGAAGTTTATTTCCGACATGCGTTTCGAATATTACAGCCAAATTTTTTCCAGGCGTATTTTGATTTTTTATGTGTAAATTGGTCGTGACGAACTCCTCATTATTTTTGTTGCGAGCAAAAAGCAAACCTTGTGATTTCTCAGGATTGGAATTTAAATTGTGACTGAATGCATAATCAGGATTAAAATTATTTTGCGATATATGAAGAGTGCCAATATTAAATGACACGAGTTGTTGAGCTGACTGAATGCATTCACCCATGTCTGCGATGTAAATTGAAAATAATACTGGAAATTATGCTGTTTGAAGTTAGAAAATGGTAAATTTGATTAAACATATGTTTTTCAACAACTTTGGAAAGCGCATGGAGAATACTAATTGGTCTAAAATCCTTGAGCTCTTTTGACTGTGAAACTTTGGCTAGTGGCTTAATTATAGACTTTTCCAAATACTGAAAAAGCATTTTCCAAAAGACAGCTATTTACTATATTTAACAAATGATTTATACAAAATGGCAAACGTAACCTCAACAGAAATTCCATCCTTACCCGTAGCATTAGTTTTAATTTCGTTAGCATACTTTATTACATCACAGAGTTGAAAATTAAACTCCGGCATTCCATTCTCATAACTTTTTATATTGTAATACTGAATAATCTCTTGCGATACAGTGTCTGTAACTGTTGCACAGTCTTTAAAATAGTTGAGTAGAGTAGTTAAGTTGATGCGCGTTTAACAAATTTCCTGTCAATTCTTTGGTTTTGCTTTTAGTTAAGTTGATTGGCACTTTTTCAAAAACCTTTACCTTTTCAATTTGAAAAGTGATTAAAATAAGCTACTTTTTCTCGTATTATGGCGTGCTTTGTATAGTTTCTGGGTTGTCTATAGTACTGATGATATTCTAGTTTTCAAGTACTTGTTATGCGCTTTGTCTGCCAGACCTTTATGTTGTCAGTTATCCACTTGTTTTTGTTTTTTGTATTTCAGGGGAGCATATTTATTCAGAAAACTTAAAATATTAGTTTTTCGTTAATGTCCCTTTTCTTATATATAATATGCCAATTTATGTTTAGTTCACGCGCTATTTTTTGATATCCTATCCTAATTTGTGAATATTGAATTCTTTAGGACATATTGAATTTATTATATATAAGTAGGTAGATAATCTACATCCACAAGCTGCACATTTTCTAAATTTTTGCTGTTATCTCAATAATTAACACAAACTACAAATTTTAAAGATTATACATTGCGAAATTTGCAACACCATGTCTCCGTTAAACATTCAATATACTTGCTACTCATACTCCGTCATTTGCTTGTCTTCATTACCGAAAGATGAAAGGTTAAATAAATTTATCATTATTATTGTCGACAGTTACAGTCCAATTAAAGAAAATTCCGAACTACCGTCTATATGATAGATTATAGATAAGAGATATATAATACTTGTAAAAAATGGCAATGCAATTATGTCAAAATTTTGACGAATTTACTTAACCAAATTTTAATATCTTTTATCACGTCGTGCATTCGGAACCCGGCGGGTTCACCAAATCATAACTTCTGCGTCTTGCTTACTATAGGTATGTGGGAAATAAATCAAGATTGTATTTCTCGAAATACAAAACAATCGTTTTTATAAAGTAAACTTTGTTATTTTGTTTAATAATTGTATGAGAAGTGCTAAAAATAAAAACCAAAACCTTCTTCGTAATTGTGCTTTGATGATGAATGACAGCAGCAAGCAGAATGCACTGTTGCCAAGCTATTGAATTTAACTTTTTCTGAAAGTTTGTGATCGCCTCACAAACAGCGTTTATAAGAGACTGCTTGGGCTAAAATAACAATGTTTTTGCATCAAGTTGGAAAAAAAGACGGAAATTTTAATTCAAATTTTTCGTAAATTAAAAAAAAAAAATCTTTTAATTTTAATGTTTTGCAGCGACTAAAGTACAAGCGCCGACAATGACAGATTACTCTACGCAAAATCCAAATGTTCCTGGCTTGGAAGGCCAAAACCCTGCAACAAGGGGAGCTTGCCTCGGTTCCAATGCGTCTAGTCTGTTGAGCCTCAACTGTTTAAACACAGGAAGGACAAATTTCACTAACAAACAGCTGACTGAGCTCGAAAAAGAATTTCATTTCAACAAGTACCTTACAAGGTAAGTATAATTAATTTTTAAATGTAATGTTAGCCTACCTTGTAATATCTACATTATATAACAACTGGTCAAGTCATCAAATCAATTTAAATCCATAGATAATAGAATATAATAGCGTTTGAATTTAACAGCATTTTTTTACCGAACTTGAATATGTAATTTATTTTTATTTCTTTTATACTTATTAAAGATTATCCATTAGATATTACATTTTTTTAAGAAGATTCGTTCAACAGGAGCATACTTTTAACCAATGACCTTGTGACATTCAACAACCAACATGGCAGATCGCTAATAAGTTTTTTTAAGACCGGATCTTCTCAAAATATGTTTAGATCTCGTTAAATGTTCTGGGAAAACGAGTTAAGTATGCAGAAATCACTATTTCGAAAGAAAGTGGCGCAGGTTAGTGCATGAAATATAGAGGCATGCGTGTAAAATCATTCCCTTGGGCATTGCGGCGCATCAATTTTTACCGTAGTATGGCCACTATATTATCTAATAAGTATATGACCAAGAAACTGAGAAGGAGGCATTTCAATAAATGACCAAAAAAATAAATGATAATAAAGAAGAGTTAGTCGATTTTGTAAATAGTGTAGGAAATGAAAGCAATCGGCTCGTTCTGGAACTAACTACACAAAAAACCAAAATGACAGTAATTGATAGGCAACTCATAATGACCGTCTTGAAGTCGTTAAGTCACACGTCTACCTGGGATCATTATTGTCAAATACAGGCAAATCGGAAGAGGAAGTGAAGCGTAGGTTAACATGGCAAATGTAGCTGTTTTGAGACTGACCAAGATCTGGAAAGACCGCCAGATTTCGAGAGTCATCAAAAACCGGTTAGTAAACTATCGGGTACTTCCAATATTGACGTATGGCTACGAATCGCGGACTCTCACTACGAAAATCGATGCTATGATATATTGTATCCCATGGTCTGAATGCCGTACAAACCTCTCCATTATAAATATTACCAACAGACATTCCAGTGAAATCCGACTAAAACAACTAAAATATTGTGGACATATAATGAGGAAAAGTCAACCCATAATTCAAGACAAGGTGGAGGAAGGTAGACCACGTGGACGCTCTCCGACTTGATAGATAGACCAGATCACGACTAGCTGTAGCAAAAGACAGAAGCGCTGTTACTCTGACCACTACATTCCCTAATGGGGGTTAGGGCTGAACAGAGAGAAGGAGAGAAATATGAAAAGAATAAGTAAAACCAGATGACCAAACTGACCATTACAAATTTTGCGTGTCAAAGGGTCCACTTTGTTATGCAAAATTAACAGCGTATTGGTACTTGTTAAAGATCTTTCAAACAAAATGAACAGCAAATTGAGCTTGTGATTTTTTTTTTAATTGATAGTGTTGTATGTTATATTTCGTTTATATAGAACCAAAAGTAAAAAGAACGTTGATATTGCATCTACGAGATTTTGGGAAATTGTTTCTGTATCTGTCAAATAATGTTGGTTGGTATACTTTGATTCGCTGTTCGCTTGAGATATTTCCTGAGACTACAGAAAATTTTGAGATAGTGAGAACGTTATTGCCAAAACAAAGAAAAGGAAAAAGACAATAATAAACGAGGCGACGTAAAACGCATATTTTGTATTCCACAGTGAAATGATCATATAATTTGTTGTCAAGCTGTCTAATAGCACTGTGATTATAATTATAAAAAATAGAAATTCCTTATACTACCGTCTAAAAGCCAAATTGTTTTTATCAGTGGTACCTCAACTTCTGCCACCTAAATAACTATAATAACTTTCGCATTTTATAAATTTCATTAAAAATTGATTTTTTTAAACTAGATTATAGAAGATATATAATATAATTATTAGAGGCCCCTTTTTATAACTGTACCGGACTATATAAAAACTTTAAACTTGAACTTCTTTAAATAAAGTTCTTGATTTTCCATTAAATGACACTTTAAACGATATCACTCAGTTTGGTGAAAGGACGTTTTTGTTGCTTGTTTGTGACGTGATCTTGCTAGTTTATCTTGTATATTGAATTTTGAAATGGTGCCGTATAATTTTTGTTATTTAATTAATAAAAGTTTACTCGCTTATATGTCTTCGTTTTTCTTTATTGCAGAGCAAGAAGAATTGAAATAGCGTCAGCTTTACAACTTAATGAAACCCAAGTCAAAATTTGGTTTCAAAATCGAAGAATGAAACAAAAGAAACGCATGAAAGAAGGTTTGATCCCACCCGAGCCAATAATGAACACGACAAGAAGTACCAGTAATTCCCCGACTTCTACAAACTGTTTACAGAACGATAGTACCGTTGGTAGTAACGAAAACAGTAGGGAGTCGAACTAACGTACTACATGGAATCATTTCACTGTCTTCATTCGCGTTTGAAAAACATTTCTTTTTCGGCTCGTAGGGTTACCCTTACGACAAATATTACAGCGTTAAAAAATAAGAATTAAAATTTTTCTTACAGTTGAATTTTAGGAATGCTAGTCTGTAGCTGTAAAATTAAAAAAAAAGGTAACATGTAAATTCTCGCCAAAGAACGTAAGAAAGCTTTAGGTGATAAATATGAAATTAGTAAAATATATAATGTATATTGTCACAATATAACATAGTGTTAACTATTTATTACAAATTTGTAATCAGAAAAGTGAGATTATTGAATTTAACTAAGCGTTTATCGTTTAGAATATTTTTCGTGGTGTATATATAGCATCATATTTTGAGAACTGGACAGATATTTGGTTGATTGTATTAATTGATGAACAAAAAAACATCTGTTTGTTACGATCAGGTCTCTATCTACTAATTATTGTACATAGTAAATTGATATCGTGTCGTGTAAAAATATGTACATAATAGTTTAATTAGGTTACTCAGGGATGTATGCCGTATTATTAATTTACGAATAAAAACAATTTAAAAGCATCCACAATTGTTTGTTTAACAAAATATACAGGCCGTATTTTTTTCTGTTTAATCCCTTTTGAACGCTCATAATGCAGCCAAGTAGTCCCAATCAAAGGAAATTTAATTTAGACGACGACGTGGCTATCGTTTTATAGACAAAAATCATTACTAATATCATGATATTTTGCAGATTTTTATACCTAGCGTTCACACACACACACACGCACACACATGTGTAATTTTAGAATTTTTTTGGTTTTATTCAGCAACATTACACATGTAAGTCAAGACATTTAATTCAATACAACGGGGTCTCCTCTATACGTACCATCATATTTTATTTAAAAAAATATTAAAAATATGAAGTTTCCAACAGTATATTTACATTTGCGATATATAGCAGAAAAACTTCCCAACTAGCGGTGACTCTAAGTCGAAAAAACTTTTCACTTATAATGAAATAATAAATATTTTATATCAAATGACAATACTTAAGTATAATACGTGCTTTGCAAGCACAACCGCTTGAAACGAATGAACAGTTTTTTATATAAGCATAACAGTCATCACAAACTCCTAATCGAATCCGAGTCAAAACAAAAAAAAAAACGTTGCCAGTAGTCGCCTATACACTTTAACGACATCTTATATTAAAAATTGCAGTAGCAAACATAAAAGAATGGCAACACTCGTTTGCCACGTATGCAATGGCATTGCTGAACTCCAGCCACATTCAATTTCCGATTTCAAAATTTCTATGACAGATTGGTTATTCCTATTCGCACAAGCGGCGGTCCTTAAGTCGTCATCCACATGCCGGCAACTATAGTCAAAATGATTAAATGATGGAGTGACACTTGGACTACGATCGCAAATGTATTGTCTGCGTTTTCTTTGCCAGACCTCAATCCATCTGAAAAGTATTTTAGTGAAGAAAAAGGTGAAGTCTTATTTCAGTAATATACCCCAAGTCACAATCGCAATCCCATTTATTGCCGGTGATATCTAGTTCCATAAGGAACGTCTTTTTAAATAGGTCAGGTTTGGAACCAGTTGACGGATTCATTAAACTTTTTAATTCTGGATTATATCTTACATCCAAAGTGATATTTCTGGCTCGACCTAAGTTCCTAAAGAATGTTTCGGAGATTTTCATAACGCTGGTGTTTCGAAAGCAGAGGTGTAGTTCTGGACTTCTTGTACCCTGAAATCATAAACCCCAGAAATTATTTCTTTAATACGGCAAGACGATTGTTTAAGAAGTACAAGTATCTAATTTTATTATGTGGTAAGTCTTAGAGAAGAAGGATAGAAATGAAAAAGCTAATTTGGTATTAAAGAATTCCACAAAAAAAATACAGCATCTCTTAAAATATATTTTGCTTGATTTAAAACGGCAGTAGTTTTTGAATTTTAAATGATACATCCTATATTATTTGTACTTTTGATTTAGATTATGCACTCTATGATGATACTATGATAGGACAAAATTCCTATTTCTTGTTTTTTGCATATATTTTTAAGAAATAAACTCCGTTTTAATTAATAGATATTTTTTTAACCCCACAATTTTTTAGAAGCTTAACCATTTTCATGTTCATTCATTATCTTTTTTAATGTGTTGTTAAATTTACGGCTTTTTAACACATAATGCAATTTTTTTTTGTTAAAAAAGTTTTCAATTCTGCCTTCGCTATATTTTATAGTGTTACTTTCTAAGCGGGTCGTTACTAGCTTAATAATAAACACCAACCCTACGGTTTTTTAAAATCACACTATAATATTTTTTGAAACCAAATGTTACTGAAAAACTCAAAAAGCCTGAAACCGTTGTTACCAGCCACCTAAGTCGATCTCTGGTACCATATTAAGCACAAATTCTACAGTTTTTTCAATCAAAATTAACCTTTTTGTTGGTGGCACAAAATAATTACTGTTGCCAGCCTAAGAGGGTACCTAAAAACTACCTGTAAAATATTGTTTCCCAATTTTTTTAAGCCCCGTCCGGAGAAAGTCACATTTCTTAATTTCGGAGGAAGGTCTCCTATCATCTCCTTTTCCAAAGTGCTATCTGTTGCCTTATTTACCTAAAAGACATCAGTTTGACATGCAATTTCGTTTTCAATAGAAATTCATCTTACGTGAATTTCAAGATTTCTCAGCCCGCTATTCCACTGAATTATTGTTGGAATATTAAACAATTTAAGGTCAGTGTACAAATTTATTTTCAGAGTTCTTAAGGAGTACATTTTGCAGAACGCTCCCGCCTACAAAAAGTAATCGGAACGCTTTCACTCACTGGCAATTGAAATCTCACCTCCAAAGTGTTTAAATCAAAATTCCTAATATCTAGTTCCTCCAAATGGTCGGCAACACCCAACAAACTGGTATTGCTTAGATACGTAACGGGATTGGAGACCATGGACAGATACCGCAGCTCAAACAACGAATGCGTCACAATTGGCACCGATGTTAAATCGTTGTAGTCCAAATATAACTTTTGCAAATTAGTCATATTTGTTGCCATTTCAGGTGGCACGTTAGGTAAGGAATTGTGGGCCAAAGAGAGCGATACTAAATTCGGGGTGGGTAGAATAGGAACCTAGAAGTATTGAAAACTTCGATTTTCATCCTAAAATCCGCTTTTAATTTGTCACCTACCATGTTTAAAGATACGTTGGCCAAGTTCAAATGCAGAAGCGAATATTCAACGCCCTGAAAGCTTAATCCGTTTGGCTCTAGAGCCAACTGAAGATTGTGACTTAAATCTAGACTGGATAATCTTGGAAGCCCCTTAAAAGTATTGGAATCAATTTGTGCTAACCGATTGTATGATAAATCCAGCCAGTTCAGATTCTGCGAAACAGAAAACTACTAAGCGTTTCGTTAAGCAAATTGCCTGGTTCAACCTTAAATCGCTGTAAAACTCCTCCGTGAGACAAAGACGATATTGAATTCCAGGATACATCCAATTCGCAGACTGACAAAGCCGTAGCCACTGACATACTCGTCAAGGGTAATTTGCTAAGCATGTTATGAGAAATATCTAAACGTTCCAGACCCTGTTCTCGAAACAAGTTGTCCGGTAGCGCCCTAAGCCTGTTGTGGGAAAAGTTCACTATCCTTAGGTTGTTCAAAAATCTAAACAAATCGCTTGGGATATCGGCGATTCTATTGTTGGAAACGTCTAAAAGCTGAATACAAATTACAATTAATAATTAATAGTTAGAGGACACCAGAGGATCCAAATCATTAAAAATAATTAGCAAAGTAACTTTAAAAATCTAAAATATTTTTTACATATTTTAAATAAGTATGAGTTAACCTGAAAAATTAGATTCTTTAGAGAAAGAATTACCTTTTTCCTTATTTTATTAACTTACAATAGCATTTGAATTTTAATTAAATGTCTATTCACTAATGTCCAATCTATTAGAAATAAATCACGGGATGGAGTTTGCGTATTTATTACAAGGGATGTCGATGCGTAGGTACGTAGACGATGCAAACCAATTCCATATTTCGTTGTTCATAAATTCCACGAATTTCAGTACATGAAGAAGTTCAAAAACGTGTTGCATATAATACTTTTTCTACAACCATTAGTTGTTGTTGTGAAAGCACAATCAGTATTTAAAATCTACAGAAAATAGCCAATCGTGGCAGTTAATGCTTAAAATAACACTGCATAATTGGGTATCTTGTAGTAGGGAGTATAAAGAATCAATTTTGAAAAATTTTAACATTTCGTTTTAGACGAAACATTTCTTTTCGAGGCCGGGATGGAACACGCCAACAACAAACAATATAAAAAATACTTAACAAAATTACAAAGAAGAATTCTAAATAGAAAGATAATATTATTTTAAGCAAGCATAAGTGGGCAATTTTGATCGGTGATGGCAGCGAAAAGAAGAAAATCCAGGCAGTTGGCTAAATGCAAATGCGAAGAGATAGCAGGACGAAACGAATTAGCACCCAAGGCCTTTTTAATTTATGTAATATAAATATCTCAATGCTTCTCAGTAGAAGAGTTTTAAAATGATATGTGTGGTCTATACTGCTTTACGGTTCGGGACATGGACACTAAAATAGAAGCGTTTGCACTACGGCGCTATTGCCGAATTTTGAAGATATCGCGCAAACTTCAAATGAGAACGTCCTCAGAACGATGAACACGGAACGGCTACCGTTAGCACCATAAAGAGGAGGGGACGAAAATATCAGGGAAAATTGGAACGCAAAAGATGGATTGGGCATAAAAGGCTACCCCGGCTTAGCAATATCCGACAATGGTGTAATCTAATTGCCAGACAAGGAACTAAACGAAGAAGATAATAATTATTTTAATTAAAAGGATGTTTAATAAAGATGAAGAAAATTGGTTTTAAATCGAGCCCACATTTGAATTGTATTGTGGATTAAATATGTCAGAGAACAACTCGTTACATTTCAATCACTCAATGCATTTGCACGTATATCGCGTGGTAAATTTACCTGAAGCTTTTTTGTATTTCGGAACATATCGAAATCCATCTCGTAGATCTGATTCCACGATAAGTCTAACCGTTGCAAGTGAGGCATGTTTCCGAACACATCTCTCGTGGCGTTCAAGATCCGATTGTGTCCGAGATAAAGGTGAGTCAGAGACAGTTCTGCCGGTTTGAAGAATTGCTTGGCGATCAGTGAAATGTTATTGAAGGACATATCCAAGACCTTGACGTTTGAATGGAGACCTCCGAGACCTGAGCAGTACGAACAAACTAATTTAATGTTAGCTTCAACGAGGGGAAAGGGTTTTTTTAAGAAGTTGGGCGTGTATGACAGCGGCTTAAAATAAAATCTATATTTACTTATACTGAATTCGTTGTCCAACTTATTTTAATAATAAGAATAAAAACTCGCAATAATTTCAGCATAAAGCAACTCACCCACGTCGGATTCAAAAGCTGGCGGCATATTCAACGTGAGTTCTTTTAAACTATTATGACTAACATTTACGTGAAACATTGCCAGCGTCCCAACTTGATCAAACATGGAGAAATCGAAGTTGATCAGGCTATTGTAAGCCATATCTAAGTCTTCCAGCTCAGGCAAATTCTGAAAAGTCTCGTACGAAACCGTAGATAATTTATTTCCCTTCAAATTCAATCTTTTAAGATGTTCGAGGTTCATGAAAGAGCGCCTTTCCAACTTGTCTATCCTATTATCATCCAAGTGGAGTTGCTCAAGTTGCGGCAGGTGAACGAAAGTGTGTTGGCTAATCGTTTTTAGGTTGTTAAATGACAAGTAAATTTCCTCCAAGTTTGCATGGTAATCACTCTGCAAAGAATTTTATTTCTCGTCTTTATAGTCAATGAGTGATAATTTTACTTGAAAAGTTCCCTTGGGAATGACCTCTATGACGTTATCCTGCAGTTCCAAACTTCGAAGTTTTCCGAGGAAATGAAAACTCGTTTCCTGCACAGTTCGTAAGTGATTATTACTTAGGTCCAAGTGTTCCAGATTTGTTAGAACTTTAAGTGCTTCGACCGGTACACTCGAAATAGAAGAAGACAACGCATGTGACAGCGATAAGTACTCCAAGGAATGTCCAATCTGAAAATATCAGCGATTATTTGATATGGAATTGATTTTTTATTAATTGTACTGTACTAACGTCAACGAATGCATTATTTTCTATAGTCGATATGCTATTGTCTGCCATATCAATTGACCTTAATCCGTGGACGTACTTAAACGCATTATTTTTAATACTTTGTATGCCGGCGAAGTTGATTTTTAGTTCTTCCAGATCGATTCCGAACTCAAGGAAATCCTCGAGGTCAATATGGGGCTGAGGTAAACGCGACAGGGATAAAGCTCTTAAGCTTCTGAACCTATACGGTAGTGAAAATATTATATTCTGAGTTTCAAACTCGACTGCGTGCAGACGGTAATAGATATTGGGTGGCTCAAAATGTTGTTATCTTTGGTTCTCCCCAAGATTTGATGAAAAAGATTTAAAATTATTGGTTTCATTTTAGATTTTTACGTGTTTATTGCAAAAAATTAGGATTTTTTTGTGACGTTCCATATTCAAATATTATTGTTTTGAATCGCTTTTTTGATTACCTCTTTAATGGTACAAGTTACCATCCGAAATAGAACAAAAATGGTGGTAATTTTAGTTATTTCCCCTCCATTTGCCTTTGGCTATGTATTTTTAACAAAATTTTTCTTTAATATTCGGCATTAGAAAATAACATTGACAACTCGTAATAAGTAGACAATTAGAAAGATATTGAAAGACAGAAAAAAATCAATATAGCGTTCTTAATTACTATATAACTCAAAGATATGCAATTTCCAACAGCAACAATCCACCCTCCATCTCTTACCGATTGATAAATGCCAGTGAATTTCATTGAATAAAACACCCCCTATTGGATTAAAATTTTTCGCAAACCTTCGTAAATCCTGTATGCTCATGGGTGCGTTATCAGTGCCACTCATGTCCAGTGTATTAAGAGTAAGCACAAATGCGTTGAACAATTCAGCAGGATTGATTTTAGATAGGATATTGTCCCTCAACAAAAGAATCCTAATTAGTTGAAATCTATTGAATACGTCTTGAGGGAGTAGAGATATGTTATTGCCCGACAAATCTAACAACTCCAAAAAGTTTTCCAAGCCCATGAACGCCGTCGGGGAAATTTGGGTCAATCCGCAGCCACGAAGGTAAAGCTCCTTAATTTTCGCTTGTCGAAAGGCTTCGTCCTTAAAAAACATTGTGCCTTGCAATTTATGGCAATCCAATTTTTTGATGCCTCACCTCTATTACCGATATAGGATTACCGTCAAGGTAGGTTTTGTTTAGAACGTTAAAATATTGGAAAGAAAGCGGCTCCAGAATTTTCAATTGATTGTAATCAATTCTAAGTACGTCCAGATTAAGTTGAAAGTTTAAATTTATTTTAATTCCTGGTTCGGTAGCGGGAGACATTTTGTTGACCCTATTATGGCTTAGGTCCAGAGTTTTCAAAGTTCTTAACGGTTGTAATGCTTGGTACGGTATCGCCGAAAGCTGGTTATTGCCCAGCAGCAAATATGCCAGCTTTCCCATGCCGTCTCGGAAGACCTAAAATACATAATATGAAAACAAGTCAAGGTTTCGACGTGTTTTTAGTTAATTTACCGACGGATCTAACTCCCTTAGATTATTTCCTCTTAAGTCTATAGTTTCTAGCAATGGTAATCCCGCGAAGGCATCTATGGGTATGTGAGTTATCGAATTCTCTGCCAACACCAATACCTCTAACGAACTTTCAAGTCCTCTCCAATTTTCGGGGGAAATTTTATTTATTTCGTTACCTGCAAGTAAATGAGCAACAAACTTGAATTTGTTAACGCGGCAACTAATACTTTACCAGTTAAATCTAGTAGACGCAATTTCTGTAAGTACCTTAGTGACCGATTGGGCACTTTTGTTATTTGGCAGTAACTAAGTTCTAATTCCCATAGTGATCTCTCCAACCCCAAGAACGCCTCATCCGTTACCAGAGTTAGTGGGTTTCTACTAATTATAATTTTATACAGTCCTAAAAATTACAAGGCCAAGATAGATTACAAAAATACTCTGCTTTAGAGGATTCGCATCAGTACCTGTACTTTGCAAAAAAAACGGTTCAATGGTTCTCAACCCGTTGTTTTCCATATGTAACATGAAAACTTTGGAAATGTTAACGTGCTCTGGAATCCTTGGCAAGTGAATATCCTGACATTTAACAATTCCTAGATCCGGTACCGCTTTCGAACAGCTACATAACGGGTTGAAATAACACGGAGGATATCGTACTGTTTCCGTTTCTCTAGATTCCACCAGTGAAATCCAAATCATTAGGAAAAATACCCCTAATATTAAGGCGTAACCTAACTGCATGACACGTACTAACTCCTGAAAATGTTTTGAACCCATATGACTAAATTGTCAACAAAAACCATCATCAAGGTTAGCGTTGGACTAGAGAGACAAAAGCAAACTATACTTTTAATTAGATTTAAAGAAAATTTCGCATTTTTTTCTTTTGAAAAATAGTCCTTTTTAGTAAGTAATTTAACATTTTGGGAACAAAGAAAAGACTAATAACGTCACAATTAATTAATGCTTGTGTCAATTCAATCAGGTGCCCAGGCTAATTAATTGCCATTATACGACCGTGTCTCATCGCCACTTGCTTATCATTATTTAATTTATAATGGTTGCTAAATAAACAAAGTGAACCTTTTCTTCAATAAGCAAACAACTTTCAAATTTTAAAATTAAAAATATGTTTTTGTACAAAACATAATTCTGGAAAAAAGTATAGTTTCGAGCCACTAAGAATAATTTCAAATACCCAAGAATAGCATTGTGAAAAAGACGTTTTATCTCAGATTACTTAATGAATTGCGACCAACTTAGTGGATTGTTCTTATTTTTAAAAAACTAAAACGAAAACTATTTTACTAATTACACTTCTTAAGTCGCATTTTAGGTGCATATACTTATGTCAGTTTTAATTTATTAATTCCTAATTTAAAATATGGTCTTATTGATGTTTCAAAATAAATTTATAAAATCATATGCCCGGATTTTGGACTATATATTTAAAAAATATACCGTAGAATCCGGCCCTCGTATTCCAACATGGAAACAGTAAAATTTTCACATATTAAATAAAAATCAACACAAAAATCTAAAAATTAAGTACGAAATTGTCCAAATTAAATAAATTTCCTAACAATCTTAGTACAAACGCACACGCTCAGTAAAATCCTTTTTTCATTATCCATTAAAAAAAAACAAAACTTTGAAGAATGCTACACGCCAATGCATACAAAAATTAAAAAATATGTTATGTATGTTTGACCGAAAATTGTATAATAAATCTAGATCCAGCACTACAGCACAATTTTTTGAAAATATTAGTGTAAATTTCCGTCGAGCAACAATTATACCTACCATAATTTACCTAGACAACTAATCACTATAAAATCCCCACGCAACACATTCACAGCACCACACCAAGCAGCAATCCCCAATCCTTCAGCAGAAAAGTATTAAATAGTCATCCCAACCCTGCAGTATGGTCATAATTATCTGAATGATAAAACTGACTGAGGTGCAGACGTAAAATTGGCCAAACGAAACCCCTCACGTACCATAATAGGGCTTAAACCGAATTCAAAGGTTTCGTTTAATTAGATTAACTTCATAACTGCAACCGTATGGATTAACCAATCTTATTTTCCCGACATCCGCGATTTTTTATTGAAAAAAAAATTATGCCTTAAACCGCAGAGGTGTATTTGCCTGAACTTGAGAAAAGAACCGAATGAATGAAATGAGTGAGTGGGTTGCGAATTAAGACAATAATAATAATTGTTTTTGACCTATAATTGTTGAGTAATCCCGTGACGAACAAGTAGAGGTCAATCGCAGAGGATCCACGGCACGCGCTTTTAATACGAATTAATTTTCATTGTGTTGGAAGCAGCTGCCTGGAAAATTGTCAGTTAAGACCGACTGCAAAACAGCGCGACGTACGTTGTCTTTAGGGTATTTGAGAATGCCACATAGTACGGTAATATGGCCACTAAGAAATTAACTCGTAAGAATTAGTACCAACCGAGCAAAGCTTTGAATCAATCAAATGGCTATATAAGGTAATGAAGATTATAAGAATTTCTTTTAATATGCCTTGTTTTATATTCGACTATTTGCTCTCTAACTTGTTGCTTCAAAAAGTTAATTGTTTTGTTAATTACTTACTAGAAGAATCAACCAATCGTGAACAGCTAGTTAAAATTAAATGCTTGCTTAACTTAGCCTCAATACTTACTACGAATTAGTTTACACAAACATAGCCGCATTAAAACTTATATTCTTCAAAATTTCTATGGTTAAAATCTGACCCAGACAAAAATGTGTTGTTAGATAAAAATTTCTTAACATTTTTAATCGGCAGATTTTTAACTCATTTGGAAGTGGTCGAAGTTAATGCCGCTTTTCATAAAAGTCTCGGGATACACAAATTCTTTCTATTTCTTGTGGTCTATTTATGAAAAGTTCCATTAAATTCAAATATAGATGGTACTATGAATATTTTGTGTTTCCTACAGCTGGCATGAAAAGGCGGCTCAAAAACGAGTCGGAGCAATAAGAACCCTCATAACGTCACTGGCCTGTTCCAAGACCACACAGGAGATTGTTAAGAACACTAAAGCATAGTAAACATTTATTAGTTCTTTAATAGTGAAAAAATTTTTTAACGAACTTAGCATAAAGAAGGTTATATTCAGTTTTAAACAAACAGAATCGTTATGCTGGCACCGAGAACGTTGCCTATCAATTGTAACGCCTATAAATTGGGAAGTCTTCTCAGTTTTAACAGTATGACCTCTAAAACCTTCTCCCTAATGGGTCTAGGGCTTTTCCGTAGTCAGCTACATTTTTTTTTCCTCAAGGAATGTTGAAATGAATCTTCCTCACCAAGCGGAATTTATTCATTCTTAATACGTGTGCACTCCACTCTGCCTTCCTTCTTTGGACTCATGAGCTTACTTTCGGTGTGTTGAGTCGACTGATGCTTTTTTGCTGTATAAATACCCTGCCTGAAGAGTAACTTACCAGTTTACAATATCGTAATCGTAATAAGCAACACCCTTTCAAGAAAGCGTCTCTCAGTGTTAATATTGCAAAAAATGCTCTATTCAATCTACTGCAAAGGAAAGCATCAGTATAGAAGCCAAGAAATTTTGTGGTCTGAGTTGTTTTCAAATTCAACTCATCAAAGTTAAACGCTAAATTAGATTAGATTAAATCCAATGTGATTTTTCTTGCAAGAACAGGAGAAACATTATTAGTCGACTCCCCTGCAGACAAAGACTGAAATGTCATGCGAATTTACGTTGACAATTAATTCTCTTGTGTGTAATGGGTCCACTTATCTGATTATGTTCAGATTGAAGCAATCTATTCCGACCACTGCAGCTTTTGACATAAGATCTTCCTGATACTATGCAATATAAGATACGAATAAAATCGCAAAATGCACTGTTTCTCTTTTATTCAAATAGCATCATACAAATATTCTCAGAAAAGGCAAGTCCATTTGGTGGCAATGAAAAGTTCGTCCTTCAGAATAACATATACTATTGATTGATTTCCTTTGGACGGTATGTCCTGTTCTCAAAAATAATCGATACATCTCTAACCCTCATATTCGGAGTGAGAAACTGTTGCAGAGTGTCGACGCCATCCCTGGGCGCTCTGTCGAAGGGATACCCCATAGAACGACGATCGGGATACAGTTTGTCCTAGCAACAAATACAATGCGTTCTAAAGCGACTTCCACGTAAACCAATTTGTTTTTTACCTTAATACCGCAATACGAATCAGCATCGTTACATGGTCCAGATGTATCTTGGTCGATTCTGTCATCGGCGATATTGGAAATCATTACAAATAATTGACAGGGGAATCCTTCGGGACTTCCTTTCGGAATGAGCAAATTATGCGGCCATCCGCAGCCGCAGAAATTGAACTGAGCCAGTTGTTCTCCCCCCTGCGGTCTGCCATCAGAACAATGCGTTTAAATGTTAATGAACCGAAAGAATTTGGTATTACAATACCTGGATAGATCTAGATCTCTGTAGGTCCTCTCAAATGGTATAGTGACAGAGGAATCCAGTGATCGGCGCGTTATTGTATTTTGCCCCTGTTTAAGGTTTACTTTAAACTTGTCCAACTCAATGAACATGTGTTTCTGGTCCCTAAATAACCAAGGGTTGCCCCTCTCATCAAATTTAGGAGCCATGAATATTCGACAGGTACCTTGCCGAGCAGTATTACTCTGGACCTTTGTTACAACAGAAACAGATTATCAAATAAATAAATAGATTAAATAATTTAATTTTCAAATGATTACCTTGATTTTGTAGTTATAATTGCGATGTTGCAAGTGAGTAAACCTTACGAAGACGGAACCACGGGGCTGGAAATCCATTCCCCGAGAAAGATCAACGTCCGATTGTTGCCAGAAGGTCTGCAAAACGTTGGGTCTTCCACCTTGAATTTCTACTTGAATGTCTTCAACGATAACACCGGGATACTGTAACTGACTTTCGGTATATCTTGGCAAGGTCCCTTTGAATTCCTATAAATGTTTCGTTAAACATTGATTCAAGCAGTTTATAAAAATTCGTTAACCTGGAATAAATCATCGATAAAACTGTGCCATCTGTAGAAAATGGGGTCGCGCATGGCAGTTGCAGAATCGCCAATAACTCCAAATGATTCTAAGTGTCTATGATCGGGATCGTGCAAATACGAAAGGAAGATGTGACCGGAATTGTGAAGGTCCCCATAAAATTCCCGATTTGGCGATAAAATACTTGACTCCACTATATTACCCAACACGTCGATCCCTGAAAATTATAACATCCATATTATATTATGAAAAAAAAAATCTGTTTGTTTAAGAATAACTAGTATCCGCAATTTCACACGGTTGGTACCTTCATTTTCAGTTAATGGAATGATATTTCCAGCCCTATCTCTTACAGATCCCGAATGAATCGCATCATAAATCCTGTCCCTCCACCGCTTCATGTCGTCGATGTCGAGAGTAATACCATCAACTTCCCTTTTAAGATTTTGGATCTTCTGATTTGCCACACGAGCTGGCCAAGATCTACGCGCAATGGAAATTCTGTTTTATACGAGGCAATAAGCAATATAACATCATACCTGCTGGCGACTAAGCTGTCCAACTTGGGAAAATACGCTTCTTTGATGGGTTGATCCCAATCCAAGAAGCGCTCGACCCTCTTCATTTTATTACAGAGTCGTTCAAAGTTGTATCTCGCCATGATTTGTTGATGCATGTAATAGAACAGCTCTCCTCTTCTGTTTTTATCCACGACACTACGCGCGGCCTCAAACGGATATACCAAATGCCAATGCCAATGATGTAAATTAATTCCTGAAAAAGCAAAACGTTTTTACTCAGTAGACAAAATTCATGGAAAAAGAAAACCTAGATCTTCCCTGAAGTAGGCCAATCTATGTTCCTCCTCTAAATCGGAAGCTGTGTAATCCTTAGGGATTTCAATAGGCATTCGCGCACCTTCGGGAACTATGTTAGATTCTTCACGAGCCTTAGCGAACACTTTACTGTCGAGGTATTTGTCAGGAAACGAGTGGATAATGGAAGGAACATCCAAATCTTGGGTATCCGCCCTATGGAGAAGTGCGACGGAGAGGCAATAGTTGAAAAGGTACGGGTTAACCCGATCCCTTGCGTATATTGCCACTGCAAGCAAGTCATCCACGCTTCTAAAATTCATAAAATAAATCAAAATTAGTAGTACAATCATAATATAATAGAAAAAAGTATCGGACTTTTAAAGCTTATGAAAATTAGAGAATACTAATTTCTAGGTGATATAGAATAACAGAAAAAATTAGTTTGGTTAGTTAATATTTGCCCTTAAAAAATCGTTTCTTTATTGTTTCTGAAACATTTGATTGGATCATAAAATGAATGTTTACAAAACGTTATCAATTTGTACAGGAACGTCACTAAAGGTAATCTATTTCACCCACACACAGGGATATTTTTAATTATTTTATCCAAAAATCATTTTTTAAACAATTTTCCTTTAAAAATATACTCTTGATTGCATACAAAGAAATAACTAGTTTTTAAGTTGAGATTTTTGACAAGTAATCGTGAGTAAGTTAATTTTCTGAGGAAATAATAATGTTACTAGTCACCCAATTATGAAGTAACAATTTCTGGTAGTGATTAATAACTAAACTGTTTCAGAAATAATATAAAGACAATTTTTTGGAGCTTCATTGGACACATTTGCGAATTCATGTTTATTAACCAAACTTTTTTTTTATTATTATGTTTTATTGTTACATTTACTCTAGCAAAATGCTGGAAAAACGTTCAGCTAGTTTTTTTAAACACTAAGTATGTCGCAAAACATCGGAAATTTAAATGTGCACAAGGATTTCACGTATCAAGACTCTGCTAATTACTCGAAACTGAACCAAAATTGGGAACTTTTTTCTGCAAAAATGAAAATAGATATTTTTGCGTGAATTTCTGTATGCAAAACCTAAACCATTTTTTCTTAAATTTTACATGACATGACACTGATAACTAGGTTTTGGAGCTATTTGCTATAGTTCTGATATCGATTTTTCTCATTTAAACTTACTTGTCCATTAAAAATTACTACTTACCGAACACCCAAAAATATATCGATTAGTCTTCCAGCAATTCTGCGATGTTTAGGTAGAAATAATGAAAAGTTTTCATCTCGGGGCAATTCCAAAATCTCGCCCAATGGAGGAATTGAAATACGCTTGACAGGAATTCGTTCGCCAGCATCATCCCCGAATCGAGAAACCTTTATTTGGTCGACAAGTCAGATTAAAATATTTGAATAACTAATAGAAAAACATGAGTTGAAAAATTGTTATCAACATTATACTTACGACTTGGTTGCCAATAGGCTTATACTTGTCGCTCAAGTACTCGGGAGGAATATCAAAAACCGCTTTTTGATCGCCTTTTGATACAAAACTTGGTTCCTTTGGGCGATCGAAGAGCAGAAGAATATTTTTCTTATCGGTCATTGCAATTATTTTATTAAAATAAAAAAAAAATCAATTTATTAAGTATTTCGTGTCTTTACTTCAGACTTAACGAGCCCAATGGCAAAATAATCCAAACGAATGACTTTAAATACAGTTTGGAAGAGATAGGTAGTGATAAAGTAACCGCGAATGAAGCCGTTGCCACATTTATCATGATTAAAACGGCGTGTGGTTTTCCAAAAACAAAAACATGTTTTTAAAAAAATGCATATTCCCGTGTGAAACGAAGCGACATGAAAAATTATAGGTTATAGAGTTATTCATGCAATGAGTTCATTAAAATTTGAAAAGCTTGTTAATAATGATTGAACCCTGGAAAAAATGTACTACTGATGGTAAATTTTTCGGAAATTATTAAAATTATATGGCTTGACATCCCATAACGAATATTATTTTACGATTTCATATAGTCAACCGTTGTGGCTTCAATCGTATTTTTATTCGGCTTAAGTTTTATTATACGTAATTTCAAAAATAAATCTTTTTTTTCCACTCCCTTCTCTAAAATATCCAAGCAGTCGAGGTACTTTAGTCACGAGAATTTTGACATTTTGTTAGTTATAATTATAATTACTTTATAATTATTTCGATTTTGCTCTAATTTATACTATTCCTAAATTAAATAAATAAATTACCATTGTTGAAAGTTCACAACAGACAGAACGGATATAAAAATGTGAGTCGATCACGGACAATATTTTAAATGCCGGCCTCTTAACATATACAGGATGACTCACTATGAATGAAATGAAGAATTATAGGTAATGAATAAAGATGAGCCTTCCTTTCAAAAAATTTAATAACGGAAGTATAATATACAGGGTCTTCCATTTAATTTTTTCACAAAAATTAATATTTTTATGCTGACTCAATCTGTTTAAACGATTCGAACTAACTTCAAGACAAGTAGATATAAAATAAATGACTGTGCCACTTTATAAAATTGTTGGCACAATAAAATTACAGCTGTTCGAAACGGCGTCAAAAATATTTATTAAACGTATAAATAAAGAAGACACCGTAAACCTACATTGGGATATTGAATATAAAAGGGAGCATCTTTTAATATATAGGGCGTTATGTTTAAAAATATACGCTTGATTTCGCATACTTATGAATCACCCTGTATAATTAAAAATAATTCTAAATTGTTTCTTTTAGTCTCGTCTATAACTTTTGTACTTAACATTTTTCTCTAAAAAAATAATAAACAAAATATATTGGTTTGACACACTATTTGGATACCCTCTTGATATATTCTAGTACCTCGTGGTTTTAAATAGAAGAATTTGATAATAGTTTAATTTAATTATTAAGTTTGAGGTTCTTATCTGGAATTAATACAGTCATTTTATGACGACATTCGGAAGTCATTTTTGTTAACAAGACATCTCTTTTTACCTGTTTTTTGGACCACTGACGAATGGAGACCACTTATAACTCGAGAATGACGTCACTTTGACGAGCCTCTGCTACCCGAGATAAAAAAATCCCGCAGGAGCAAGCTACCCTGTAGACGTACATGTTATTTTTTCTTTTATTAGCCAATTATGAATCTCACTTCATTTGTTGCATTCCATGATGCCATATTATTTAAGAGCTGCATATAAGATACTACTTTAGCATTAATGTTTTTTTCATTTTAAGTATTAGCATTTTATTTTTATTTTTAGAGCTAAACTATATGAAATAACTATATAAAATAACAATGTTTTTTCAGATATGCAACTAACGTAGTTGTTGATTAATATCATTTTTTTCTTGCGAATTGTTTGGGGAGCCAGTTCACAATTATATAATAGTTTAATATCAAGCTTCAGTCAGAATAGATTATTTTTGATTTAAATTTGTATATGATTATTGGTTAAAATGTTTGAGTTTGTCCTTTTCTTATTTTAAGAAAGCAGGATCATATATGATCGATGGATGAACATAAAGATTGACTCAAGACTTAGGGTGCATTTTTTTTTATTAAACCACAGTTTAAATTACTGTCGGAGTATTTCTGCGTTATTTGTATTTTGGTTCACTCCAAAGACCGGCTCATTTGCAGATCACATCAACATCATTTATAACATTCAGGGAATCAGTAATTTCAATGAAAAACAAAATTTTAGACAGTATCCATGCAAGCAAGCAAAATATGGGCTTAAGACGTTTTTCATCACCCATTGTTTTCTACATTCTTTAGTTTCAGATTTCACATAGTCTAAGGCTTCGTGAAATTTCGATCCTGTTAATAGCTGGATACAATTTCGGGAATGGGAGAAGATCAATACAATAAAGACCAAAATTTTAGTAATATTTTGGAAACCAATAATTTTTCATGGAACATATTTTTCAGAAAATCTTTGTGAGCCAAAAAACAAAATTCTATACATTTCATTTTTTTATAGTTTGGTAAAAATAGTGAACTTTGTTCTTTTTTTTTAACACTTATACTATACTATATTGAAAGTCCAACTTCATCAATGTTTTGTGGTACATATTTGTGAAAATTATTCTCTTGCGAAATCTCTCATCTAAAACTGTTAATTGGACATTGAACCTGAATCAGAGTTAGCACTTAGCCTGTCGGTCACTACGACCGGAAGGACCTATTGCATTGTTACCAAAGTCAGTTACAGTGTCTCTCTACTTAGACTCCACACATTGGATAGTGACTCCTTGATGTAGCACGTTGCCTCTGCTTTGGTTACGCTCAGTGGATTGCACTCTCGATAAACCTTCTTAAGCTTAGGTCTTAAGCCGGCAGTCTTCACGACTTTGCTTTTGTAGTTTAGCATGTCGGCTGTAAATTTAGCCGATTATGGTTTTGGCTTCTTTATTATTTTTAATATATCGAAAATATTCATATTTACTTTTAATAGAGAATTTTGCAGTTCTACCAAAAGTATTTTTGAGGCATATGCGATTGAAGAAATGTGCTTTGCAGTTTACGTCGCCTATAGCAGTTTTTTGTTGAGGTTGAGGGTAACTTGAAAACATTTCCAATGTATGATTTTAATATTGAATTACAATGTTAAAAAAAGTGAAGTGAAAAGTTATATTTGTAAATCATGGATTCTGTGGTGGAGCATTGCACGCGGCGGTTTAACCTCCGTTCGCTCCCGACAGAGTCCCTTGTATTCGTCCCAAAAAGTTTGATATCGGTTTCCACGGTGTGGATTTGGTGTTTTGAGTGTTTAGTGTATGTTTTAAAGTGATAATCGTCGTCGGCCCCGTCGTTTTTCCCTGTTCACGCCGGTATGGAGGCCGGATGGGCCCGGATGGTCCGCGGTGGAAGCGGGGGGAAGTATCCGTCAGAATCGTTTTTTGCTAGCTGAGCAAATTATTGGTTATTTTTCTTCTTTGTACATGGTGGTCAAAGACCAGAAACGAAAATCCTCGACGGAAGTCGGCAATGGGCGAATGATCCTAGCAGTCGAGCCCAACATTTTTTGTGAAACGTATAATTGAATTGAATTGAATTTGTAAATCATGAAAAAGGTTAACAGCTATATAATCCAATGTTTGTCTCGAGAGCACCGCCAGTTTTCGTGGTCGGAAAATATTTACTAGTCGATAAGTTAACATGTGTTTTTAAATTAGTACAATGTAGGGCGAAAATTACACATTTCTTCGGAAATGCAATTTAAGATAAGGACTTGCTAGGATTATTTTAATTAACTTTCTTAACTTCCACTCTTTGAACCAAAACGTTACTAAAATTATTGTTATTGATATTGAAATTATTTGATACTGGTTCGGGTTTGGGTGCGGGAGGAAAAAAGGAAATACATCAATCGTCATTGCTCTCTAAATAGCCACGAGCGAAAGAAAAAAAAAATTGTTGATCAAAAAGAATTCATTATTCACGGATCAGATAGTTTTGCACCCATACAGTGTTACATTGAGAGAAATAGAAAACAAGTATATTTGACAAAGAAACATGTCTTGTTCATTTAGTAAAGTGTGTCTCAAAGTATATCGTCTTAGAGTTTGACGGACGCACGCCCAAACCCAACAGTCAATATGGAGTAGATAGGGGCAAGTCATGTATATCAATCACGTGTCACTTGATATTCAGTTTTACCGTCTGAACAACAGTGTAAAAGATTTGATAACCCTTTAACAAAACCAGATTATTCTAACAATATAATTATTAAAATAAAGTTATTTGTAAAATAGGTTTTAAATATCACATAACAGACAATGGTAATGGAATTGCACAAATTGCTCGCTTGTGGATTTAATTAGAAAATTTATAATTTATCTAGATGAAACTTGGTGCAATACGCGTTCAACAGTGTGCAGTAAATACTTTTAAGAAAGGCCCTTTTGCAATACAACTTTATTTGTAGATTATATTATATTATGTTTCATTTTAAAAGTGGACTTATGCCTGGTTACGAATCCTTTTGCTTGCGCCTATAATTCTAGGGGATTTAATTCACAGATATGGAGGAATGTCAAGTATTGTTATATTTCATTTTGAAGCTATTTCATTGACAACACATTTCGTAAAAAGAGGTTTTATTCAAAATTACAATCTCCAGTAGCACCTTTTTGAGCATATCTTTCCGAAATTGCTCCTTATTAGAATGACGTAATTTTTTTCCAAAAAGAACTTGGCATTTTTTCCGATTTTCTTGAGTTGTGGCTTTCAACTCATTAAGAATAATATAGTTCTCATTTTTTATAATTACTGCCAAGAGCTGTGGAAAAGCAGTTGTAACTAAATTTTAAACACCAAGGTTGGTGAACTACTGCTCGAACTACCTGCCACTCTTGGGATCCTTAATAATCACCAACAACTAAACTGTTTCAAAAAATCGGGTGGGTCATCATGTAAACAAATACAATTTAAAAAGTTTTTAATTTTAAAAAATAACTAAACGAATTAAAACCCCTTTCTTTCAACCATTTTTGAAGCGTAATACATGTTTGGCGAATCCATTTCCTGGTTAATAGGAATGTCTAAAAATATAAAAAGCCAAATTAATATATTTCCAAAAATATAAAATTTTACCATATTCATCATAAATAACAGGTGGGAAAACCGGAAAATCTGACAAATCATAAACTGTGGTTTCCTGCACTAGTGAATTCAGTTTACAATCCACATTCAGAGTCCAACGCGATGGAAATATATGTCCTCTGTAAATAAGACAAATTTTGCAATAATAAAAAACTTGTTATAAAATATTGTTCCACTCTTATAACTAGTTATATTATAGTTTATATATATATATATATATATACATATATATATATATATATATATATATATATATATATATATATATATATATATATATATATATATATATATATATATATATATATATATATATATATATATATATATATATATATATATATATATATATATATAAACTATAATATAACTAGTTATAAGAGTGGAACAATATTTTTGAAATATATTTAATATAAAGTGGATTAATCTATAAAATAAAACCAAAAAAAATAGTATAAGCAGTATACGCAAAATAACTTTAATTTTTGTATCAATTAGTTTTGAGTGACCAAAAAACTTACTCTTCCAATAATGCGGCATCTTTTGACTGTAGTTCAAATGAAAACGCACATAAAGGAGATTGAAACACCTCCATAAAATCCGTAATCATTTGTTTTTTATGCACATACTCTTTTTCCAAAGAGGCACACAAATAATAAAAACTGTCTTCTGATAATGTAACCAGCTCCTTTACTACGTAAATAAATTCTGACGCGATGTGAAGCTGAGTTAAATAGGACAACTGATCTATTCTTAACTCCAATCCAAAAGTCTTGAAATTTTGAGTAACTCGGGTGTGGCGAATATTATCTTCGGAGGGTTGACATTGCAGAAAATATTCACTAAAAACAAGTAAATACATGTAAACTATCCGGAATAATATAATAACTTATAATTAGTTTTTAAGCTATAAAACAACAAATAAACAGAGTTTAATCACTCATTCTGATTAATACCTTACATGGTAATTTAAGTTGAATACTTGCCTCCAAACCGCCTCAATCTTTGATTGTACAGTTATTGAAAATTGCTTTAAAATAACCTGGTAATCGTTCTTCAATTTCAAAGCTCCTAACTCAAAGAGCAGTTCGACTGCTTGGAGATGCGAAATAGGAGAAAGCACCGACTTACCACTTAGTATGCTATTAATAATTGTAACTATATTTGACTTGTTCTCTTTAATCTGAAAAATATTCCTTAGAAAGAGGAAACATTTCCGTTACTATATTACTAGTCCACTATTGCTATTTTTCTCCAAAAGCAATTCAAAAAAATGGTAAAAGCACTCTCTTAAAGTATAAATGTCCTCGCAATCTGAAAAACATTGACTTTTAAGTAATACTATTTCCACAATAACTAAAAACTTCAAGTGTAATAAAAAAAAAATCCAACTTACGTTTTAACAAATTCCAAAGATGGTCTAATATATTTTCTTCCCTGATGTTGTTTAAGTCGACTTCTTTATCAACTTCACATTTCATAACTCTGGGTGAAACCAAATCACACATCTTTCCACATATAACATTCATATCAATAGGATCACTGGACAATAACATATATTCATCCACACCCTGCTTAACATTCCACAAAATACTTATATAGGATTGTAGAAGAGATAACTCTGTCCACAAATTATGAAGAGAAAGAACCGGATGGCCAACTATTATTTCAAGATTCTAAAAATAAGTAAAAAGTAAAAAAAAATGTGATTGTGTGACACCTTCACCATTTTCAGTATGGCATCCTTCATGGGAAATGTATTGAAAATACACTGAGGGCAAACTACATCAACAGATAGGCTGGCGTGTTTGCCTAACTTTCGCAATGAAGCGTTCTGATTTGGCAATGTTTTAAAACTTCTTCCGTAGATATCATATTTCATTTTAACCAAATAAGTAACCTAAAATGTTAGAGAAAAAACAAAAAACACTATTTGCCAGTTTCGTTTACCTCTTGGGGACCCTCCAGCTTAAGATGTGATTTTACCATGTCATTTAATTTTTTCGAAGCATCATCTTTTTTAATGCAATTTAGTATGTAAACTTTCGAAAACATCAAATCTTTTAAGTGGTAACCAAAGACTACCGTGTTTAAAGGGTCATTACCACTGCAAATGACATAGGTGGGTAAATTATTTTTATTTGGGTTCTTCAACTTCCTTCTAACAATTTTTCTAAAAGGAAATTGTTAAAGCATAGCAATGTGTTCTACATAAATAAATTAAATACCTTGCTTCTCTCTCTGAAAGCGGGAAATGTTTGGTTTCATCAGGTGGCCAAAAGCTAACAGCTCTGACCGAATTTGCAAGCAACTGAACAGTATCATCTATGCTGCCAAGATCGACTTTTAAAGGGTTTCCAGTTAAGTCACCTTCATCTGAGGTGACTGCATCTTCAATGGTATTTGGTAAAGAACCATCTTCGAAAACGTCATCATTTAAACAAATGCTTCTTTTCTAAAGGCAAAGATGATTTTTTTGGTATTTCTATATTTTTGTTGTTGTTGTAGTGAGAATAAAAAAAATGTAGCGCCAATTAAAACATTTACCTTAAAAATAAAAAATGGGAACTCATAATTGAAACACATTTGAATAAATATTGCCTATAATCTGTTTTCTATGTTGGAGGTATGATTGTAACCATTTATGTCGAATTCTTTTAAGTCTGATATCCTGGATGGGATGGTTGGCCATGTCAAAAACCCTACTCATATCAAAGAAGTCCCAAAATGTAGGACTTATTATTAAGTGCTTAATGAATGTGAAAGAGGACAGGGCTCTGGACAAGACTTTTGGTTCAAAATCTAGTCTGTGCCTTATTAATTAAGTAATTATTTCAAGCCTTTAAAAATGGGTTTGACTCTTGAAACTTTGAAAACATGGCGATATATTCCCTCGGAGAAACTTTGTTTAATAATGCATGGATAAAGAGTAGCAAATATAGTCAGACACCTAAAAAATTATATTTCCTGGTGAATCATCCACCTTACCTTAGCGAAAACTAATAAGATATCTTCATAATTGATACCAAAATTAGACAAGTATGAAGGCACCTTCGATTTAATCTGCACTGCATTGCTCAATATTGGGCATTCCTCCATTTTTGTTTCAATTCTTTTGGTTTAATTTCTTTTTAGTTAAAAAATGTAATGGACTGTTTGAATTAACTGAAATAAATAAGGCACAGAAAATGACAACCACAGATATTCAATATTCTTCTTTTTGTAGTAAGTGAGTATATAACGTACCAATAATCAAGATTAGTATATAAATTTGGGCATTCTTTCCATCAAGTATAATTCAGCAGATTTTTATAATTGGATGCATTTTTCATTTAGTTCTATTTTTCGGCATTGCATGTGACGAATATATGCTTTGTTCTGTAAAGTGGTTCTAATAAATAATTTCTTGAATATCTTGGAATTTGTTTTGTTGAGCATTAAATTTTTCTCCATGATCAGGTCGGCAACTAATCAAAGTGGGGAAAAGGCTATAACCGATATTTCCGTAATTATAAAAAGCATATAATTATTATTTAACTTCGTTGCTTGTAGTTAGTTTATATAGATCAGAATCAAATGGTTTCAATTTTTTTTTTTAGTTTTGTGAACGTTTTCAAAGTATAAACGTCATACGACCCCGCTGCTTCTGTTATTCACGCCGGTTGGAGAACTGCTGGACCGTGATGATAATTGGCGGAACTGAGGGGAATCTGCTATTCCTTGGCGAAGCGATGGGTAACCGGAATCAGAACTTTGTGTTATCAAATCGTACTATATTTGTGGGTATGTGACTGAAATCGTTACTCTTCTGCAAAAGTTTATTTTGATGAGAATGAAACTTTGTCTTAGATTCATTAAAGATATTGAAAATGTTAAATATTAAACTATTCTAATAGATTCAAGATCAAATCAAAACTTATTCTTATGTTTTAATGTGGTATTTTGAATTATAAAAAAATAAAAATTGCTTCAATATATTCCTTTTATTTGTAAAGTTCCTTCCTTCACTTTAGTCCCGTCACAATTTTGCAAAATAAGATAATTCTTTTAAAATGAAATTGGTAGTTTTTTGCCAACTAGAACATAAAGGAATTTTGTAATGTAAACATTCAAAACAATAAACTAAACCATAAGAAAATGTCTTCCTTTATTAGAAACTGAACACAAGTTGCTTTTTACAACTAAATTGAATATTATTGACAAGGCACATTAAAATAACGTATTTCAAATAAAACTACTCGTGAGTGTGTAACTCCTACATCTAAAAAAAACAACAATTTAAGTCAAATAGAAGAAAATAAAAATGTATTTATGATTATTTATGCTACTGCATTGCCTTGCATACAGTTGGTCATGTGTGCAACAATCTTAAAACACATTATCGAACACATTGTACAAGTTTTTCATCCCCTAGAATACAACTAACCTAAATTTAAATTTAAGCTGGCTGCGAGTGGGCTCCTTTTTTTCCAATCAGGGATTTGTGAATGTGTGGAATCACTCCACCTCCAGCAATGGTCGCTTTAATTAGACTGTCCAATTCTTCATCCCCCCGAATGGCCAACTGTAGATGTCGAGGGGTGATTCTTTTTACCTTCAAATCTTTACTCGCATTCCCGGCCAATTCCAATACCTAAACAAAGCTAAAATTACAAACACAAAGTTCTACACATATCAAAAATGTCTTGCCTCAGCGGTCAAATATTCCAAAATAGCTGCTGAGTAAACTGCTGCTGTTGCCCCTACTCGTCCGTGGCTTGTAGTTCGATTTTTCAAGTGCCTATGAATCCTTCCGACTGGAAACTGTGAGAGAACTAGCTCAGAACTTAACCTAATTTTCTATTTGCTTTTGAAAATTTGTTTGAATCGAAATTTCTAAAGCGTAGGCAATAATATTAATCAAAAAACATACCTGCAATCCAGCACGAGCGGAACGTGAAACCGCTTTGGCTTTGGCTTTACCACTGTCTTTACCTGCTTTGCCGCCCGCCTAAAAATGTCGAAAATTTTCTGTTAGAGATGATAACTACAAACCACGAAATTGATCTCGCTCAGCAGAATAACGTTGATCACAACTTATTATCACCACTACCGGCAATTTTGGGTAAATTCTATCATAAAACTTACCATAATTTATCGAAATTCCAGAATGCTTCCAACCTAGCAAACGACAAAACCCGAATAAAAACGGTTGCATCAACGTAAGCGCGCCAAATGAAAAACAGTTTCGACGGAACATGCGCACAACGGTCACGTGTTCAGTCTTGACCAGTAACATTTTAATGTTGACCGATGTGACAAAGTCGTATATTGATTGGATGATAAAGTAAGCGTCACTTGGCTTGGCCTTGGGATAATTGAAATTTTGGAGGGAACACTCAGGCAAAAAATAAATTTAATCGAATATAAAAGTTTTAAAATTTCGTTGAGTATTTGTTCAAGTATGTTGTCGCATACTTAGTTTAATTTATTTCTCTATTTCCCGAATATATAAAGTTACCAATAACCAATGGCTATAAATTATTCCACATAATTATTCGTCAGAGCCATGTTTTTAAAGTAAACCTATGATGGGCAAGTTCAAATCATACCCACGAACAATTGAAATGGTAATTTTCAGAAACCAGTAATAAAATAATTTTTTAATATGTTTAATCGTATTTTAGAATGTTTGAAAATTTTCTACCGGATATCAGAAAAAAAATCTAAAAAACTTTTGGAAAAAGCTTTAACTGAATACTACGTAATATGTGCTTATGGTAAAATTGATTATTAATTAAGCTTTGAATAAAAGTATTGCAATATTTTAATGATTTTTTACCTTATTAAGAAATTTTTCCAAATTTCACAGTTGGGTTTATATAAAAATTTTGTTCAATTACAACAAAACTGGGCGAAACTAATTTTGGTTGATTTATAAATTTATTAGAACTAAAAGGGGGCTCTCAGAAGGGACCCTCATATATGAATAATAATATAATGATAATATAATGAAATATAATAATGAAAGCAATATTTATTTCAATTTTGTCATATTATATATACATTATTGATCATGGCCAATCAAGAATTCTATTATGAACAGCTCTGGCAGGAGAATGAAAGCAGGATTCTTTGGGAGAGCTAATATTAATCTACAGAATAGGGCAGTGTCAAAAATTATAAACTAGCTTCTAATATGTTACTACTATGTTCACTTGATCCTTAAAAACATACAAAAAGCTTCGCCATTTAATAAGTACTTTATGGCTATACTTAAATTTGCCGCCGACATTAATAGCTAATTTGTCTATTTTTTTAGGAATTACAAGGCCAAAATTACAGCTTTTATAAAAATTATTTTATAAAGTGTATGAAATTTTATTAATTACATCTATGCCTCTTCGTTTTGAGAAATCTCCTCGCATCTGTCTTCTATGTCGTCCTAAAATGAAAGGGCACTATTTAAATAGAGTTTGATAAAGAGATAAAGAAATAAGTACCTCCTCCAACTCCAAACACTTGGCCCACTCTTTAATAGTAATTCGGTGGTCATTGTCCGAATCACATGAGTTCAAGAAAGGCGCGATACAATGTTCCAATGCCATTAGAGGCGCGCGTATGGGAAAGAGCTCGTGGCGGGATATGTACCTGCTCGTCGAAATATAAATTTTAGTAATTATTTGATATTCCATGAAAAATAAAAGAATACCTGTCTGGAGGGTGGCCGTCTAAGTCACAAAATTTCCAAATGGCGGCGTTTGTCCAGCGACGAGTCATGTTTGACTCAGCTTCATGCTGCATTTTTGTGTAATGCGGAGTTAACTCTCTACGGTCAGCCAAGTCGCGCATAACGTTAAACAACCAATCGCGCATCCTGCGAGGAAAATCGGCCATTTCGCCTTCTGTGCATTCCTTAAAAAAGAATAACCAAACTAAAATTATATACCTGCTTAATATAAGATAACAATATTACCTTCATTTCCCTGCATGTACCGTAATATTCTATATGGACATGTTTGTATTGCTCCCCTTTACACTTGGCATCGTCAATACGACACCAACAACGTTGCTGGTATACCGAGCAATCCGATGGCCATGTTTCATTGTGGTTTGAGCAAACCTGGACCGTGTTATTTATTTATGTATATATTATAAAATAAATAACAGCTGCGTCTATATGTATATAATAACATAAGCCAATTGTTACTTTAAGAGAAAACTGACTTCAGTAACTTAGTCATTTATTTATTGCACCTTTGCAATTATGGAACGACCAATATCGAATGCAAATTTAACAAGCCTTATACTTGATGAAACTTTCTTGTCTTGTTGAATTTCGGGATGTTTGGATTTTTCATATGATTGCAAAAATGATTACCTGACCTACTACCAGACTTTGCTACTAGCAGCCCAAATTACGATACATCACGATTATATATTTACCTTTCGCCGCGAATCTGTTTCTTCCGGGCACACTTCAATACAAACACACTGTGGTTCACCTTCCTTGTCCAGTTCACAAACCATACCAGCACCACATTGAACATCCATACAAGGGTCTAGAACAAATTATGTGATAAGCGGTATTTTCTATAGACACTGGTTTCCCTGAAATAAATTCTACCTGTTATAAGGACCCTATTATCAATCATATCTCCGGTGGCGGCAGCCATTGGAGGCGGTGCTGGTTCGGAAGGTGTTTCCGAAGATTTTTCCTCACTTTGTTCGATTTTATTTTCATCGGAAGCAATTTTGAACTCATCTAGACTCGTCGCCATTGGACGCTTCCTGTATTTTTTATGTTTTCTCTATGAAAAAGGCAACCTATAATGCTTACTGATTAACAATTCACGCATTATATGCTTACAGGTTTAGAATCGGCAAGAACATCGGTTATTAGAAGAGCAAACACTAGAGCTGAAACCAAGGGTAGGGCCCTCATCTTGCTTGGATCTGCAGACCCTCTTTCAGATCCTGAAGTATAATTCACAATAGGAAATATTATAACATAGGTTGTGAAGTAACTTGAAACGTTAATAATTATATTACTTATATTACCCACACGATATTGGTCCACATAAAGTGCGTTCAGTTTTTTAAGGAAACTACACCGAAAATGGACATCAACCTGTATATTTTAAATTAAAAACATATGATCGAATTTTTCAATTTTCAAGTTTGATCGTTTATATTTTTTATATTTTTTAATTTTAAATTAAATAATTTCATATGAAAAAATATGTAGAGTTGTGGCATCCTGTATACTCAAGTGTTCTAAAGTTGACTATCATGGGCACGAGGACTGACAACAACATTTTTAGGGAATCGAGGGTAATAACCAGATCTAACAGAATCTTAAAAATATTTTCAAAACTATTTTGCTATGTAACGACTCTTAACACTGTATATTAGCAAGCCACCAAGTTGGATCATATACTTAGTGATACATAATTAGGGATAAAATAATTAATCTTCACGAGCTATTTTTTTACAAAATCTTCTGTTACCTATAATTAATTAGCTAAGGACATACATTCTCAGTTTTTACATTGTCTGAGGAAAGGGGTTATTTCGCAGCAGCATTTTCTAGAGCGACTTATTTTTAGCTCATTTATGAGCAACCGAAGGTCTGGTGTAAAGCCTGAAATAACAAATGGTAGAATCGCGAATGACATCATTTCGTTCGTTGATTACGAACAAACCGTTTTGTTGGAGCCCACTGACTGCTTTATACAGTGCGGTGCAGTATGTTTTCAATGTAATTTTTTTAAATATTTAGGTGCACTTAAGAGAAATATTCCAAGTTTAATACATTTTTACACGAGGGTAAAATGATGCCCTTTTTGCAAATAAAGACAATGATTTGATATTTAGGTACAACTTTTCTTAATGGTGTATTTTTCAAAATAAGACACACATTTTAACTCGTGACAATATTTCACATCTTATGCTGCACCCGGTACTATCGAACTTCAATTGGCGTGCGTAGGTACATCCACCATTGCTTTTTTATGACCAATATTAAATAGAAATCCCATATAAATATGTGCAAAACTTAATGCACCACGCTGAATAGCGTGGGCTCAAATGTTAACTACGCAACTTTCTTTATGTCGGAGTTACAAAACTTTATTTTATCTTTTACAAAATGTGTGCAAATTTTAAAAACTCCCACGCTTTGTTTTCAGTTATATTCCATTTTTAAAAAAAGTCAATTAATTTGCGGAAGTGAACAAGAAAAGAAATAAAAGGAAAAGTATAAAAAAATGTCTTTCCACAAAAATTTAATGGAAGTCACTTCTAATTGTTGTAGTTGTAGGAGTTTTCTGTACACATTCGTGTGACATGTTATGCCTATATTTGCATTTGAAGGAGTAAATGCATTGAAACGAGTGAAATTTTTTAATATTACATGTTCAGGATGAAAGAAAAATACCTCAGATGTACTCAGCCTAAATTAAACGTCTTGTTTGAGTCTGTAAACAGGCAGAACGAGATTTAGAAAATTATAAAAATATAGTTACCTATACAGGGTGTTGAATGCTATTTTCCAAGGTGTTGACGTTGACAGATTTTGTTGAAATTCGGCAACCGTGATAACGGACTAATTACCTACTTAGATTAAAATTACGAGGTCCAGTGCTGTAAGACGCATCTTAACGAATAGTATTGTCAAAGAAGTGTACGCCATGAACTTGTTTGAAATTATTGTCCTTTACGTTGGATGAAGTACAGATCATTAAAATTGTCTCAACATATTTTTATGAACGTTTATTTTCTATACATTTTAATACGCAATATATTTAGTTTTTTTTTTTAATACGTTTATATAAACTCTTCATTCTTTTTTTTTGGATGACAAATCTCCAGCCAAGTGTTGCCGCATGTTTTGTATAACATTTTTCCTGTTTTTTAAAATAATTAAGACTAGCAGCTTTTATGTGGACTACTTTAGGACTCATATGTAAAAGTATATCGGTCGAACATTGAAATCGATAGCTAAGTGGGGGCGACGCTACGATGTGCTTGGAAATATAAATGTGTATGGAACGTCTTGGGACGAAGGAAATGCGAGATTCTAAAAAGCGTCACGTCAGGATTTTCGATTTTAAGAATTAGTAGATCATTTTGGCAAGAAAGAAAATAATTGTTGTCGTTGTTGAATATACATAAACTACTAAAATAAAGTAATTCCTAGCACTACTAAAAGAATAACAAGTCCAAAAAGAGCAAATTAATATAATTTTATTAGGAGGTATATAAAAACAAAATCTCAACTTTATTATGAGTTGACATATTTCATTTGTTAAATTTAAAACAGTTTTTGTGGGCACATACGATAAACATTATTCTACACATTATCCGCAGGAAATGAGTCGATAAAAACGAATCTCATGTCGAAAACTATAACATCCTCTTATGTGAAAATAAGTCTAAGAATAATTACCTTATTTTATTTATTCTGTGTTCAATTCTTTTTTCTTTATAGGTAATAATTTTCGATATTACCAAATTAACCATATTTGATTTTTACAACATGCAGAAGATCAACCACTTTACTTACAATTAAACAATCGTTTTCAATTATTAACAAAATACTTACATCATAATACACTTTATCTTTACCACGATAACCTATTAAACTCAGTTTAACATAAATTCAAAATATACCATATTAGACACGATTTTCATAAATGACATAATCAAACTTTAATAATAAAATCAATACTCTACTAAGAACTTATCGTGATATTCCTTTATCCCAAAATCTATTTTTTGTATTCACACACGTTTCTTTTTGAATTAAGAAATGATGTGTTCAAAACTTTAAACTGTGTTCTCGCAAATAAAGCTAATTTAATTTTAACTGCTACTTTTTTTCCTTGAAAATGCCGATAACGCACATCGGCCAAAACATCGCTTCAAGAAATACTTTAATACCGGAAGAAACAAAAATATGTGTTGCATGTTCATACCTGCTGAACGGTTTTTAAAATTTTAACAGAACCAGAAAACAACGTTTCCACTGAACACCCGCAGTACAACTGAAAGGAACTCGGAGAACGGTACAACGTTTGAGGCTCTGCAATTCAAAACATTGGAACATTTGTTTATATCGTCATATCCATTAATATCGTCGGACCGCACCATTTCATTTATCACGACATACTTTTGGTTTTTAATTGGGTTGACTGAAAGATGATTTTTAAACGATGACCTAATAATAAAATCATTATTCGTATACGAACCAGTTAATACAAAATGCAGCTTATTCGTGATCTCTAGGTTCATGAAAAGAATAATGTGCCGCATGTTATATCGTGCCGTTGAACTTAGACATCGATAGCAGATACCAAAGAAAATAATAACTTTTCATTGTAAATGTGTCGCATACTAAAAATATGAACAAAAATTTCCTAAAATAACAGAATATAATGGTAGCGATTTCGTTTTAAAGGAAACCTTTATCAGACTGTATCATAAACCATATAAAATTTGTTGTATAATTAAGTTTTAATTAAGCACAGATTTTGCATACGAATATTGGGAATGAATTGAGTATTCTTTCTTGATTCTATAGTGTCTTTCGTTTGACGGTGGATATTTATTTAAATATGTACCAATATTTAAAAAATTCTTAGTTGGTCTAAAGATACTAATCTAAAAGTTTCTTTTTTAAGTAAGGTATTGTATCTAAAGTAGTAACAAAATGAATCCTAAATTTGACCTTCTTTTAACAAGAAGTAGAAATGACTTTTCTTTTGAGAAGATTGAACTTTTCGGAAACTACAATAATTATTTTGGGTCCAGTAATGCAGAGTTTACACAGCTTAAAATGATGGTTTATGCTACTCCCATAGAAACAGTACAAGAATTAAGAAATAAAATCGTCAATGCTTACGTTACGAAAAGATATGGAATAGACCTCGAATTTTAGCTCGACTTCGTGGTTCATGTGTTCATGGTTATGTTATGGACACCACTGGACTTCATAACTTTTATCTATTAAGGCTAAATTAGCCCGCCAAATTAACATTGCCAAATGTCAACAAAACCTGTATTTTTAAATCTCTTCATTTCCGGACTCATGGTTTCGAACACTCTAGATTAATTAACTTTAAAAAATTTAGTGATGGAAATTATAAAATTTACACTACATTTATATTTACTTTCTTCTTTCTCGGTCCTGAACATGTTAAATCATAGGAAACGATTTCCAATACATATTTGTTGGCTCCGCCACTGCATCTGTTTTTTTGTTAATATTCATATTTTTATTTCTGAATTGTGAAGTTATTTGCCATTGTTTTTTGACCGTCCATAAAAACCCTGGTAAACAACGACTACATTACTGCTGAATTTTAGCCCAATTCCTATAATTTTCTTGACATTATTAACAACTTTTACGAAAGAGCCTATTCTGAATAAAGCAACATATTATGGCGACAAAAATTTATAAAAACATCGTATTTTAAGCAGCAAATTAACTAATGAACCGATGAAAAGTTCAACGATTCTGCGAGACTCGGCAAATTAAGTCGTTTAATAAACATTTGTTATTGAAAAACAAGTGCGTACTCACCCAACCTCTTCACTGTCGATGCTCAGCGCATAAACGAACAACCAGCATATAATGCAATTCCCTCGCCCTCACACCGATGTAAAATCTGCGGTAATAAAGGCGAAATATAAAGGCACCACACACGCTTGGTTTATACGTTCTATTTTGCACGTTCAATTCATCTCAAGAATTTTTTAAAAATTTTGTTTCATTGTTGTATTTATGTATCCATTCAAACTAGAGAAATTACAGAAAAACATTTTCAGAACTTGTTTCCCACTCGAATATTTCGATTCCTGATGTTTAAAAAAAAACCCGTTTTATCTGCTGTCATTATCGAGTGCTAGCTTATTTCAAATGCCCTCTTAATAGCTTTTTTTCGGTGTCTGATTTATTGACATTGATGCATTCGTTTTCCACAAAACTGGAAAATTATGTCTTCTTTGTGTAGTTTAGTTCTATAAGAAAATTGTTTCTGTCTGTCTTTTTCCTCGCTACTGCAAATTCAATATTTAAAATTACTATGAAACTAAGAGATGCTTTTGAAAATATACTCCGCAAAAGCATGGAACTTGCCTTCTGGGTAACACATTAAAAAGCTAGAAATTCCATACAAAAATAGAAGATATTCCCAATTTTCTCGAAAACGAACCTCTTTTTAAGCTTTCGTATGCCAAAAATTAAACCTCCAAGCCATTGAAGATTTTTAAGGGGACTTTGAGTGAAAGGGGAGCAAGCAATTTTTGCTCCAAAAGCTGATCTTAATTCAGCATTTCTTTTAAATCTTCAGATTTTCACATTTGAGTCCACCAATAAAAAAAACTTCAAAAAATATTGGTTAAAATGGGGACACTAGTTGGGTAAAATAATTTCCCATGCAATATTTTCCATTGACAATTGAGGCGGATTATGGAACGATAAAATTAATATTCTTATTTAGACATCAATAACAGGCACCCAGGAACTTTTGATAGTAACTTTTTTTTTAACTTTTCAAAACTTCTGGATTCTTTCTGCGTCGAAATTGCTGACGTTTCGCCAATCATCCTGTTGGCTTTTTCAGAGCTCTGAAGAAGCCAACAGGATGATTGGCGAAACGTCAGCAATTTCGACTCAGCAAAAACCGACGCAGGAGAAATCCAGAAGTTTTGTAAAAAGTAACTTTTTTTTAGTTTAGTTCAGTTTTAGTTCTGTTGTATATGAAATATTTGAAAACACCTTTCTACCATTCCGCATGGGCAAAACACCACACGCCTATTAAATTATAATTTAAAATGGCAAAAAACGAGTAACCATGTAAACCATGCAAACAAAGTAACATAGGAGTTATTTTGTCTGCTGGTATATTTCGCCAACATTTATTTTTGAAAGACTGGGAGTATCCAGGACTTTCATTCCGTTCATTTCCGTTAAAAATTTTGGTTTTCCGAACTGGATTTTCACATCGTTGAAGAATTTTTCTTCATTAATTTTTGTTTCACAGTTTACTTCGATTTGCATATATCGATCCGTGTTACACTTGATTTGCAATTTCTCAGGCTTCTGTGGCAGAACGAGAAACTAAATTTTGAGTGATTTGTTCTATAATTGCTTCTGACAGGTTCATTTTTGTAAACGGACAGTTTTCCATTCCGATGTTGTCAAATAAGTTCTCCACGCATACACCTCGGGGGTGAGGCATTTATTTATTTTACCAACCGCGTTAAAGGCCTTGTTCTTTACGAACAGGTGGATGTAAATTTGTAAAAATGTAAAAAGTTTTTCCACAGTAATTTGTATTAAATATTCAGTTCTTTAAAGTAAATTTTCGGCAAGTCCATAAAAGAAATATTATTAGTTATATTTTTAACATTAAACTTATCTTTAATTATTTTGAATGCATGAATACATAATTGATAAATGTATTTTTGTTATAAATTAACTTTGCGTTATCTATCTGGATAGGAAGTATAGGATTTACTGGTTTTGTAACTTCTACGTTTGTCGTTATTATTAGTTCGGTTAGAACTGCTGTGAATAGAAGAGTCAACATTTTAATCTTCATTGGTTTCCTGAAAGAATAGATTTTTATTAGCTTTTGGCCTCTTTGCACTACTTTTATGATAGCTTGTCTTTGATGTTATTAATTTTTTTTCCGATTGGTTTATTAACGGTATCTTTTTAAATTTAGGAAGTTCTTTGTGTCTAAATTTTGCTTTAATGAAAGGATATTTTTGATCGCTAAAATCTAGTGGTTCTTCACTATTTTCGTGTCTCTTTAAGATGTCTTCTTTCGTTTTTTCATTTAATTCCTTTATTTGTTGGTACAACTTACTTGAGTTTTCTTTGTGAGATTGAACATAAGAAGAAATGATCGCGTCTTCTAAGTTGTTAAATATCGAGTCAGTTTCAATCTATTGGATATCGTTTTTACCGTTTTTGTTTTTAATTTCGTACTCATACTCTTCAAGTTTAAGTCTCCATCTAACGAGTCGCGAATTTGTCTCTTTTAATGACAGTAGCCACTGTAGGGGTTTATGATCCCTATAAATAATGAATTTTTGTTCGAATAAATAAGGTCTATAATATTTACAGCTCCAAACAATTGCTAAGAGTTCCTTTTCAATTGTCAAGTAGTTTATCTCTGCTGGGTTCGGCGTTCTAAATACGTAGGTAGCATTTTGGGATCAAATTCCTGCGACGGCATATTTTGATGTGTCGGTTGTTAATTCAAATTTCTTTGTAAAGTCTGGATAAGATAATACTGGCTCCGAAGTAAGTACATTTTTGCACGTGTTAAAAGAATCAATGAATTCTTTTGTGTGTTTAACTTTGCTTTGGCTTACTGGTATTTTCTTTAAAGATGTTTCATGGGGATTTACAGTTAAAGTAAAGTTTGTGCCTGACTGTTTTCTATATTTGAATGCAATTTCGTTGTTAAATCCTATTAACTTTTTGTTTATTAAATCGATGTTCAGATTCATATTAATTAAATCAGTTAAGCCCATTACTCCATCAAAAAAGTCATGAAAATAATATAAGATAAACTCTATTCGATAATCGATGTTAAATTCAGAAAATGCTTGTATGCTAGCTTGAATTTTTTTTTGACTTCCTACTGCTGTCTTAATTTCATTATTTTTTATGATAAATGCAATTTGGAAAATATTTTTCAGCGATAGTTGGACGTAATATCGAGCATGAACTACCTGTGTCTATTAGCAATTTAATATTTGGTTTACGTATTTGAATATACGGTAAGGCGTGGATAGCAGAAATATTAATTTCTATTAGGGTTGGTTGTTTGTTTTCGTCATTTGGATTTTCTGTTTCGACGTTTTGTTCGATATGCGATGTATTTTCATTCTCATTTTGTTCCTAATTTTCCTCAAATTCGTTGTAATCATTATACTCGTTTTGATTGACAGAATAATTTTATCTTATCGGTCGTCTTGTAAATGAATTGTTTGTTTGTCTTGAGATACCTGACATTGGTGTCGGTTTAGGAAGTTGGTTGGGTGATATTTCATTGGGTTGGAAGATATTTCGTGGGTGTCTTTGAGGTATTTGCCTCGGTTGAATATTTATTGGTTGAGATGGAAATTGTGGTTTTTGGATTGAGCGCGATTTCGTTGTAATAATTTACATGGAAAAGTTATTCCTTATGATCTAAATTTTCTGAATTACTAATCCGCTGTAGTACACTACTCTTTAAAAGTTGTAGCCTACCACCAAAATTAACTAAATGTTAGTTTTTAAACAGTCTCGTTCTAGTTAATTCCTAAATTAAACAATCTAAATTTCTCCTATCTGCAAAGCATTGGATGGGCGCATCTTTTATGCTTAACCAATCTGTCAATTCTGATCGGTTCTGCTTTCCCTACTAGTTTGTCTATGATCTATTTACTTCCGCATCTCCCAAGCTAACGTAGGAATTTATTAATCTTTCGCACTTAGCAATAAATTTGTTTAGCGTGTCGCTATTTCCGACGTAAGGTTTTATGTTATCTACCTTAAATTTAAAAAGATTTCAATTAAATCTAGGTCCCGCACTGCACGTACTACCTGAGCTTCCTTGTTGGGTCATTGTTTTGAATTTTGTTTGTGTTTTGTTTCCTAACTTTAAAATTGAATTGAAATGTTTTTCGAGATTCGATTTGTCTTCTCTTTTTCTTAACCTAATCGCGTGCAATGCGAGCCTTTAACTATCCCTTCAAGTGACCTTATAGAGATCGGAGGGCTAAAAGGAAATGACACTTACGGTTTCGTATTTCTCCGTGTCCCTTCCAGCTCAATTTTCCAACTCGTCACATGTGGATTGTACCTTTGTAGACCGTCGTTCTGCTTCCCTTGCTACTAGTTCTGTGTGCTGAAGGATTTGAGAATCCATGTAGCGAGTGTCGAAAAGGGTCGAACTTTCCACGATTGGGGATTTCACAGAAACTCCCAGAAGATTCTGGTTAATTGTCCACTTAGAAAATCCTACTGACTGCGCCACTTAAATGTTCAAAATTCGAGAGAGCGTTTTTAAAAACAAAAAGACTGGAATAATTAAGAGCAATTTTACAATATAACGATCGAATAAATAGGGCTTTCGATGCGGTGTCAGAGAGGCGTTATCTTCGCTTAACTTTGGGCTTCGTCTGTAGTTTGGGGCATATAACTCATTGGAACTTTTTAGGCTTCATCTTATGGCCAGGTCAAAAATCCCTTACGGCGTTTCATTTTTCTCAAACTGTCATCAACATAATTTTTTCTTATGGTCGGCATATTGGATTTTTGCAGTGTTGAATGGGGCGTGTATTAATATATCACAGGTTCTATTTTTGTTCCCTAAAATTCAAAATATTGAGCAAAAACTTTATATCTAGATAGAAACGCTATCAAAGAATGGGAAATGTATTTGAACATGTATCCTGAAAGACAACTCCCTCATCGAACTTTGTTTCAACAATTGGATAGAAACCTCATAAAAAGTTCCAATGAGAACATAATTATAGGTTTTTGCTAAGTTTTAAAATAAAGACAAAAACCGAAGTTCCAAATTCTAATAACTTCTAATAACTTCAATTTCTAAACGAAACAACTTTGCCCTAAGTTAAGTCACCCTGTATCTCTTTCCATTACTGAGCTACTAATGGCGAGAGTCGAATTGGAAACATGCGGTAAATTAGCAGAAATATTTTGTTTTCTGGAGAAATTCTACTTGGTAAGAATTCCTATTGGCACATATTTTTTCGTTAGACAAATGCTGGTCTGGTCTCGAAACAAGAAAACTCTGTGAAAAGGTAAAAAGAAACAAATGCTATAAAAACTCCTTCAACTGTTCAAAAACATTTTATTTTAAACTTAATGCATCGGAAGAAATATAAGTTAAGACAAAAAATTGACACTATTATAAAAGGTACAGTCATATTATAATAACTTCGCTCTATTTTGAGACCAAACAAAAAAACAACAAAATAGTTTTATGCTACAAATCTACTCTTGTTCCACCAATCACGCGTATTCTGTAAAAATTAAGAGTATGGAAAAATGAAAACGCAAAAACTGTCCGTAAAAGTCAAGCTGCAAAGGAATCATTATAACCCCCTCCCTTATTGGCACAAATTCCCCTAATTTATCAGTAAGGAATAAAAAAAATATATTGTCCCCTACTAGCCTAGAAAAACGAAACCTGCAAAGTTGTAGTCCCAGACCAAACATAAAACCTTGTAGTTTGTAGTATTGAAGTATTTTACAAAAAATGTTCATGTTATCACAGTAAAGCAGAAGTACTTAGTTATAATCCTAGATTCCGAGGAAAAGTAAACTGGATTCCAAAAACTGAGTGCTCATATTTTATAAGGCACAATAGCAAATTAACATTTTTTTGGACCAACTTTTTGTAATCTCCCACATAATCTGTCTACATAAGAAAAGCATTGAAAGTATTCCATATTAAAAAAAAAAAGTATCTAAATAAGTCACCTCAAAAGTGAAATAAATTAAATAGGCAAATAAAAAATACAAAAGTAAACTGATAATGATTCCCCCGCATTTAAAAAAGGTCGTTACATACACACACAAACATTATCACCCTTCATCGCAGCAAACGTTACTCACAGAACAACAACACTGTACACTAGCACTGAATGGTGACGCACGGTTCGTGTATTTGTGTTAAAAAATGGTCTCTGCCGAATGGCTGTACGCACATCCATTACGGTGTGCTTTGAGGATGTCTAAAGCAAACGAACGAACGATGATAGTATCTCTCTAGGCCGTGCATTAATGCACACATATTACTGTTCGTGGGCTTAACGACGGTTGTAAGTGTGTTGGCCACCTCGGTTTGGTGGACCGCCACCCCTGAAACAAAATTTTACTCAAACACTACACACCAGCAAAAGACTTCTCTATGAAGAATTTCCCTAATTGAGTCAAAAATATGGAAAGACGTTTTTTTGAACGGATTTGGATTTTCGATCTTAAAATCAAAAGATAGTAACATTTACTATGTTGTTAAAAATTTAGCAGCACCGCCAGATCTAACCAAAGATTTGGCGGCAACATTGTGTTCCTTTCAAAATACTATCAGGGGCAACTCCACATGATGCAGAATTTTTTCTTTAATGTATAGAGAAAATGAACATGTTTCACTTTGCAATCATTTTATGTTATGTTATGTTTTTTATTGGTCTTACCACCTAAATATCTGACAAGTCAGGACCATAAAAATGGCAGCATAGACAACAACACAGTACAATACTAAAATTACGACTTAATCTACTGTTGAAGTAAACTCATATCTCATTAAACACGCTGATATTTCTGCTACCGGAGAGAGTATCTAATTTTTTGTAAAATACTCAAGCGTGCGGAAACTGTCACTTTGGTACTTTAGATAAACATCTTCAGTCACTCATACACATAATACAGAAACCCTAAATATTGCAAAATATATTATTTGTGGCCCCAATATACAAATCTAATTCGCCATGTTAAACAGCGCTGTATCAAAGCATTTATGAAGATTAAGCCAAACTCGCGTCTAAGGTTGCCCTTGGCCTCACATTATGAAAATAATTTGATTTTTTTTAAATAATATTATTGTCCCCATTTTACAAGTTTGAAAAATTCTGTTTTTTAGTTTAGTTGGCTTAACATGAACAAAATGGTGAAAAAAATCTAAAAAATAAAGATTTTTTTGATACTTTCTATCACAGAAAACATCTCACAGTTTTGTCAAAGTTACAGAAAGACATCAAATTAAATCAACTCACCGATTGTATCCTCCTTGGTTTCTATTATTAGGTCCCTGTGAACCTACCCCCCCTCCCCTATTCATGCCTCCGGGCCCGCCCATTGGGCGCCTCTGACCAACACCATCTGGTCGCCCTCCCGTCCTGTTATTATCATTTCCAATCCGTCCACCGCCACTACCACCATATGACTGCCTGTCTTTGCTATTTTTCTTCTCCTCAACGTTTAACACAATACCAGATGTGTCCTTTTTTGGGTAGTATATCGGTTTGGCAGTAAGGCACATCTGCACGCTCTGCTGGGATTCATATGTGATGAACCCGTAGTGCGGCGGAGCCCTACCAATTTGTCCCGGTTTTTGTCCACCAGGTCCTGGCTTAGTGTGCACTCTTAGATCTACAACTGTGCCAAATTCCGAAAAGATGTCGCGCAATTCTTCTTCTGTTGCTGCATGGGGTAAGTTGCCGAGGAATAGCTGATGGGCATCAGATTGTGTGGCATAGTGTGGATTTTGAGAACGCCTTCTGTCATCTGCGAATACCAAAAATGATTAAGATTTTTCAAATTCGCAAAAATAAACTCCTTTTACCATCTTCCTGAATTGAGTTTCGACCGCCCAGGCCTCGGCCACTTTGTGGCGGCCCACGTGACTGTTGTTGACCAGGTCTAGGTGGGCCCATTCTGTTCGCCCCATTTGTAGTTCCGGTGCTTGGTCTCGGACCAATACCAACATTAGGAGGCGACTGGGAGCCATAGGATGGCTGCTGTTGATAATTTGACTGTTGCTGGCTACCCGCTGAAGCTGATTTCAACAAATTCGCGTATGTCTTGGGTTCATTGGAAGCTAATGACAATATATGAGAATATAGAGGCAAAAGTTAAAATAAAAACAATAGACAATTTACTTGGTTCCACTTGGATATCCTGATCTGGTTCCACATCGCCAGCATCTCCATATCCTTCATCTAGAGGTTCCTCTAGAATTTCCTCATTATCTTGAATCTGCTCTTCAACTGCTATGGATGGGTTCATAGGGGGTTGACCACTATATTCTTGTTGGGGGATAACTTGCGGAATGGGGCCTGCCAAATTATGGGGCTGAACTGTAGTGGGAGCCATGTGAGCAGGCAAAGGTTGTCCTGAAAAACAATGATAGTACATACAGTGAGGTCCAAGCTACTTACAATAAGTGGGAAAACATCTGATTTAAAAAACCAGGTTTGGATTCAATTATGCACCAAGATGCTACTCATGTGCCAGGAAGTCTACATGACGAATGAAAATTCGGTCCACAAATATGTGAATTACAATCTGTACAAGTTTACAAAATTGCCAAAAATTAATCAAAAAAAATTTCAAACAATTAGCATTATTGCGTTAGATCGATAATAAGCTCAAATATTGTCTAGTCGCATTTGCAACTATGAGTGTTGGAGACAGTGTACTCTGACTGATAAATCCATCATGTATTTTTCTCCATGTTACAGTTGCTTGTCAGGTGAGTTCAGCAAGTGCTATTAAAAACAAACAGTATCACTCTTAATTTTCTGAACTTTATATAAAGTATTATATACACTTCCAGAAGAGAAGGCATCTTCTCTAACAAGATTTCAACTTCATAACATAACATTTCAATAATATTTAATGTGTAACGCAGTGTTCTAACCTAATTTATTAAAATAGGGTTTTTATGAAAGCCAATAACTCTAATAAAATTTATAATTTATTGCTTCATCTTAAAAAAAATAGAAAGAAATGCTTTTACCCAAAAGTTTGCAAATGGGCATTAAGTTATAATAAAAACCAAACAAAGACTACATTATAGTACAAAAGTAACTATACTATAACTATACAATCTACATAATTACTTATTGATGAAGGAAGTATTCATTTCCTATTGAATTTTATCCAATTTATTTTTAATGTATTTTAGGAAGTTTATATAAACATAAATATTTGAAAGAAAACCTGGCAACGTTGGAAAATTTTGAGTGGAAGAACCGTGCGTGATAAGAACCAGAACAAAGTAAGTATCAAATGAACAGACTTTTTTTAGAATCTATTGCTGTAAAATTGTTGAAAATTTGCTTCTTTTTTATGCTCACTATAATTTTGTAACACACTGATACAACACACATTGTTATTTATCGATAACAAAAGGACATAATTCACAGTAAATTTGTATATTTATTGACGCTAATTTTCTTATCAATAACCCTCCTACTGCCATCTAACTACTCCGAACTATATTTTCTAAAGCCTATTTTAAATTCTTTTAACCATTTTACAATTTTACAAGAAATTGCTTTACTTTCATATACAAATATTTTGACAATTGGTTTACTTTATGAAATTAACTAACCATCCTAACTTAGTAAACTGCAGTCAAATTATTGATTAAAGTGGTACTAGCAGAAAAACAAAGTCTAAAAGTCTATTTTTTAAATAAACTTCCACAGGCTACTGTGGATTCCTCCTGGGTCGGTTGTTGTTGAGTTGAACTTGCGAATGTTTCGCCCGTCATCCTTAACTTAACTAATCAGCTTAACTGAAACTGTAACCAGTTTCAGTCAAACTCTGAAGAAGCCAACAGGATGATTGGCGAAACGTCAGCAACTTTGACTCAGCAAAAACCGCCGCATGAGGAATCCAGAAGCTTTCTAAAAGTCTATTATGATTTTTTTTTTCCTTCAACCAAAAATAATATAGTTATGACCCAATTTCACTTTGTTTCACTTGTGTTTTAAACAGCTGCGATATAAACATACATATTTTTTTAATATCACAACATATTCTTACTACACATTTCAACAAGCAAGGGAGTTGCAGACTGACCTGTCATTGCTATGACACCCTGTATTTAGAACAATAAAGGGTTCCTTCACTTACCTTGTAAAATACCCATATCTTCTGGATGTCCATTCAAAGCTGAGGTTGGCATAGATTGGGGTGGCTGCTGAGGAGGTGCTTGGGCCATAATATGTGGAGGAGGTTGGTGATGGGAAGTAGGGGCCGCAGCAGCTTGAATGGGTTGATGGTGTGGAGCCAACTGAGCTGGAGGAGGAACAGGAGCCACTGCTGGTGGCGCAGTACTTCCATAATATGTTGGCAATATGGGAGCAGCGCCAGTCGGGGATGGTTGAGTGCCAACAAGGGGTTGTTGCACATCAACAGGTGGGCGGTCAGAAACCGCAGGTTGAGTCTGAGGTTCATCTTCTGGTTCAGACCGTCCATCAGTATCACATTCCTCATCAGAAATAATCTCGTCCTAGCGCAAAAAAAAAATATCATTGGTAAATTTTGCATTTACATGAAAGTCATGAAAATATGAAATACCTGATATCTGAAAATATCATTATGAACGTAATACTTTTTTGGACTCTGAGAAGCCAACACAAAAGTCTGGGTAAATCTACGCATCGGTTGACCTCCATTGGAGAGTTCACCAGTAACCTGAACCACCACTCCACTTCCCAGAGTCGATTGAGAGTCAACCTAAACAAATTTTATAGACATTTTACAAACGATATACATGCAAAATTAATTATCTGTTTATAACAGTATCAAAATCCTAGTCACTTTTTTATTTTTCCATAAAATTCTTACTTGAGTTATTTTGGCATGGCAGTCCTGGAAATTAAGCTGTTGAATTTTTTGATGGATTTGTTTTTGGCCTACGACGGGCGCAGTTTCACGGTTTGGGGGATCTAATCCTCCATGCACAAAAGATGACTGGTGGTTGTAGAATCTAAAATAAATTGTTTAAAAAATTATTCCCTACCCTAGCAAGACTCTCAACGAATGTCATCAAAGCGTTAAGTTATATAGTTGGTTGTCTGTGGTGTGGATATTAATTTTTGTTCTTGTTAGGTATGTAAAAGTTGATTGTTTAAAGTTATTTATTTTAATAATTTAATACACAATATGGAGTTGTAAACATAAAATATTTGGCTATATATTTATTACAAAGTGCGGGTCCGTGCCTTACATTCCGAATAGGATAGTTTTGGTTAGTTGATTTAACTCCAATATCTATATAAAAGTAACATATTAGAATAAACTCTCTGTCAAGCATTAACAATAACAAAAAACAAACAATGTTAGCTAATAAAATCTTACTGATAATAACCATGAAACAAGTTAAACAATCCTAAGATTTCTATGACTAATCAGAGCATAGAGCCATTTCATCGCAGCTGAAACTAGGTTTGATCTAATGCCAAGATGTGATGGCTCCAAAAAGTTTAAGCAATTGTGATAAGTGCTTTACGAATGACCAAAAATTTCAAATATTTCTGATGTGCTTATAAAAGCAAATTAAAGTTTACTTAAGGCTTATTGTACAAAACAAATATGTCTCTGCAGCGCGATGTGCTGTATACCTGCTCGACAGCATTTCCTACAAATGATAAATCTACTTACAGCAAAAACTGGTAAAACGGTAAGTATGGAGGATTTAAATAACTATGAACTTTTTCAGCGCAAGTGATCATTTGGAAATGTTTAAATAAGAGTTGTAAGAATCCACCAATGCTTCATAAAAAAAACCTTTTATAATAGTTAAAATAGCAAAGTTTCGTTTGCGTTTTATTTGCTTTTCATTTTTGAAATTTTTGTTAAAATTTGGGTTTACTACGATAGCTTGGAAAACATTCAGCTTCTTAGAGGTAGTCTTCAGGTCTTTTGAATTGCATTTTTAAAGATTTATGTGGTTTTGTTTTGAATCTTTTGAAACGGGCTTCTGGTGGTAATAATTGCTGAGGTTGTGGATACTATAATTCAATTATTTTATTTTATGTTTCATAAATTTTTGTCTGGAAATTTAAAATGTCTTCTTGTGGAAAGTGAGTAGGTATCTAACTTAAAATCATGTGGTATTTTTAAAACCACAAATAAGCATTGGGGATGGTAAGTGAATGTATTGACAAGGGAAGGTTCTCTTAACTTTTAAATTATACACAAATGCCTGTTGAGGAATATTTTACCTATGTAAATGATTAGGAGCTTTATTCAAGAGAGTATAATACTGCCTCACAAACTCTCTTCCTACGCTTTGAGGAGATGGGGGAGCCTCCATTACCATTCCTATAGATTTCCAAAATGTAATGTGGAGAGTGCTCTGAAGACGAGGGGTGGTTAACCTGCAAATAAAGTAACGCAATCCATTTACAAAACGAAAACCGTCGTTCAAATTTATCTATTTGAGAATGAGGTGTATCATTATTAAACTATTTAAAACGAATATATCCATAAGTTTTTCTAGTGTTGTACAGTACAAACAAAGACATTTTGCGCAAAATCGCACGTGTTGTTAAGAATACAAAATATGGACAAACATGGCTACAAAAACAACGCCGAAACTAGCAATAAATGTTATATTCCGCAAATTTTACAAATAAGTTTCGAAATTAATTGAGATCGTTCCATTTCTGCCTAATTTATATGGAACTGCTATCCATGGCGATCAGACAACCGGCTCGTAAAAGTCCTATTAAATTACTTTTTTTTAATATTTTCTTACCTTACTGGACCAACAGGGATCGGCGGAATTAAGGTTTTTCCAGTTAGAACGTCAGTAGCTCAACAGGGATGCTTTGCAAAATTTAAACGATTCGCCGAAAGAAATCGCACACTTCAGGGTGTAAACTTGGAGAAAATTGGCATTGGCAAGTTTAGCTTGTTGGTTATCATTTTATCCTCAGAACGGCGCTGTTCAAGGTCGTTACTTTATTCTCGAACCCAAACCCTATTTGGTGAATTGCCATGCGCAAACGGATGTGACGACATATACATTTCTATCTGACGCGGGAACGCGTTATCTTTCAAATATTACTGAATTTGCATGTACTGCTAAATTATTTCGCAACAGAAAACAAATTTATTATTTACCATGTTTTATTCTCCAAGAACTGCAAATTTAATTCCGGAACACAAGTTATACAATTTTAAGCTTTGTTTAATTTTTACACTATTGATCTATTATAAACTTCAGAATTATGAGGAATATACATCTACCATTCTATAATTATACATACATATAGTCACGTAACTTTATTAATATATCTGTGTTATGTTACAAATAGTCTCATATATGGCAAACAAACTTTAATTACATATTATAAATATGTTTACAAAACATAACCTAATAAATTGTTACAACTTTAAAGAATTCGGATATAAAAGGATATACAAAATATATATCTTTAACGTTATAACAGTTTTATATTGAGGTAATTATAAACGATCACCATATAAAAAATTCACCAAAATTGTATAGTTCTTTTTGCAGTCTCTTCTTTACCCTGTCTGGAGATCTTAGTTTTCCTTCGACCACTGCTTCTTGTTGCGGGGTTGCCCTAAAAATTAATAAATTAATTCAATTTACCTAGTTAGAAAAACAACCAAGAGTACCAAATAATAATAAATCGCACATTAATTAAAATATATATATTTCAATTTTAATAATTTAAATCTAGAAAATAACATATTTTTCTCTTAATATTGAATGAATGTAATGTAATGTAATTTTCCGATTCTTTCCAGTAATTGTTGTAGTGATGTCGACAGCCTGGGTTGGCGGAAGGATCACCAACTACCGCCGAGATTTTTAAATATAAGTGAAAATTTAACAATCTTCCCATAAATTTTATATATATATTATAAATCTATAAAAAAAATATGGTAAATTCCGAAGGCTTTTTAATTTACCCCATCTTTGGCATTACAATAATTTAATTCGACTGGGAAATTGAGAACTCTTCGACCCCTCAATTTTTCAAAATACCAGGTGTGTGTCAGACTAGTCCTTTTCTATAGATTTTTTTCCTAATTAAATACGTGTCGATTTATTTCTCCCAAATCTCTAATATCCCTTTTATTATCGATTTACCCGCAAGATGACAACGAACTACGGGGGCTTGAATTCATATGCAGAATGTGGAATTCTAAAATTTTGTTCCAACGTACATCAAGATAAAACGGGAATGTCATGTTACCTTTTGATTTGCACTCCTACATAGACATTTTAAATTGACTAAATTATTTTAGACAAATACGTTGTCGGAACACACTATAAGTTTTATTTATAAGCCCAAACTGTCTGGATCGTTTTTAATAAACATCATGCTAAATATTTACATTTTTCATTGCAAAACTTATTGAATATCCTGTGAAATTTTATATAACCCACAGTTTTCCCGGAAAAAAATACAAAAAAGCAATTTTCACTTAGATAAAGCAAACAAAAATCGCAGACAAATCACGTCATATGCGAATGTTTTATAGGAAAGTTCCAGGGAGTAAAGACGTAAAAAATGCGAAAACACTTGCACAGTCTCCATTCATCTTTATTCATGTTTTTTTTCCTGCACAAGGGAAGTACAGACCTACTTCAACATGTACAATACGCTAGCTTAAAAAATTTCAACTACAACTACATTTTAAATAAAATTCTGGAACATAATACGAAACTGATTGCCAGGAGAGCATGAAAATCCCCTACTACCTAAGTTTTGATAGTTCATTACATCATAAATTTTAATATCAAAAAATAAAAAAGGACTTTTTACAACATTTCATTAAATTTAAATGAAAACAGAAGCTGTAGTTTGTACGAAGAACGGGGCGGGTTTTCCAACAATTGGAATGCCTGATAAAATATTTAAACAATTCAAATACACAAACTCCTAGATCTGAAACAAAAGAAAATAAAGAAAATGAGTTACAAAATATTTTGCTCCCAGGTACACACCACACTTACTTAAAGTAAACCGGAATTAGCTCAGTAGGGTTGGTGCCTTTGTCCTCGATTTGTACCTACACCTCTCTGTTTACCTTGAAAATTGCCACCTCCTGACGCACCTGAAAAGGAAAAGCAGTATAAAAATTTTAATATTATATCAATCTTACTCACTATAAAATACATGTTTTCTCGCCACCTGCGTTGTCTGTTTGCCATAACATCTTCTAAGGGTTAACAACTTTTTTTACATTTTTTTTAATTGCACTGTTTTCCAGAATAACCACAACTTTCTCTGAAGATATTTTAATCGGTACATAGTAAGTAAACGGACTGCTGTATAAATGCATGGTTTGTATTACGAAATATTAATGCAGGTTACGTTTACCGCGAGATAATTATGAGGATAACATGGCGATCTCGATCTCGGTCACTAATGGTGTAAGTTTACATATTAATTTGAGACTTAGAAAAAAAAAAAAAAAAAAACTTATTACAATTACTAAATCTTGATACAAATACAATATGCAATAAAAGCAAGATTCAACCTTTGCAAGTCCTCAAAAAAAAAAAAAAAAAAATCTATGCAACAGATTTGTTAACAGATAAAAATACACCTGCATATACAAATCTTAGAATATATTAGCTATGGTTAGTGATAAAGCTGTTAAATTTATGACATCAAAAGTAGTTTACGAAGAAAATATTATGTTTTTCAGTAATAAAATATGGAAGTCTTAGGGATTAATCTTCAATTCCGGAATATTAAAAAAGAAATCGTAAGTTCACTACTACATATTCATTACACTACATCACTTCAAGTAAATTTCGACTTGTCACTATATTGTGTATCCTTTAGATCAACATTTACTATCATATTTTTTGCGCAAAAATTAATTTTTCAACTTTCTCTAAAAAATAGTTTTAGTTAGTTAAAAATCTATGGGATGACAAATGGGGTTTACATTATATTGAGTCAATTCATGCACTATGATAAATTTGATGGGTCACACACTGACCACCATGTTCTGAAACATTTAACAGTTGACCAATTCACTGGCAATAAATATAAAAAAAAAAACGTAAATTAGTGTTTAACTTGCATGTATGAAAATTTTTAGAACTATTAGAAATCCCTCTTTTAATGTGAAATTTAAAAAACTTAAGAATACTCATACCAAAACTTTCCCTTCCCAAGATTGAAATTGCCCGTGATTACTTTTTACAAAACATCTGGATTCCTAATGCGTCGGTCGGTTGAGTCGAACTTGCTAACATTGCGCCAATCAGCCTGTTGGCTTTTTCAGAGCTTGACTGAAACTGAGTTTTAGCTCTCCCAAATGTTAGCAAGTTCAACTCAACAAAAACAGACGCGGGAGAAATCCAAGTTTTGTAAAATGTATTACAGTAGCCTGTGGAAGTTTCTTTGAAAAATCGCCCTTGATTACACTCCAGTTTTTGATGTATGTCCCATAGAACTCGTGTTACCTTGTTTACCATTAAAAAAACACATTCAGATTCTAAATAACGAATACTGAGGAGTAATCATAAATAAAATAATACCGATAATAAATCCATGACAAAAATAGGGAAGAAACAGAAAACGCACTAGAATGTACCTTTTCCGCGGGAGTTGCGTCCACCACCATAGCCGCTGTCATAGCCTTGGTCTGCTCAAAATTACAAAAATATTTGTTAATAATAGTTACATTATATATATATATATATATATATATATATATATATATATATATATATATATATATATATATATATATATATATATATATATATATATATATATATATATATATATATATATATATATATATATATATATATATACATACATATATATATATATATATATATATATATATATATATATATATATATATATATATATATATATATATATATATATATATATATATATATATATATATATATATATATTTGAATGCAGTCCAACAACTGCCCACTTCGTATCTCGAAAGTAAAGAATCGGGCACGGTCAAAGGAGGACACTGGCTAATTATTCGAGTTGTCACAGTCCACTACAAGCTTCCACATAAATTCTATATGAATAAGCTCAGTGTAATCCCTTATATTTGACTACAAAAATAATCTAACCCATCCATAGAATAAATAAACCATAGTCAAAAGTTAAATTTTTGATTTATATGGCGCCAGATCTGAACGTTGAAATATCGAAACTAAAAAAAAAAAAAAAAACTACAAGCTTGTCACAAAATTAAACTGCTTTATATTCCTAATATTAAATAGAAAAAAAAACTGGATCTTGTAAATCCCATCGGGACACAGAATACTTTATACAAAAAATATTACGCACACTATCACCACGAGTAAATGTCTATGCCTGATAATCCTTGGGATTTTTTTTGTAATTACCATAGCCATAGTTAGAGTAGTCGTATCCTCCGTAATTCGTGTATCCACCACCATAATAATCATAGCCGCTCCCATAGCCGTCGTAGCCATATCCTTGATTATAGCCACCATAGCCGCCGTAGTTACCACCCTGATTCCAATTTTGACCATAACCACCTCGACCACCACGCCCTCCCCTAGCTCCACGACCACCACGACCTCCGCCGCGACCACCCATCATCATCATCTGATCAGGTTTGGGCGTAGCTTTCTTCACGTCAACCTGAATGTATATTAAATGTTTTTAACAATACACCATTACACACAATTAAGATACTTTTTTTTTCTACAAAATCAGAAGTGGTAAGTAAGTTGTCTTCTCTGTTCAATCAGAAGCAGAACTGGCAAAATTGCTTCATCATTTAACTAAATTAAATTAAATTTTAACAGATATCTTAGCAAAAGCAAAATTTACCTCATTTACATACAAGTTTTACTATTTACAAAACTTCTGCGTCGGTTGTTGTTGAATTGAACTGCCTAATGTTTCACCAATCATCCTTAACTAATCAGCTTAACTAAAACTGTAACCAGTTTCAGTCAAGCTCCGAAGAAGCCAAAAGGATGATTGGCGAAACGTTAACAAGTTAGAATCAACAACAACCAATGCTGGACGAATTCAGAAGTTTTGGGAATAGTATTACATTAGCCTGTGGAAGTTTCTAGAACACAAAAAATATGCACTCAATTCAATTCTAAAAATTTTAAGTGTTTCGAGACATTAGGAAAATTATCTAAAATAAGTGCAAAACTATGCATCTGAATAACAAAAATTAAAAATATATACTGGAAAAGAATAAAAAAGTAGAATATTTAAATCTAAGTACTCAATTTAAATATATTGAAAAATGCATTCACCTCTTTGTCTTTTATTGTTTGTTTTGGCGACTTCAACAGCTCGTTAACAACCTGTTCGGATTCAAATGTAATAAAACAAAACGCCTTCCTCTGGTTCTTAATTTTGTCAAATGGCATTTCAACTTCGATAATCTGCAAATTATCACCAAAATTACCAAAATAAACCCAACAAATTCTAGAGAACTTACACTGCCGAACTGTCCAAAATACTGTTTGATATCGTCATCGGACAATTCAGGCGTCAAACCACCAACAAATATCTTCCCATGCCTCGCCTTGGCCTTCTTTGGATCCACCTTTTTGTTGTTGATTGTGTGTTCACTGATCGCAGTGACTTTGTCAATGGAAGCAGCATCTTTGAATACGATGAATGCAAAACCTCTCGAACGCCCTGTCGTCGGATCAGTTTTGACGTTTATACTGTCAATTTCTCCATATTTCCCAAAGTGGTCTCGAAGTTCCTCTGAGAAAAATTTAATAATAAAACATCAATTTCGTTTAGTTAGAAAACCATTAATGTAATGAGCTACTCAGAGGTTACTTGAAGTTCTAAAAAAAATTCAGGTATTTCCGGATATTCCATAATAATTTATACCTTTTTGTATGGAAGAAAAGGTATAAATTTCCTTCCATACAATTTTTCATAAATGTTGAAGAAAGGTAAGTCTTAACAAACAACAATTTTTTGGAGTAGACATGCCAAGTAATGAAATTTGATCGTATAAGTTCTATGACAGTTACATCACCCAATGTAAATTTTGTAACTTGTGATGTGAAGGCAAAAATCTAATAAAAATAATAGATGTTCAAAACTTACTGTCTGTAGTTTCCCAACTTAGACCGCCAACAAACAATTTTCTGGAAAAACAAAAAATAGACAATATTAAAATTGATGAAGGCCATATATAAATTCCTAAGCATTACTAGAAAAATTTGATAATGCTTACAATTTAGTTTACTCTTAAAGTTTACAACACAACAAATCAAATAATGCAATCTTGATATATATCAAGTTCAATCAAATGGATCTGCAATCTCAAAGTAATCTGCAAGTTACAATCGGATAAGCAAAATATATAAATATATGACAAATTTAAAGAGCAAAAATTAAACGTTAATATGGTCAAGGACTGAATATAAGGGCATGACTAGAATGTTCCAATTTTTAAAGACTTGTTGGCTTTACTAGTTACGGCAGAAGTATTGCCCAAGGATAAATACCATGGGTCTCCACTGCTGTCCATTATGTCCACTGCACCATAGCTCCAGTCTTCAAACTTTAGCGGCGTAGCCACCTGAAGAAAAGGAAGTTGCTTTAAATAGGATATGCTCGAAATCCTAAATCTGGCATCCTACACCGCTCCCGATTTACTTTTATTTCAAAATGAAATTGGCCCATGTGAAAGGAAGTACTTACTAATTAGAATACTTTTAAGACTGAAATAAGTTACATTCCCTGTAATGACCATTTTTCAAGGCAAGGCGTAAAAATTACTGCTGCAAATGTAAAAATCAGTTTAAGTCTGCAAAATCTACGTTGACGGTTCAAATTGAGCGCCAAATCTAGAGCATTGGCCGCCATTTTCTGGATGAATTTTGCAAGTCACCTTAATGTCTTGATATGCGAGAAAAATCTAAATCTAAATTTACAAAAAAATCTAAAAATACACATTATCCTTGAAAGTATACAGGCGAAACACTAAAATAAAACAAAAAAAACGACAGAAAATAATGGATATTCACAGATGATCCCAGAATTGGAAAATAGACGACAAAGACACTGCGCTTATAATATACCAGAAAAAAACTATTGGCTAAGTATGTAAAATGTAATATTATTACAAACAGATTGCAATAATAATTTCGCAGTTTAAATAAAACTCTTACCTATCATCATCCTTCCCGGGCGTATCAGCACTACCACTATCTGGTGGAGCATCGCCACCGCCATTCTGGTCCGTTTGGAAATTGTTTTCGTCTGTAGTTACGTCTTGGGAAAAATCTTCTCCACCGTTTTCCATTGGACTATCTTGATTAGCCATTGTGTTATCTTGGTTTGAATTTCACTACCTAATTTAAAAATACAACCAACCGGCTACACACGTCTACCTCCTAGCGACACCGGGCAAGAAGAGATCGATGGCCGACGTTCCTAGGGACGAAATTTTCGGCGTCCGTTTTGCTGCGCCTGACGTCACTACCGGTTGAAGATATCGGCCAATAGGCTAGCTGCTTTGCAACAGACAACCCAAGTTACTTCAAGCGCATGAACTTCAAACCTTAGATTAACTTTGGTTAGTTTTGGTGGGTTGCCATAGTTAATCTATGGCACGAAACACAAACAATAGCGCTTCAGTTTGGAAATGTTTTCTTATTTTCCGAAAGAAAAGAATCCAACATGGAAATCGTGATTCAAAAAATGTTAAATTGTAATTCCGCTTTCATCTGCTCAAATGAATCTTATCGAATCTTATTAAAACTTTAATCTAATAGCCTGGACAAAGTACAGTAAACCAAAAGGATAGTTATCTAGAATGCTGCATTCCCCAGATTCAGTCAACCGGAAATGAAATGATTGGAAAAAACAATCTCAAAATTTAGGAAAATATCGTACACGATATAATTTTATGATATAATCGATCCGTTGGCAGTATTTCAAATTTACATTTCTCTATTAGTTTGAACCTAATTTGTAGAGGGTGTTTTCATATCGTAATGATAATTTTTTTTCACATTTTTTTTACCCAGTAAAGGCTGAGTTCGTTTTGAATTCATACTAGGAAAGAGAAATTCTTTTTGCGTTAATCATCTTTTTTGTGAATTATTTTAATATCTTTATCTTTTTGAAAATTATTAAAAGTCGTCGATAATTAAATTTGACTTTCAACGCCAATTTTAACGACTGACAGTTGAAACCACCTTTATTTTGCAAATCTTCATTTCTTTATACTATCCATTGTTTATTTTTAATTCGCTAAAATTACTTTATTCTTATAAACACTAGTTATGCTTAAACTCATTTTTTACATTATTGTTGAAACGGCAGGCAGGCAGGCAATGTGAGATTTTTAATAAAACAGGTGGTTTTAAACAGTAAACTTTTATAAGCATGTACCGAAAAAATTATTTGAAGTTTTATTTACTAGTCTCTCCTTTTGACACATTTAACAGAGTCTTAATAAAAGATCGGAGATTCGATCATTAGAGTGTCATCCTGACGTAAATTCGCATTTTCAAAATTCCAAAATGCATTGCAAAGTATGTATTCAATTTAATCCAGCGATCCAGTGATTAAGCACAAACAAAATGTTACAGCAAAAGCGATTGGGGGATGTATGGCGAACATGCAACAAAATTCGGGCAGCGATTTTTCGAATGGGAATCAATCTCCTTGAATATTTTAAGCCACTGGATCCCCACAACAACTGTCTTATTTCGGGTATTTTACAACAAACAGGAAAAGGATAATATTAATGTAACTTTGTCTATGACAGAATCGCAATTTATCTCGGTCATTCGGAGACAACTTGGTGCGACTATAGGCCTATCGGAGCAAGAAGTCGCAGAACTAGCCGATTATTTTAGGGTACCGGATGGAAGGATTTATTACTCACAACTGTGTGATGTCATTAATGATAGCGGTAGATCATTTTGCTGTTGTAACAATAAATCATGTATCTTTTACGTTTCAGTGCCAGAATTTAGCAAAAACAATTCCTTGGTGACCGGGCTAGAATGGGAAGATCCGTTGCACACTAAAAGATTAAGCATTAGCGAAGAAAGAAGACTAAGCCTGTTAATCACCAAAATTGCCTCATTAGTAAATATGAGGAAGTTAATATTGAAGCCATACTTTCAAGATTATGAACTGGTATGGCTATTTTCATTTTATATATGCAATAAATGATACGTGTCAAAGATTAGTAATTTCCGTTAAATCATCTTTATCAAATTGTCAATGCGTTTACAATAAAAATAAATATAACCATAATTAAACGGATATTAAACTAATATAATAAATTTACCAAGGCTGGCACATGCGGGAAAGTAGGTATAGTAACTGCTTGCATAGTTCGATTTAAACAATCGACCTTTCGATACAAAATATAAAAAACTCGACTATTTAAAAATAGAAATATATATAATTATATGATATAAATATATAACAATATTAGAATACAAACAGGTTATCGTCCTATATAAAGCTATATATGCCTTATTTACCACAATTTTGAAAAAATATTTTATTTTATTAACTGTATAATGTAATATATGAAAATGTATAACATGAATTATACGGGTGTTGTTTCATAAAAACAATAGAAAAAAGTGTAGACAACCACAACTACTTAGGCGAGTTACTAAAAAGGTCCTTTTAATATTATATAGTCAGCAGATAGAGAAGAAATATTTTCTGCTTTTTCCCAATTTGGAAATAATCCCGCAGGCACATAAATATTTTATATTAAATATTTACATGCAAAAACATGTAGGATATTCTAATTAAAAATACATGTTTTTGTATTGCCATCGCTTAAAAGAAAATAAGTATAATTGAAAATATTTTGATATTTGATTTTTACTTTTATTGAATCAAAATATTTTTTAAAAACAATAATTAATAAGATGATATGCCACACTATAACGCCACCCTGTATACAGATAACATTGATGAAATGATAACATGTTAAGAGTTTACTATGATTGTGTCGTGAACTCAGAAATAAAGTTTTTTTCAGGTTTAATATATCCTATCAAGTTTTCCAGTGTTATTTAATCCGTACAGGTTTCTAAAAATACTGGGACAGTAACCATAGCCCATTTTGCAAGGATCCTTGCCTATCTAGATATTCTTTTATCTGCTGCTGATTTCAATCTATTGGTAAAGAAGTACCTCAAAGATAGCTACACTCTAAATTACGTCGCCTTTATCCGAGCCATCGACGAAGTTGTTGGCTATCTGAACAAACACGGCATCTTGGATCTAAGTGGAGTAAGTTAAAAACAAAATAGAAATTTATTCTAATTTGTGCTATCACTGTATTTTCGAGTTTCTCAATTGGGCAGGCGGAGATTTAATTGCCATCTTGATTTTTAAAACCTGCTTTCTGCAAATTTTTCTTATCTTTACCATGGTTATTTTATAGCAAATATTTTTGGTTTAATGCTCTTTTCTCTATCCCTAAAAGGAAACTGGTGGGGTGTTCAAACATTTTCAGAAATATATGTAGATAAATCCAAGAGTCGTTAAAAGGGGCTTTTCCAATCGTGATATGAGTGCAGAATTAATCAATTGATAGGAAAAATGGTAAAACACAATGACAGTTGAAAATGGGTATAGGGAAAACCGATGCCAAATGAAATTCTGCCTCGGACTATCCGTTGCTTAGTAAAAAAAGACAGCTTTTAACTTATAATATTTTTAATGTCAGTCTCGAAATTATCATTCGTGGGTTCCCGTATACTACACAAGCGCCTACCACCAGTGAAATATTGTTTTAAAATAATTTCGACATTACTAAAAATTTTCAAAATAATCAAGATATGTACGAAACTATTCAAAAAATGGGTAAACCGAGATATAAAGTTCCCATGAAATTTTTCGCCCAAGGATGTCATGGAGATTTTCGTTACAACCGTAAGTCGACAATATTTTAAAATGAAAAAGATTCTTTAATAACCTTGGAAATCAAAAACTTAGAATTCTAGAAAACATCTAACCAAGTCACTTAACTGTGCACCTTAGGAAGTTGACGTGCGCGTTCACCGTTTAAAATGGTTCATTTATCAAAAACGAGTCATATTATCGTTATGAACATTCTTCGTTTACGTACATGATGCCAGCTTATGTGTGTAAAATATTTCCAGCCATGCGATGCTGCCGTTCCTTTGAAATTGTAGCATCTTTGATGTTTAGAATAGGAATTTAGAGACTTTAATTTTTTTGTCCATCACACCGCTTCAATAAAAGGTTTATTTGGCATTTGCATTTAAAAACATATTTTACAATTTATTCAAATTCGGGTTTATTTACTGAATGAAATAGATACTCAAATTTGGAAATATAGATTAAAAATTTCTTCATGTCTATTTAGAAGTCATAAATATATGTGCCGAAGCTTTTTTTGTCTAAAGTCTATTAGACAGAGCAACTTAATTATGACTCTTTTCATCATAGAGAAATAACACCCAGTTCTTTCGTAACGTGTTTAATTTTGCAGGACATTATGGCGTTATTTCCAGGCCGAGTGATCGACGCTGAACTGCCAAAATTGCCTAGACCAGAAATAGGTAATGTCAGCGCTGCCCGATTGTTCGGGAAGCAAAGTATTTTCCACCCCGCGCTAAATGATCCTAAGACAGTTGAACACATTCTCACCACAATAGCCATGATCCAAGAACACGTCCTAAGAAACCGATTGAGAGTCAATGAATTTTTTAAAGTAAGTGCCAATAAAAGTCATAATAAAAATGAGTGAAAAGTAGGCAATAAATTTTAATTGTGTTGTGCAGGTTTTTAAATTTAACTACCACTAAGTAACTCACCGGAAGAAATGAGTTTGCACTATTGATAACAAGTGAAACATTGTGTCAGTAAATAGAATAAACATTAACAACCGTTCGAAGTTTCGTATTATTTACCCAGAATTAAAAAAAAATACATTTTCTTGCAGCATTTCGATTTATTGAATTCTGGCAGGATAACAGTAGACCAGTTCCATCGAGGCCTTGACGCTCTAGCACTTAGCGGAAAGCAAAGATTTTTCTTATCGTTGCCTGACGTTGATGCCGTAATCAACCAATACAGGGATCCGTGTGACCCCACAAGAGTGTGTTGGAAGACTTTCGAAGATGATATTGACCACGTATTTACAATAAAGGTAAAATATTATAAAATAAACCAAAAAGTTAACGATCAAAGAATGTTAATTAGTTATTGGACAGATTATTTGTGTATTTTCATTAAAAATCTTAACATAATTAAATAATTAAACTAATCAAATGTGGCTGCATTAAATAAGGATTCTAAAAGCGTTTCATTATTATGAGGATGTCAACAAAAACATTTATCAACTAAACATTCATGCTTCATCAAAGAAAACTATGATGAAGTTGTCAACTAAAATAGTTTCGGGGTCTTCGAAAGGTAAAATTAAATACGGAAGAACACTTAAACGAAATAAAAGTTTATTTTGTCAAAAAATAACGATTGTAGCCACAAACTAATTACACACTACTTTTATATAACGTTTATTATATACATTAATTTTACGGAAGCAGTGCTTCGCTTTTACACATGGCAGCCCCTCTTCGCAATGGGGATCGAATATTCCTGTCGTCTCTGGACGGGTGGCACAATATTCAGTTTCGCCAAAATTCACTAGAAAAAGTAATTTATTTGTTTTTAATGATTTTCTATTAGTTTTCATTTGTTGCTGTTAAAAATTTCACATTTTTTTTCTATGGGATATTAAAACGGATAACGTCGTATGTTAAAATTGCTGTCGCTATTTTTATAGTAGTTCTGGAAATAGTTGAAGTGCCAGTCGATGCTTTGGTTGCTTTTAGATAAATTGCGTGCCTTTTAGCTAACTAATTTTAATAAAAAAATAATTCACGGAGATTAATTTATTTTTTGTTGTTTGGATTTATATTAATAAAGAAAACTTAATTTATATTCATTTAGAATGCGGTGGCGCTAGCGGTAATTTTAAAAAACTCATTCACAAAAAGGATTTTTGACCCATCTTGTCTAGTCCTTCATTTTAGCTTTCTATAGTTTTGTGCTTTTATAGTTCTTTACATCCCTGAAGAATTTACATATTTTTATTAGCTGGGATACAGCCTTCGTGACCTCGTCTACTGTTATTGGTAGCCTGTCTACATTGTTAAGCTCTGGAGGACTTTCTGGCCTGGGGTCCGAAGTTTTTCCAAGTGTTCACTTTCTCTTTGACGTCGGTGATCAGTTTGCCGGTTTCATCATATAGTGTCCCAGATGTATTAGTTTTGTATGGTACTGGCTGTTTCTCTGACTTTCTTGTGCATATTAAACGTGTCGTATTTTGGTTCTAACGACTCTATTTCTCTGCATTTTGCGTCAAGCCAATTTTCTTTTGTACTTCTTATTTCTCGTCTTATTTCTCTTTGAATATTTTTATACCTCGCGTCGTTATTTTTCAGTTTCCGCCTGTCTTCCATAAGTTGTAGAATATTATCGATCATTTTTTGCAGCCATTCCTCAGTGTTATCTACTTCCTCTAGTTGTTTAAATTTCCCTGTCAGTACGTTTGTCACTCTCTTCCGTGTTTCCCCCTCCCATTGCTTGCGAACTGTTTTCTTTTTGACAGTCTTCAGTTTGATTCTAAATCTTCCTGCCAAAGGCAATGATCCGATTCGATGTCAGCGCCAGGGAAAGTCTTCACGGATAGACAACTATTCCTAAATCTTTTATTCACAAGGATGTAGTCGATTTGGTTTCTCACTTTTTATCTGGCGATATCCAGGTATATAGTCGACGTGGCGGTAGGGTAAAAAAGGTATTAAGTATTACATATTCTTCTTCTTCAACGAAGAGCTTTAATCTGTCACCGCGTTCATTCCTTGATCTCAAACCGAATCCACCTATGAGTTCGCCGCATTTTCCTCTTCCAATCTTCGCGTTCAGATCACCCATGATTATTGTCATATCGTGTTTATCAAACTGCTTTAGGACATCTGTTAATGATTTATAAAACTGTTCGATTCCTTCATCTGTTTTATCGGCAGTTGGGGCATATATCTTGATAATATTCAACTTGACAAGAGTGCTTCCTAATTGGATGGCCATTATTCTTTCTGAGACATAATCCTTTAAATAGTTTGATTGTTAACACTAAAATAAAATACATATATAATCCAAATTTTCGGGTAAGACTTTTCGAATCTGGCGAATATGGAGATAAACTGTGTTAAAGAATTTTTCATCCATATTTCGCTCACGAGTTCAATTTTTCTCTCTGCTTTCACTATGGGACATTTTGCTAGGAACTGGAAAAAGCACCGAACCTAAAAGTAGATCCACCACCTCAAGCGGTGAGGGAATTGCCCAGGTTAGGCGCCAAAAACTGGCAAACTGTTAACACCCGCACCCGAGACTTATGCGAAGAGGCCGTATACAAAGTGAAACAGAAAATATTACATAGACGGATTCTCTTAAAGCCAGTATTTAAGGATTTCGACAAGTGAGTAGTCGTTTTTAATTGTATCATTGAAGTGGAAAATTGGTGTTTAACAACTATATTGTCTAAGAACAAGTTCGTGCCACTTTGAAAAAGGGCTACGATCATCCTTTAGCGCTACAACAGTGGGTGGGTTTTGGCTGACTGCACAACTTTGTTCCAAATAACTTCCGCCAACTAATAATCAAAAGGGATGTTCATATTGTGGCGATCTGATTTGATGTTGTCTCACCAATACTGTCTGAGTCGTCCGAATGGTCTTCCGCCTTTTGGGATATGCTCCCCCACCGGTTTTAAGAATCTTTTGTTTAGGTTTACATGTACCGCACTCACTAATGCTAATCAGAATAATATTCTACAGTTATAATTGGTCTGGTATGAACACAAATTAAAAGCTAGAGGACGATGGGGGAATTATGGACTTGGGGTTAATGGTAAATACGGACTAACCTATATCTACTCTATCCCTGCCACCCGCGTCTCGACGCCGCGATCACGCGTTACGTTCCGCCATCTTTAGTGCCCACCAAACACTCCCGACTTAAGGCTGCCCACACGTTTCAAAGTCATTGAAATTTTACATTTTTTGTTATTTTGATGTAATTTTTGTTATTTACTATTTTGAGTGTTATTCAAAAAGTCTAAGTGCCAGTTAAAAAGTAATATCTTCGATCCATTGCAATGTTAATGAAAAGTACATAGCACAACAGGCTTTCAACCCTATACGGAATAAAACTCTCCCCAAAAACCAAAGCACTGTTCTATTTGACCACCTATTACAACATTGCCTTTCGGCTCTTCGGTCTATATCGTACTGCCGTTCGTTCTTGCGTAGCTGGAACGACATGCCGCTCGTCCGTCCTGACTCAGCATACGTGACTCTTGGCGGCCATAGAAAACATATCGTAACACGGCCATCCTGCTCTGAAAGCGTCCTAGCGCTATTTCTAAAATTTTAAAAACCAACAACAGAACTTTTGTAAATGTTACTATTTAAAGTTTAACTCATTACAATCAGACAACGGGGTTGCTATTGTAACATGATTTTTTTTTGCAATAATGGGATTGCCATTATTCCTCTACTTAATAATGGGATTGCCATTACTAATCTCACTCTTTTTTTTTTAATAATGGGATTGCCATTATTAATCTCTTTTTTTTTTCAATAATGGGATTGGCATTATTCTTCTACTTAATAATGGGATTGCCATTATTCTTCTACTTAATAATGGGATTGCCATTATTAACCTCTTTTTTTTTTCAATAATGGGATTGCCATTATTAACCTCTTTTTTTTTCAATAATGGGATTGGCATTATTCTTCTACTTAATAATGGGATTGCCATTATTAACCTCTTTTATTTTCAATAATGGGATTGTCATTATTAACCTCTTTTTTTTTCAATAATGGGATTGCCATTATTCTTCTACTTAATAATGGGATTGCCATTATTAACCTCACTTTTTTTTACTTTAAATAAACAATGAAAAAGTAAACAATCGTACGTTACCGACTTTTTGTGAATTCGTAGACGGCCATGCACGCAGTTGTTCATGAGCAGCTACAGTAGTCCGCCGTCCCTGTTCTTGTAACGCATATCGGTCATTAGGCACTGCACGTACAGTAAATGGTCCTCTGTGTTTCAGTTTCAATTTTCCTCCGTCGGCTAGCTGAGCAACTTCAACAGCCACAAGGTCCTAGAGTCTCTGCAACGGCTGCATAATCTTGTCGGGAGTTTTATTTTTGTAAAAGAATAAAAGACTTGCTATTCTTAATTTCAAGTCAGGTTGATTAATCACAACCCTATCCACACTTTTTAAAGTCATTACGTTCGAAATATTGAGCAGGTTATGGTGCAATTCGAGCCCAAAATTGTTTTTTTTTCGATTTGTAAACAAGGTCGACTGATGACATTCCATCCAATAATTAGGTCAGTGTTCCCTGGCGGAATAATATCTGGTACGACCGCATAAGTAATATCCAAACTCAACGTCGGCATGACAGTGATTAAATTACAAACATCAATAGCATAAACAATTTGGGTCCCAAATCTCGAGAAAGCACGGACCCTATCGTCTGTTTTGATTATCGCATCGAAAGCGCACTATTTTCGAACAATAACGTCGCTGTTGGTCTTGCGTTGAAATGGCGTTATTTTTTTTTTAATAAAAATGTCAATCACTTGCACAATGATTACAAGTTGGATGAACCTGGAACCTCTTCTCGAACTACGTTTGGGGCGTCGTGTTTATTGTGACAAGTATCACGATGGTGTCCTTGGCGGCCACATATAAACCATGATCCTTTTAAAATCTTCTTGGATTTTTCATGGCTTACCTCTCGTTTTTCCCCTAAAGGAATTTTCTTTTAGGCAGATCATCGATTTCCAAAACACGTTTGACACTTCGTCTTGCATCATATTCGCTTAGTAATGTCAAAACCTCACGATCGTATTGCGGTAGTTGTAAATGGAGCGAGATACGTACTTCTGCGTGATCTAACCCATATTCAACCATACTTAAAACCTTCTCCCAGGGCAATTTTTCATAAAACCTATATATACTACGAAGTTTCTGATTGCCATAATCACATAAAGAATCAAAATCACGACTTCGCATGGTGGCAGCTTTAAATGCGCGAACCCCAGGTGTTTCTTTATCAGGAAACGCAGTGATGAGATCAGCACAAAAATTTTCCCAAGTTCGGCGGATCGGCTGCCATTCGCAACAGTATCGATAACCTCGATTTTTCAAAGCCTCGCCTGCCCTAGCGATCATTAAATTATCGCTGACGTTTAATTCGTCTTTTAATATCGTAGCGTCTTCTAACCACTCACAGATTGCGTAAGCGCTGTTATCCGGATCGTAGCTGGTTAATTTGAATGTCGATGTTGACGCCTGCGTATTTGGTCCTACTGCTACGGGAAGGTTGGGCGTTGGCATTTCCTGTGACGATAACATCATCGCCATCTTTGTTTGTTTCGCCAACTCAGCAATTTGTTGTTGTTGGGCAGCGATTAAATTAATTAAAGTTTCTTGCCACTGCACTGTCCCTTTCGAAAGTTCAGGAATAGACTCGACACTAGGTGACACATTACCTCTGTTCGAATCTGTTGTAAGATTCAGCGCGGCACCGGTTGTGAAATTGTCTGCCGCCATTTTCACACTAATTCGTATTACCTTTGCAATACTGGACACGGAACTATCCCACTTCTGATGTTAACTTAAGAGATGGCGTAAGGGTTTCAACCCTATACGGAATAAAACTCTCCCCAAAAACACATAGCATTGCCTTTCGGCTCTTCGGTCTATATCGTACTGCCGTTCGTTCTTGCGTAGCTGGAACGACATGCCGCTCGTCCGTCCTGACTCTTGGCGGCCATAGAAAACATATCGCTATATATATATATATATATATATATATATATATATATATATATATATATATATATATATATATATATATATATATATATATATATATATATATATATATATATATATATATATATATATATATATATATATATATATATATATATATATGATGACACTATATTCCGGGATATTATCCGTTCGCTCGATGAACTCCGACTGGAATCCTGCATCCGACTGGAATCCTGCAGACGTTTCGCCAAAATCTCACTTGGCATCTTCAATGCTCGCGCTCCGAAAACACTTCGAACACTTTCGGAGCGCGAGCATTGAAGATGCCAAGTGAGATTTTGGCGAAACGTCTGCAGGATTCCAGTCGGATGCAGGATTTGCAGGATTCCAGTCGGATGCAGGATTCCAGTCGGAGTTCATCGAGCGAACGGATGATATCCCGGAATATAGTGTCATCACATTTTTCCATCCGTGAATCAATACGTGAGAATATATATATATATATATATATATATATATATATATATATATATATATATATATATATATATATATATATATATATATATATATATATATATATATATATATATATATATATATATATATATATATATATATATATATATATATATATATATATATATATATATATATATATATATATATATATATATATATATATATATATATATATATATATATATATATATATATATATATATATATATATATATATATATATATATATATATATATATATATATATATATATATATATATATATATATATATATATATATATATATATATATATATATATATATATATATATATATATATATATATATATATATATATATATATATATATATATATAAGAAAAAAGGTCCAGTGTGCAAGAAATTAAACAGAAAAACACTTCTTTTCGACAAGTGGTAGAGAAACATCGCATTCACAGAGCAACACTTTTTGTTCGAGTAAAAAAATCTCTGTTAGTACCATGCCAAAAAGAGGCAAGAAGTCAGTTTTTAATGAATCTCAGGAAACTGGAGCTATTTGAATTCATGTTAAAATCTTGCAAAACCTTCTTTGGGATAACAATTCCTATTCTAAGAAAAATTGCATTTGATTTTGACGCCGCCAATAATATAGCAAATGACTTCAATATAGATACCAAAATAGCAGGTATTATAATCTTATAGCTAGACACCCAAATATATATCACTTCTAAGACCAGAATTTATTTCAATAAATAGAATCACAGCATTTAATCAAGAAAAAGATATTTAAAAACACTCCGGATAAACTACCAATTTAATCGAATTCAATCTACCAGCGCAGAATGTGTTCCTTGACCACAGTTATAAATTGTTTTAATGCTGGAGGCACATATGATTTTACTAATACTGGACAACCATGAAAGCCACATTAGTTTGAGAGCTCACGAATTTTGTCGAGAGAATTTTATTCATGTTTTAACTTTGCCATCTCACACATCCCATAGAATGCAGCCTTTAGATTTAACTTTTCATAGCCCACTAAAAACAGTGCAGTGTATAACAGAGAGTGTAAATCCTTTATGGTCAACCATCCAGGCACCAAAATTACTGCATAAGTTGTAAGACTTTATAAAAAGGCTTTTAATAAAACTCAAAGTACTGAAAAATTTATGAATGGTTAGTTAAAATAAAAGCATTATATTATTTTCACCAGTACACCGCAAGAAGTAAACCTATATCAAAAAGAACAAAATAAAATAGAAAGAAAGAGAAAGGACCTGGAATAAAAAAAGACCAAAACTACAAATAAGAAACCAAAAAACACTAAAGAAAAACGACCAAAAGGCTTAAAAAACTTATACAATTTTGAATGTGATAAAGAAAATTATTTCTACATGTATTGCCAGGAAAACTATTGTGATCCACCCACCGAAGACTGGATTATGTGTACCAAATGTAAGAATTGGGCACATGAAGATTTCAGTATTGGGTCTTCTTTTGTGAGTTCTGCAAATGAAATAGGACCTCGTTCGTAAATACCCCATGTTGTCATCAATTAATCCAGCACTGATCCGTATTTACCCCTAGAACTAATTACGGACACCTATGTTTTTGTTTTTGATTAAATTTTAATACATGCTCACTGATCTCATATAATTATTAATGTTGATTTGATAGGTAAACAACTATAGTTTAATAATTAATGAAGACAGGCTTATTATTATTATTAATACTTTGAGATTTAGTTGTGATTCTGCTAAACTAAACTGCTACTAAACGTTTCTAATAAGGTGGGCAGCCACGAAATAAAAGAATTACTGACAAAAGCATAGTAACTAAAACTAAGAATGCCTTACACGAATCATACTCCTTAAAGTCACGTTTTCTCACAGTTGTAATTTCGCTTTTGTCATAAATAAGACCTGTTTTAGTTTTTTCTCATTGAAATTTTTGGTCAAGTTCCCTATTTCGGGTCAAACCGTAAAGTACAATTCCTTTTAAAGGCATAACAACGGTCACGTGAGTAGATCCCAAATGAGGCAAGCATTAAACTCCAACGGAATTTTATTATCGGACGAAGAACTTTACGCATTAGAGGAAAGATTTAATAACGACATGGGCTTTAATTACTTTTGGTTTTTAAGAGAGGTTGAACCCAAGCCTTCGGACGAACCACTGGTAAGACGTACACTACTGCAACGAATTTTCGTTTGCCCAATTTGGATGTGCGAGCATCATTATAACTCTTCAAACTTTTAAGTACGTCAACTTCCTAGCGGAAATGAAAAAACTGAACGCGGAACCGTCGGGAAAGCAACCCACGCGACACGAAAAAGATATCGTTCGCATACTGGCAAAAATCAAAGGGAAAGTCGTGAGGGAGCGAATAAGGGTTCTGGAATTTTTGAAAGATTTTGACAAACACAACCAGCAGGTGATTACGAAAACAAATTTCAAAAGGGCGTTGGCTAATTGCAGATTCGAATTAACCGAAAATGAACTGGATACGCTGCTTGAAGTGTAAGTTCACGATTGCCCTTTTGCTTGGTGAAGCGGTAGGTAGACACATAGATACAGGTATATCTCAAAATATGTCGGTTTGACTTTTGCCTACAATTATCGAACTAACTTTAGTTAAAAATATAAATTGTATTAGGTTTATTTAGGTATAATAAAATCACATTAATACTAATCTACAATACAATGACACTAAATGTACACAAATTATCAATATATACCTAAATAACTACGTTTTTTTTTCAAAATCTAATTCTGTTTCACTCTTAGAGTTATCATCAAGGGTTATCGTTGGGTTTTATGTTATTTTGTAGGCAAATGTAAGAATCTTCAATTTTTTAAATGTGCTGTAGTGCATTTTTCCAGCTCTCAACATTTTACATTTTACGTTTACATTTTCAATTTTTAGTTAAATTTATTACACTGCTCTCGCATTTGATTTTACTTGGTGCTACAAATGTTCCATGTAGTGGAAACTTTTTCGTAAAACCTGACTTACCTATGAACTAATTATTGATTGTTGGCTTTATCCAGTTACAGTAGGTGTGAAGGTAGTAATTTTTTTAAATTTTAGATTATATCTTTGTCATCGTTGATCATTTGGTTCTACAAAAGTGGTTCCGCTTGGTATGGTCTGTTTATAGATATAAGAAAGTGACCAATTGCTTTTGAATGGGATTATTCAAGGGTGGTCATTAACATACAATGCAACAAGATTATTACCTAAAGTTTGGGAATTTAAATTCAGGTAAAATTGTGGTCCGTAATAGAAAATAATTTTATACCAACCTGTGTTTAATATTCTTTAGTTTGGTATACTACTTAGTTTAAGTTTATTAGTAATCATTCTTATTTCGTGCGTAATACAGCGTCTGTTGAATCATGTGCCAATTGTGCAAAATATATGCGAGTCTATTGTATCTCAGGAGATGCTCCCGCCCAAATGTAGAAAACACTATTCTATTGAGACTAAGGAAGTTATAAACAATGTTTATTTGACTCTCATTGAACGTGGTGCCAGCAAGCAATCATCTATAGAAGAAACGGCCACATTGACGAAAATTCCAACATCAACTGTATGGAAAATTGTAAATAGTCCCATTTCAGCGAGGAAAAAAAGAAGCAATGACATTTTCTCGAGTGTAGACGAAAGTGATCAAGATATAATACGGCGTTAAATTTACCAGTTATACGAGGAACAAAGCGTGCCTACATTAGATATCTTAATTAGGAGGCTTGAAAAAGATGAAACCGATGTTAAATGTGTGCGTTTTGGATTAAAAAAAAATTGACAAAAGGCAAGTTTTAATGGAATCTTTTAAGATTCGGAAATGGCGACTGGAATATCTAGAAAAAAATAGGATTTACAGAGAACAAAAAAGGCCAATTATTTACTTGGATGAAACCTGGTTCGACACTTATGATACCCCGGAAAAGGGTTGGGTTGACTCAACTGATGTGTAAAACAAACGCGCCATCAAAAAGACGTAAAAGAATAACTATTTTGCATGCTGGCTCTAAAGATGGTTAGATTCCAAATGGACTTTCTCTGTCTGCGAAAAATATTAAAGATTCTTCTCTGTATTACCATGAAGACACCACCGCTGATTTATTTGAAAGTTGGTTTAAAAACAAACTAGTACCAAACTTTCCTCCTAATAGCGTCATTGTAATGGACAATGCAAGTTATCACAGTAGACAGTTGACTAAAACCCCTTCCTCATATGACACAAAAGCAACAATCCAAAACTACATGTATAATAACCACATTTATTTTCACGAAGATTATACCGAAAAGCAATTAATTGAGGTTCTACAGAGCTTGAAGCTACAAAAGGAATACGTCTGTGATAATTATGCAAAAAATCTAGGGCATAAAGTTTTAAGGTTTCCACCTTACCAATGTATATTTAATCCCATTGAACATGTTTGGCACCAACTGAAATCTGTCATTCGTCGTAAGAATGTTTTTCACCGTGTTAACTTCAATGTCCTCAAACTTATAGAAACCGAAGTTTTTAGCATCTCTCCACAAAGTTGGGTAAATTCTGTTGACCATATAGAAAAAGCATAACAATCGTATATCCATGTTGCAGATAATATAGAACAAATAACAATTAGAACAGGCGATGATAGCGATAGTGATACTGATATATTATGTGAATAATTTTAAGTAATTTAAGTAGGCAATAAAAATAATTAGTAATTTTATTTTAGATTTAGACATAAATACATAAATAAATAAATATTGTTTAGTATCTTTCCTAAGAAAACCCCAAATAATTAAATTCTAAGCAAAGTACGGACCTGTCCGGCCATATTTCATTCTTACAGCTTGCCCGGGTCTTTCCTTAATTTGTATCAGTTAGTCACTACTTTCTTATATCTATGAACAGACTTTACCTACAGTATTAAAAATGTTGTCTTTTACTCCACATTGTGGGCTAGATAGTTCACTAGTCTTAAAGAATTAATTCCCACCCATCCACTGCAACTGCCCCAAACCAACTAAATAAAGAACACATATTTGACATTGATGATGATTAATAATGTAATCTGTTTAGGCAATATCAATAACTCAAACCTCAACTATGCGTGTGCAGGCTTTGAAAAAATGTTGCATTTGGAATATATGCGGAGCGTATTAAAAGTATTAATAACAGTTTATCTAAAAATTATAATTTATTCAAATTTGTCTCCAAGTATGCTATTTATTATAAAAACATTACTGGATATTAATGCCGTTTCGTTAATTTTTGGAGATTATCAGATTGATTTTTTGTTTTTAATGGCACCGAAAACAGCTTTTTGGAACCGCTGAACCGCTATTAAAATTTTATCTCCGATTTTCAATATTAATTGATTATTAATTTTAATTCTTAATTTAATTAAACTTTTGCCAAAAAATTTCAAGACGCTCATAAGTAGTTTGAAATTTCCTTGTAAAACGGAATACTCTATATAGTTTCTGATCAAATTTTGTAGATAAAAGTTTTGAAAGGTTCTGATAATAATAATACATTTTATTTAGGCTCAGTATTCTAACAAATAACAAAATTCTAAACTAACAATATAGAGCGCTGCAATAAGTTCATTATACGCATACTTACACAAGATCACTCTAGACATCACGAAAGTCACACAACTAACAGGCTCACAAAAATATTTAGAACTCGTACTGTCATTTACAATTAAATTGTAAATCAAGACGATGCATTTCAACAAACGTAATATATTTTAAAAGAACAACGCTGTTACAAAATTTGCTAAATGCTTCATAAAATATATATACATCTAGAATGGCACTGGAGATCTGCATTTCAGAACACTCCTCATTCACCGCATGCAAAATAAAAAAATTATTAATTTGTATATTTGTATTAGTTTGGCCTATAATATTTTAAAAACAATGAGCCTCAGACGGATAAGATATTTTCCTAAAGAATGATTTTCCGCCCATTTACCCCCAATTTTTTACATTTCTTCTTCACCGTGATGTCTCGTTATTATCGTTTCATCTACTGCAGCTCGAAATATTTGTAGTCGATTTACCGAACTAGGTTTTGAGGTCAAGATGTGTGCTTCTGCCTACACTTCTTGTTGGCAGAATTATCCCCTGAATTACCATCTATAGTAGAGCGTATTATTATGGGTGTCTCATAACAAGTCCAAATTATTGGAGTTTACGACCCCCAGCTAACTCTCAACATTATTCTGTACATCCGTTCTTCAAACGATTCTTTCATCTTTAGTAAAGCTTCTGTTAATGTCCATGCCTTAACCCTAAATGGGAGTACGGGAAAAACATAACAATTGAGAATGCTGATTCTCAGCTCGATGGTAAAGTGAAATGTGTACAAGGCTTGCTTTATTTTCATAAACGTCGTCCGTGCTTTGGCTATTCCCATATTTCATTGATTACGCTTCCCAGGTATATTAGCTTACACCTTCGAGGAGAGTATCTTTCACATCAATCTCATTATCCTGAATGATACCGCTTTTTTTCACAAGACCATTCATTCTATTGATTTGAGTTGTGCCTCCGAGCTTGCAAGAGTCAACGTGTCGATATCTTTAATATCTTCCAAAACATAGTTACAAATAAATAAATATACAGAATAAATATTAGCGGATCGAGGATGCATCTGTCTAATTCCTCGCTTGATCTCCACTTCTTGGGTGTGCTATTATTCTAATGTCCTTGTCATCAGCCTCTGGGTCCCTGTATGTCTTGGCTTTATCGAAATCCCGACATCTTGGTATGTGTGTGCCAAACTGCGGCTCACCCAAACCAACCAAATAGAGTGTTCTTAATTTTTTTTTTAATCTTCCTTGGATTATTCGTAAAAATAATTTGCTGTAATTGATACATTTTTTCGACCTGATTTTTTAGAAACAGTTATAAAAGTCGATTTTAATGGCATTTTTCTAGTATTGTACAATAAGTTGTACAGTTTAGTGGGCGCAAATGGCTCCTTTCATCGTCAACCAGTTCGCTTGTACATTCTATCTCTCCAGTTGTTTTTCTACTTTGAAAATCCTTTTTTCCTGTCTATCCTCAAACTGATTTTTTCTTACACCTTCAACCGTTTTTAACTTTTTATGTAGTTTGCACATAGCGTATTGGTATTATTATTGGTATTGGTATTAAAGGGGGGCGCCCTCGCGGGCGTCCAAGCACTTAGGCCACCAGATGGGCCCGTTGTGCCCCCAGGCCGCTCTAGAGGGCGTCCAGAATGCCGCCCCTCCTGTAGAAGGTCATCAACTCCTTTAGCCCAATACCGTGCACTGAGTCCGGATCGATCAGGGCCGTTCCGAAGACTCCCAATCTTGCCCATGTCAAGGCAGGGCACTCGGTGAGCAGATGATACGGGGTCTCCTCCCCTTCCATGCACCACCTACACTCCGGGTCGTCTCCAATGCCTAGCAAGCAGAGATGCCTCCTAAGCCTGCAATGTCCTGTGTAGTCCCCTGTTAGTGCTCTACACTCCCTCCTGGTCAGTCTAAGCAGCTCCCTGGTGCGAGGAAGGGCGGGCCCATCCATCATAAGCCTCGCCTGCCTCATTCCCGGAGCAACTCTCCAGCCCCCCGCGGCCCGGTCTCACGCCCAGGCTTCGAGAGCTCCCCGCCTCACACACGGGGCGATCCCCAAGCGGGGCTCTGGCCCTATATGCCTATGCGAGGAGCCCTCCCTGGCTAAGGCGTCCGCTGCCTCATTGCCCCGGACACCGGTGTGACCCGGGACCCAGACCAACGTGACCTTTCTCTCCTCAGCCACCCTCCTCAGTACCCCTTTGCACTCGTTTATCAACAAGGAGCGCGTACGCACTGACTTCAGCGCCATGAGTGCAGCCCTACTATCAGAGCAGAAGAAGACTCTCCTGCTTCCGTAGTTGAGCCGAAGCACCTCTCTGGCCGCCATCAATAAAGCGAAAATTTCCGCCTGAAACACAGTGCAGTACTGACCCAGAGGGACCGACAAGCTTGATCCCGTTGTCTCGCAGTACGCTCCAGCTCCGGCCAGATCTCCCATTCTGGACCCGTCCGTGTACCAGACAAGTCCATCCCACGAGCCGACTCTGCCCTCACTCCAATCTTCCCTTGATGGAAAGAGAAAGGTCAATTTATCAAAGAAGGTCATCTCGGGGATCATGACGTCACTCGGCATGCCCATGACCCCGCGATCCCCGCGACAGCCCTCTAAAATGTCGTACGGACCCCGATTGAGGGTTCCCTCCCTCCAGAGCCCGCAGCTCGCCAGCCTCACAGCTGTCCTGGCCGCCTCCATCTGCACCCGATCCGCCAGAGAGGGCAGCCCCACCAGAGCCTCCAGGGCCCTCGTGGGCGCCGTTCTCATGGCGCCCGTTATGCAGAGGCAAGCCAATCTCTGCATTCTGTCAAGAACTAGCCTTGCTCCCGCTCTTCTGGTCCCCGGCCACCATGCCACTGCCCCATGCGTGAGCATAGGCACCACCATGATACCGTAGATCCACTGCATGATCTTCGGCCCCAGGCCCCAAGTGCCCCCTACCGCTCTCCGGCACGCCCACAGAGCTCCAAAGGCCGACCTGGTCCTTGATCTTATATGTTCCTGGAAGGTCAACTTAGAGTCCAACCATACACCCAAGTACTTGACACTTCCGCTTGCAGAAAGAGGCACCCCATCCATCGAAATGTTGAGGTTGCACTCCATCTTCCTTTTCCTAGTGAAGATGACCATCTCCACCTTGCTAGGATTGACAGCCAACTTGCTATCCAGGCACCATTGTGAGAATCTTGCCAATGCCCCGTTCAGGAGCCCCTGCATCCTTCTCACGTCCGTCCCCTGCGTCATTATCACAAGGTCGTCTGCATATGCCTGAGCATAGACCCCGTGTTCTTCCCTCAGAATATGCAATATCTCGTTTACCACCAGGCACCACAGGAACGGGGACAAGACCCCGCCCTGTGGACAACCCCGTGATGAACCGATGGAGACCTGCTCCCCACCCAGTCTTGCCTCGACCCTCCTGTCGGTTAGCATGGAGCGGATCCACCTTACAATGGCCGTCCCCACTCCAGTACTCTCCACCGCCCTGCAGATCGAGTACAGGGCCGTGTTATTGAAAGCCCCTTCGATGTCAGCGAACACGCACACCGACAGCCGTCCCGAGCCCATACTCTCCTCCAACCTGGAAGTCAGATGGTGAAGAGCTGAGCCCACAGACCCGCCACTTCGGTACGCATGCTGAGCTGGCTCTAAAGGGGCCTCCAGCTCCACCCAGTCCCTCAGATACCGGTCCACCAGCCTCTCCAGAGTCTTCATAATGAAGCTGGTGAGGCAAACAGGCCGGTACGACTTTCTTGTCTGTGTAGTCACTCTTCCCTACCTTGGGAATGAACACTACCCCCTCGCAATGGAGGCCCTGAACAGGTCCATCAGCGGGCTGGTCAGGAGACCTCCGTCCCTTTGCAACAGAGCCGGAAATACTCCATCCCCGCCCGCCGACTTGAAGGGGCCAAAGCTGTCAATAGCCCACCTCAGCCTACTATGGGTAACCACCCTCCTTGCCGTGGCGTAGTCGCCTCCAAGACGACCCCCGGCTTCAATATTCCCCCCTGTGTCCGGATCAGCGGACCCTGGGAAGTGCGTGTTCAGCAGCTGTTGTAGTGTGTCCGCTGGTCCCGCTGTGTAGCCACCGCCGGTCCTGCGGACCACCCCCAGTCTTCCCGCAGGGTCACTTCTGAGTACCCTAAGGAGCCTAGCCGCGTAAGGGTTATTCATTACTCCGTCGCAGTAGCCCCTCCAGGCCCTCCTCCGTGATGCCCGTAGTTCTTTTTTGTACTGTCTGCGGACCTCCCTATAGAGATCCCAGTCCGCACCTTGGCTGCTGCTCCTCGCTGTATTGAACAGCCTCCGCACTTTCCTCCTGAGACGCTCCAGGGAAGAGCTCCACCAAGGAGTCCTTCCCACCCTATGTTCCTCTGTCTCAGGGCAACTATTCTCGAACGCCCGCATCATAGCGGAGCTGACTCGGTCGGCGGCCTCGTCAATCTCCTCCATTGTGCGGTGTTTCCTTGGTAAGCCCCCTAGGCGCCAAGCAAGTTCCTCTCTATAGAGTTCCCAGTTTGTTGCCCGGGGGTTCCTAAATCTAACGGGTTCCCGAACACCCATCTCCAACCCAAAGGTGATGTATCTATGGTCCGACATAGAGTCTTCCCCACAGACACACCACCCAGTTATTTCCGGGAGCAGAGCCCTGGTACAAAGTGTTAAATCTATGACCGAGCTCCGACCCGTCGTGAAAAACGTGGGTTCTACCCCTCTGTTGGCCACCTGCAGCCCTGCAGAGGCCATGAACTCCACGAGGTCTCCCCCCCTTCTATTCGTTGCCGCGCTGCCCCACAAAACGTGGTGAGCATTGCTGTCGCAGCCAATCAAAAGAGGAAGATTCGCCTCCTCGCAGTAGGAGACCAAGTCACTGATCTCCTGCGGAGGACAGCTGCGGTCGCCTGGAAAGTACGCAGAGGCGACCACTACCTCCCTCACGCCGTCCCGAGTGGGGGATCTGACCAGAATTGGAACCAGGTCCCTGGACGCCTTATCCCTTAGGAAAAAGGCCTCCAGCCCCATGGTTAGAATACAGGCCCTGGGACCGCCCTCTAAGGAGTCGACACTATGCAGCACCGATCCTCCCAGAGATAAGCCCCTAACCCTTGATTTTACAATCCAGGGCTCTTGGATCAGTACAATAGATGTACCGCCCTCCGAAATTTTCCTGCATAAGTGGGCCGTTGCAGCCCTGCTGTGTTGCAGGTTAATCTGTAATATCCCCGTGAAGATGTTATTGCGGGAATACCACCTGCGGGTCACGATGCTAGCCTCAGCCCGAATCCGAGCCCGAGGTAGCACCTCCCTCCGCTTCCGCTTCCTGACTGGTGGACCCTGATGGGATTCCCCGGTCAACTTCCATCTGAGATACCTCCTCGGTTCTCGCTTCCTCGGAGGGCCCTCCGGAGGTCTCCTCCACAGAAGCCGTGGGCGCCGCCTCTCCGACAGGCCCGCCAACCTCCATGGACGAGCCCTCCTCGCGTGAGCCCCCCGCGGCCACCTCATCCCCCTGCGGCCTCGGCGCCGCCAGGTTCACTTTTACCTGTGTCGCCAGGCAGAAGAGAAGTGAGCCCTTAGCCGTGATGGCGCTTGCCGATTTCTCGTCCACGCCCACCACCAACCTTGTGCCCCTTACATCCTCCGTCCTCTGCCAGACCCTCCAGGCACGGCAATCTAGGCCATTCTGAGCTGCCAGGCAGCGGACTAGTGCCTCATTCGAGACACCCGCCCCCAGGCCCGGAATCCATATCGCCGCCCTTCTCAGTCTCAATCCTTCCGGATCGACCTCCACCAGGTTTGCGAGCCCCCAGGGCCTGACATTAATCAGCTCCCTGCGAACCCACTCCCTGGTTTCTTCATCCATCATCTCGATCAGGATGTGGCTCCTCCACAGCCTAACCGAGCGTATCCGGGGAGGGGTGTATTGCCCCCCCTGCATGATATACATGCTTATGCGGAGGTTAAGAGACCCTATGAACCGCAGCAGGTCCTCGGAAGACAGGTCAGTTTCCTGTCCTCTGAGGCCCACCACCAGTTCAGGCCCCCCCGCCGCCGCTTGTGCATAGGACCGAGCCCCCCTCTCAGAGCCCCCCCGGGACGGCCCGCCTTTCCCGGGCCTAGCTTTCGCCAGGCCACGCGTCGGCCGCCGACCCCCGGCAGGTGCCCCAACCTGGGTGGTCTCTCCCATTTTTCTTTTCCGCTTCCCGCCTGCCGTTTCCGGTGTGCCTCCTATGGAGCCCTCCGTTGACGGCGTGCACATAGCGTATTTTCTTTCTTAATATTCTAGTTTCCTGCACTCTCTTTTATGCCACACCGTTTTAGCTTATCTGATCCTGATTTATTCTCGGTGAAATTTAGGACCCTAATTTTTTTTAGTTTTTTTTCTTCTTCTAATATCTCCGTGTCATCCACTGGTCTTTCTTTCGACATAAAGTGTCTTTTTTGGACATTCAATATAATTTCTCTGAATTTTTTCAGTGATTTTCATTTTTTCAGATTCTCCCTCCATCACATCTTTTATTCTTTCATCTAATTCGATTTGAATTGTTTGCTGACATTATATTGTCCGATTTTCTCGACCCATTTTTTTTTGTACTTAATGAACTGTCAGCTGTTATGTTGAAGTGCATGTTTATCGACATAGGCGATGCCTCTATGTTTTTAGCAGCCCCGTATTAACCGAGTTGTCATTTTGATGTATACAACAGATTCGCATCCCCATTGAGATGCGAGTGCGTCGATTATCTACGATTTTCCGACGTCGTGGAATCAGCGTTCACGCAGCAGTGTCTCGAGAAGGCACCGCTACTCGTTCCTATCCAGCACATTCCGACCAAAGATTGCGAGAAAAATTTTCTCAATTTTGAGGAGCGGCTGATGGTCAGCGTAGCTTTGCAGAACTTGTCTAAGAAGCCCGATTTGCAAATGAACTTGTCGTCTGTGCTAAAGGATTTCGACAAGACTAATTGCGGCACAGTTTCTAGAACGCACTTCCTTAAAGCTTTGACGCTCAGAGGGATGTACAATCTGATTTCGAGGAACGAATTCGAGGTCATTTGCAAGTGTTTCGGCTTCGAGAGAGGAATGCGTGATGAAGTGGACTATAGGGCGTTTATGAAGGCGCTGGATATTTTGCACGCTACCGATAAATACAATCCATTTTAACAAATGTTTTTTTTTTCATCCGTAGTTATATTACAATTAATTAAAACTGTATACAGTGTGTCTGATACAATGATGGAATAACATGGGGATGTCAAAAACCATAGGAGATACAGGATCGGCTAAATTGGGAAAGTTTTGAAGAATATTATGAGAAACTCAAATCTGACCATAAAATGCTTCCAGTGTAAATCGTTTCTTAGAAATTTTAGAAAATATAAAGTTGAATTGTATATTTTTGTCTGTAAAGTCTAAAATATGACGACATAAAGCGGATAAATATTCTTCATCTGTTTTGGAAATACACCATAGATATTAGATGCAGCATAAAAGTGCTTTAAATTGATTTATCGATTTATCATCATTGTTAGGGTTACAAAAGCATTATTTTTTATAGCTGGCCTTGATCGCTCTCAATAGACATGGAAAAAAGCAAAGGTTTTGAGAGTCCATTGGTTGCATAGACCGAATTAGTCGAATGGGGGCTGTACACATACAGGCAAATCCGCGTGCAAGTGTGTCGAGATAAGTCCACGAGCAAGTGCGAAACGAATTGCGGCCACACACACTATTCAGCTAAACGTCGAGGTTCAACAGTTGGTCGGACCGGCTGCTGTGAAAAAAATTAACGTCGAAGAAATGTGGGTGATTACAATTGCTGTCGTTCTTGCAGTTGAAAGTATGGAAAAAAAGAAAAGAAAAAGACGGAAATGGGTGAAGTCGTGGTTATCCAAACGTAATACATACTCTCATGTTAATTTAATAAATGAATTGAGATTAGAATCGAAGGATCACAGAAATTATCTGAGAATGGAATGGAATTTAAACAACTCCGCATTGAATTATTTTTTTTTTGATAACGTCTTCCTTTGCTGCATTTTCGTTAATTTCTTTCAACTTCTCAACTAAAATTTTGTATGCCTCTTCTTTTTATATTTTATTGAAATACTCTTTTCATTTTATCTTCCACAAGCACGGATTGTCTTTATATAATTCTATGAATTCCCTCATAATGTCTTTGTGTTTCTTTAATAATCTAGAATTTGCCATTTTTTCCAGCGACTATTCTGCCACGAAAATCACGTAGAAATAGTCTTGGCGCGAAACCTAAACAACTGAACATACACTGACAAGTTAGCATTCGCACTTGCTCTAAAAATCAGACACAATCTGATTCGCTTCGAGCCACGATTGGAACTGAACGCGCCGCGAGTTTTGACACATACACATTCGCACTTACTCGCGTGTCTCGACCTGTACAGGCAAGTCTTAACACTTGCCTGCATGTGTATAGGCCACTTTAAATTTGTTGTTTATTCAAAACTGAAAAAACAAAAAATAAAAAAATTAAAAAAAACAATTTCTTTACTTACATTGGAATAAATAAACAAATAGTAATTCGAATTTATAATATATAATTCAATAATTAATTCATATTCATATAGATGTTGTGGTTTTTGAATACTCAAATAAATTGGCCACCAGTCTTCCAAAGATCTTATTTAGCTGTAATCTATCGGGTTAGGTATTTAAATACATGTGCTCAGCTTCTCGAGAATCACTATGGCACAAAATGTAACGCTTTCCGATTTTCACATAAATTAATAGGTCACCTACTTAATTAACTGTACTGTAACTGAAGTTAAACGGTCAATAAAGGCATTTATCAATAACGGCGTTTATTTTTTCGAAGCCCATTTTGTTTGTAGCAATAATTGGACTGTCAAAACTTTTCTTTTCCCGGATGTCTGTTGAGAGTGATCATAGCCTACTATAAAAAAGCAAATTTTGTTTTTGTGACCCTAACAATAATAAATGTTATGGATCATTTAATTTTTTTCTGCATTATTTATATTCTATCTAATAATTGAAAATATGAAAATTATGCAGGTTGAAAAAAAATTAAGGGGGAAATAATTCTCAATCATTATAGTTGAGTGAATATTACAAAATAAATCCAAATTAAAGTTCCCAGCGATAAAGGTCGTTTAATTATTTTGTTTTTATTGTTTAAATTTAATTTATTAAAATTGGTTAGGGTGCCAAACGTTAAAAATATTATAATTTAATTTGTTAATGATTTAAAGGTGCTTTTAATTAATAGAAAGCGATTAAAACTCCAACAAAATTATAGACATACCTTATAATTTTCAAATATTTCACAAATTTCACAAAAACAGATACTTGATTCATCACAAGTTATTCGTCCCTTGCGTAAAACATTCGCAACCCAGTGATTTAAGCTGTTTTGTGTTATATGCAAGATATGTTGCTCATGGCTGCAACAATAAGCAGATATTGGGAAGATTATTTTTGGAAAACCCGAATGATAAGGTAATTATATAAACTATATTGTTTATTAATTTATACTCGGGTATTTGAATTCCAGTCTTTGTTTTTAAGACCGTTTTTTTTTTTTATATATTTACCGGTCACTTGTGGTACCCCTCTGGGTAGCAACTTGGCGCCACTTCTCTATGTTTATTAACATAGTTTATTTTAAAGAACCTGGATATGTGATGTTGTTGTTTTCTAATCTGGTCATAACCATGTTGGATAGTTTCATTTGTTGTTCTGTATTTGAAATGTTTGCTTGTTTTGATCTAATTTTTATTAATCCCTCTATAAACGAGTATCTTGTAGGTAGGATTTCCACCTATGAGCACCGTAATATAAGTCGAGAATAAGATAAAGTATAGTGTCTAGTGAGCACTAACTTTAAAAACTATGCACCAAGTCAGCTATTGCCGTGATAATAAGAATAGTTATTTCAATGGTATGACTTAAAAATCTTTCATATTGTTGGAAACTCTGGTCTAAATGGAAAAACAAATTGAAAACTGGTCGAGAAATACAAAAGAATAATAAATAATATTCTATCCATATATTCCACATATTCTATCCACACTAAAGTGTGGATTACAAAACTTGCTGCATTATATAGTAAATATATACATTTTTAACAAATGCATAAATACCTATGTACTTAAAATATTATTTTCCTACGTTTTGTAACTTAAACCAAGAAATTCAACGCCCTGTAAACTATCGCCCGGGCGCCTATATCGTCCGAATGAGCAAACAGCAGTTTCATTTAAAGCAATAAATTTTCTAAGGTGATTTTTTACGAGCTCTTAGGTTGAGCAATCTCTTCTCTATTGTCGAAGACTGTAATACGTTTGTAATTAATTTATCGGTGTTTCGGGGAATTCTTGGGGATATTTTCAACGTTTTTGTTTAACTAGCGGCACTCGAGTTCCAATATCTTGTTATGCTATTTTCCAGAAAATGTCCCCATTCTGAAGCACTACTTATATGGGCCAATCAAGTAATTGAGGACGCTTGAACACTATAGTTTATGTACAATAATATAGGTATTTTGAAGAAAGAACAAATGCTTGTTATAGCTAGATGGGTTTTCAAAGATACTCTGACACTGCTCATGAAAGCGCGTAACGTAGACAATTGTATTTTGTTACTGATAATTTTGCCTTGGCAGATTCTAATCAATTATAACCATTATTGACGAACTATATGTAATATTGAATACTATAAAATTTCACGCAATTTTGTCTATTTTTTTTATTGAGGTCCCAGGATGGTAGCTGATTTTTTACATAATAAAAAGTACCAACACAAGAGTAAGTATCGGTCAAGCGATTTGCAGAACAAACAAAATTATTTACTTTTCAAAAATGTGTTATTTAAACGGGAAAATATAAGCATAAAAATACTACGAATAAAAAAAATCATGTTTTGTTGCATAGCACCAACTGCTTGAACATTATTATTATCTACCTGATTTTATATCATTATTAAATGAAAATAATTACTAATTACTTGGGCTGCAAATTTGCACCAAAATGTTGTTGGTTACGAAACTATCATAGCAAATATAAATTCCTACTTTGAACTGGAATGAAGTGCTAAGAGTTTTTTTTGAAAGAACTAAACATCAGTGCGACAACTCTTTTCGAGAAAAGACACCCAGATTTTATTATATCCAATCAACAAATCGCAATTCATCCATATTTCGATTCATAAAAATAAAACTTTCGTCGTAACACGCAGTAAGTCAAGGGTGTTGATATCTTAAAATTATTCTACCTACTCTGCGAGGGTTGATCATCGTCTTTTCGTTGTTCCCACATTCGAGAAATCGAATCCCCGGGGAGCAAAGTTACCTTGTCGTTTGATTTAACCAACAATAAAATACAGCCAACAAATCAGACCAGAAATAAATTGGCTTGAGAGCGTGTATTTGCAGTTTCTTCATATAGTTTCGCCTCCAAAGCTGCCGTATATAATTTGCAAATACTTCTCTGCGAGTAGGTAGAGTAGTTTTCATTATTACCGCGCATTTAATAACATTTTATTTGCTATTGAATCAACTATTCCAAGCAATTTATTGGGTTCCAGTGTCAGATTTTCAGGCCTAAATGAAATTGGGGTGATATATACCTTAATTACTGTGACCAGGAATGGTATAATGAAATAATTGCCTATAATTTAAAATAAGTCCACGAAGTTGAACTGAAAACCAAGTCCGTTGATAGGTACACCGATATATGGCGAAAATTAGACTCTTCGATTTAGATTCTCCAATTAGTATTTTTAGAAAGATTTGTATTATCAAACGAATCTTGATTTTGCAAAGTCGGCCTATACATAGTAATATATCATTTCGAATGTTAACAGAAAACGTTGTTCGTTTCAAACATCCACAAAAATTAATCGATGTGAGGAAAAATATTTAAAATCTCTATCGATTAGTTAAAATTGAGAATGGGTTAAAACAGAAGTAAAAAATGTGCCACTTTAGAGCATTTAATCCGAAATTACTAAATATTCAAAGCGCTATGCTAATCTTTAAATCTACGACACCCTCTTTTAACCGTAACTTTGATTTATTTTTATTATTATTTTTTGTAGTATATTTTCTTAAAATATTTTTTTTAAATATATATCAGAAAGCTTATTATTATGGTTATGAAATGAAATACCTATGATATACCTAATGGAAAAGATTACTTCCATATTAATCGTTTTTCTCAACTATACCAATCATATTTCGTCTTTTTTCATAGTTATATTTTTATATTTATTGCTTGTTCGTGATACATATTTCTGAACTTTTATTATCACCCCAAAATAGTTTTCATTATTACCGCATGCCTTTTCTATACCGCCTAAAAAAATGTCTGTCCGGCCCTAAGAAGGCAAAGAGGAAAATAAATCGGATCGACGGGAAAGGGTAAAAGGGTTTAGCAGTATTTTTTTTAGTACAGTTTGTCATATTGTTTTTTGATTTTTATGATTTTGTTGTATTTTATTCTCCATTATAAATTGAAACAAACGGGTACCTTCATAATTTCTGCGGAGGCGTAGTTTCGCACCTAATTGCTGAACGTCAAGCAATGAATACCATGAATACAATATAATTTCGTTAAAACAAAGGTTGTAACTTCATCTTATCTTATTCTAATTTTTGGAAGTAATATTTAAACAAGTAAGTTCATTTAAATATATTGAAATCGTCGAAAAAGTGTTTTTGAAAAATATAAAAGTAAATAGTTTACGTTACAAAATTATAATACATTATATTATGACAACAAAATCAACCTGTAACAATTTTTATGTCGTCTAGTATAAATTTACCGAAATCACAAACCGCCCCCATCCTGAACTAACAAAATGAAAGCGACTGCGCCACTTTTTGCCGCCTCCGGTTCAAGAATGAATCTTCCTGAACACCTCTCATCAGAAAGTTAGTCCATTCGCAACTTCCTTTTTGTAAAATTGCCTACTCTGACAGCTTTCACTACGAGGCAATTGCATCGGTTTGCAACACGGTTTTGTTTTCGCTTTTTTGGTTCTTTTGGTTTTCAAGCAATAAGAATACTGTCGAAATGTTTTTGCCGGTGTCTACATTGGCGGCAATTTGTGTGCTTTTTGATATTTCTTACGCGACTCGGTCTGAAAATGATTTGGAACTGATTTTTCGCCAAAGGTACTTACCCCTTTATATTCCGACCAGATTTTATTTTGTAATATAGGCTAAGTGAGAAATTATTTTCTAAAAGGAAAAAATTTCGGAAATTTGTTGTTTATTATTGCTTGTTCGCAAATTGTGCAAAAAGTTGTCTTCTAGTCATACTTTTATCACGAAACACAAATAGAGCATCAAACATTTATTTTTGCATGCTAGAGCTTAGCAAAAATGTTTATTGTTGATAATTATCAAATTTTCTGATAGTTGTTGCGAGTTATACTACATTATATGAAAGAAAGTGGTTCATAATATTAATAAATAATAATAATCATAATATTAAAAATCATTATGTATAAAGAACTTTTTAAATGAAAACAAGTGACATTTAAAATGAAACAGCATTTATTAATCATAATTCATTCTAATTAGCATTATTATTAATAGCTACAACTGGTATAAAATTAAGTCTCCATCGACAATAGAAACTATTATTCATGTTTTAATTTAATTTTATCAAAGCGGAGCGAAAAGTACCGTATATGAGAATAAAATAATACAGAGGAAGAGGCAAAAATAGATATCGGAATTTGATTAAGAATAATAGATATACTTCCTTAAAAATGATAAATGCCTATTTCTACGTGACAACGCACTATCCCTTTCCGATAAGGGGTAGGGCGTTGTGAAAACTGAGAGGCATATGATTTAAGAAGAAAGTATTAAATTTCAGATTTTTCCTATAACAAAGAAAATGTGTCTCGCTAGTGGATTAACACAACATTATTCCACTAAGTCGATATTGTATGGACACCTAAAGAGATACGAAACAAATTTCTAAGAAATGCAAGTTAAAGATAACTTTAGACTGTATGAGCGTCGCTTGGGTTGCGGTTTGTGAAATAGCTATACCGGGTGTCAATGTAAAGACAACAATGTATTAGGGAAACGGAAAAAATATCCCGAAAATAAATAGGCCAATATAAAATAAAAGAAAATATTTTCGACATATCTTGATTTTGATTATCCGGTGTTTACAAAATTTGTCAATATTAACCATAGTTGGAGTACACCCTGTTTTAAAGCTAAGACAATTTAAAATCTTTTTGCTGTTTGCTCTATCTCTGGTGGGGAATATTAGAATATTTTCGGAAATCAATGTCGATAACTTCAAAAAGACTTAACACATTTGAATAAATTTGGAATATTTTGCGATTTTTTTAAATTTATTAAATAATGTTCCAACAACCCAGTGAAAACCGCATCTTAATATCTTAAGACTAACCCAAAATATAAATAAAATAAATGGTTCGCCTAAACAAGATAATTACAAAATAATGAATAAAAGAGCGTTCAAAAAAAGTTGGATTTTGGGGAAAATGTCCATTCTACGGGTTGTTATTTATCTCTAATTATTTCAAATTCTCTTATTCACTAACAACCGATCGCTCTCAAAGCTGTGACTAAAAACCGGAAATGTCCGAAGTTTCATTTTTCTACTGCCTACTTTAAAAAGCATTGGCACGAATCAAGAGTGCCCAAACTGCCACTTTAAGGCGCCAGCTTCGTCACTTTACTCACAGAATTGGGAGCAATCTGATGTCGTCGGTAGATTAAAAACACCGATGTTATTTGGACGTTTGTCGGTTTTGATGGTCACTGAGTGACGTGTGACGTGACCATGTTGTTTTGTAAAAATATGCTCAGAAACTAATGGTCATAGAAATAATATGGTATGCAATACGTTGATAAACTTCTTCAGTCACCCGCTCCCCTGGAGTCAAATCAAATTGGTAACAAAAATGGCGTTTATTAAGCGTTTTTGGGCACATGCTTACATAGGAAATTAGTGCAAATAATTAGAAAATGCAATAATACATAGGACATTCCATTTAAAATATTAAAGATTGTGCTACTTTTATATATACCAATACGCCACACTGTAAGACGTAGCAGAGCATATGATCTAAACATGTAGTTTAAAACAAATACCTATCAAGAGTATCTTCTTAATATGCAAGCAGCGGTAAACTTTAATTTCCCTGAAGTTTTTTTTGCAATTAGTGCCGACGTCAACTCTCACAATAAATATTAAAAATGTATTTTTCAGAACCCATTCCGACTGGCAAAATGCTTGGCATAAAGAGAAATATACCAGATGCCGAGAAACGCTGATTAAACATCTTTATTGGGCTTGTGAAAAGGACATCTATCGGCTCACAAGACGAACGGATCCCAACCTAAATAACTATTACGAAATGGATGATGGTAAATATATTTCTGAGTTCTGTATTAAATCAATTTCTAGTAAGGGTAGTTTATTCAGTGAAATAGTTTCGAGATTTATATTTATACAGAAATTTGCAGCGCAGTTTCCGTGGCTGCCAAGGAATAAGGCCAAAAGATTGCTTCGTTTTAAAAGAGGAATTAATCGTCGATCTTCTTCCATTACCAATGAATGTTGCAAATCCTCGGGATGCACTTGGGAAGAATATGCTGAATACTGTCCCACCAACAAGAGATACACCACATTTGTCTGAACTTATAATGTTCCTCACGCATATTAATAGCTAGCATACTATAATATGTAAATGTATAAAAATTGAACATCTGCGAATATACAAAAAAAAAATTCCCAAACACCTATACTTATCTAGTATCATAAACTTCCAGTGTCTTATACAACCCTACGTACACTTCATATTATTTGATACCAAAATATATTCAAATTGTATTGTTGTTTAAAAATCAAAAGTATCAGCGATTGCTTTTCCATAAGCAGTGAGCAAATTTGGCCATATCGCAAACATTTTATCACAATAATAATTGTCAAAACCACTTCAATACCTTAAGGCTTGTATAACCCATATAATAAAAACTTGGTTATAAGGTTTTTTTTTCCACTTTGTCCCGGCTCATGTTCTATTCAGGTTCTATGCAGTTTTGTATTGTTTTATTAAAAAAAAAATTGATATCAGTTCAATAGCCAATAACACACGTTGACTGTTCTACTAACAGGGTAAGCGAATTTTCGTATAAAATCCATATATTTATAATATTTACAATATTCACATTTTTGTAAAAATTTTAGTAATTGACATTAATTAATATTATTTTTTTTACTTATGCGATCACTATACATCGAAAAATATCGTCTTTTTATATATCCAATTACCAGAAAAAAAAAGTTTCTTGCTTCAAATATTAAGAGATTGTCGAACTTCCATTAAAGTATAAAAAAGGCTTACCAAAAAAAAAAATTGAGAGATACCTTAAATTTTATGTAGGACATGAAGCTTGACTCATATATGCCTCCTTTAAAATTACAATGCTGCCAATGGCTTTGGGCAGATGTGGCAACGCTAGATTTGCTGAAATGCATCGGTTGTCTGTTTTACAACCAGATAAATATTGGTGGTGCATTCTTGTGATAGATTGTTTTATATTTGCAATATACACTGCAACATAGATTACCAGGCGCGTATAAGTAGAATCAATGAAACCACACATTGTCGACTAGTTTTCTTTATTTGCTTTATATTTTATATTACTTCTACCTATGTTCAAAAAAAATAAGTAATAGGTGACCCAGCAATACATAATTCCAATTGCACAATATACAGAAGTGATCATCAGTGGTAAAAAAGGCAACCTTGTGTCATTGTCTAATAATTTATGTACAAAATTTTCATACACAAATACACCACCCAATCCTAAAATGTAAACACTCTCGATCATATTCAATAGCGGCAAGGTGTACTTGCATATCGCCAAAGAATATACTTTATACAAACTGTAGAAAGCATAAGAAGAGTATAAAAGTAACAATAGAACTTTAACCAGCAGTAGAGATGATGGAAAGAGGAGGGGAAACAGTGAATAATGACCTACCGTTGACAAAATGAGAAAAACTTTTGCGTCGGGTAATTCTGACACAGAAAGAATGCTGTAAAAAAAATGCTTTGATTCAGGTTCTGTTAAGTGATTTGTAGAAAACTTATTATTATCAACTTACCTCATTGGTACAATGGTCATAAGTATGGCTTTTTCATGGACGTGCCAACCAAATATAAATGAAGTCAATCCACAGAGCACAAGGCACCTCAAAAAATTGGCAGGTTGTTTATTAATGAAGAACAACTTTAACAAAGCCGGCAACATAAATAATAAAGTCAGTAACATAGTAGTCAAAGGTGCTATGCTGGGAAGGACGGAATGTGAAAATTCTTGAACCAGTCCACCTGTCATCACAGCTTGTGGCTTATTGATAATTTGAATATCAAGACTAGATACTAAAATAATAATTCTTTTAATAAAACAACTTATCATCTTACTGTGATCTTACATATCACTGTCGCAATTTTATCGCCAGTATTATATAGTGCCCAAATATTTGGAGCCCAATATGCATGACAAAGACCCCTTTTAAATGGAAACAGACGAATTAGTACCTATAAAATTTAGTGAAAACTGATAATGCCAAATGTGGAAAATGTGACAGTTACCTGACCAATGTGTTTGGCAAATGGCAAAAAGGATGCAATAAATACTCCTACAACAACCAGTCCTAGCTTCACCAAGTTTATAAAAATGTGTTTTGAAAAAGTAATATTTTTTCTTATCTGACCATCTAATTGAACATCCATACAATAATGTCGTAATAAGTAAACAAAATATGCTGGAGCCAAGTACAGATATATATGCTTCATGTTCAACAAAAAAGTGAACCAAAATGCAGACCATAAGTACTTTCCCTAAAAAAAATTTTTGATTTATTACCCCATACACTCAAATATAGGTTCAAACAAGTGCAGGGATGATCCATTATAAATGTTACCCCCCCTTAACATTTTTAGTTTATATTTTAGAAAAAAAGTAAAATACAAATTTGTAGGGATTGATCTATAGATTTAATAATACATATTTACTTATATATCAAAAACATATATCACAGTTATATTTTGGAAGACTTGTATATCATACAAAGAAAGGGCCTTTTATGCAGACTTCAAAAATATATAAACTATTATAGTTATTTTTTACATTAAGCGTAGAATTCGCTAAAACTTAAATGGTCGCTTAGTTGGCCACGCGTCGCCCTATATAGCTACTGTAGAGACCCTGCCTATGCCAATAATAAAGAACTTATCTTGTCAAGTAACTATGAAAAAAAAATTTTCAGAAGCGCGAGATTTAAGATTTCATTTTTAAGTCATGACCGTACGGCATTCAACAACCACCATGGCTACTGACAGCCCGTCAGTAAGTTTGAAGAATAATGTATTCACTTGACGAAAAATTCTTAATATTGTCATATATAAAAAATGATAAAAATGAAAGTAGGACCAGATTCGAATATATGAAAATACACAGGGAAGATAGGCAGATACCATCCAAAATGACATTCAAGATATAGGAAATCTTTTAGAAACATCAGAATCAATGAATTGGTAGATGTTATATGGCAACGGGATGGCGCCAATTTTCATAATGTTGACCCAATTACTGAATATTTAAATAATATATGTAACAGCATTGCGGCACAATATTATGTAGAGCCAACGGCCTAGATCTTACTCTTCCAGATACCTATTAATAATATTAATATTAGTATAGTAATTGATGTAGTAATATATTAATATAGTAATATGAAATCTATTATATTGTATTTTATCGCATTGTATTAAACTTGTTTTCTAAAATCAAAAATAAAAAGTTAGAGGTGATAACATAAATAATAGATCACCCACTACTTACCTCCAACATAAACGAAATTGATAACAATAAAAAGCCATACATTACTCCATTATATTGAAAGTGAATGTGATCTACCATGAGCAAACCACAATTTGTGAGCAACAAAATAGGAAGAACTACATCTCTTCGCCACCCCTTTGGCAGTACATGGCAGCACCTATAATAGAAGTGATATAAAATAGACAATTAAATGTAATCACGGTTTGTACCTATAGGTGCCATAAGCATATATTAAATCTGTAACAATAACGGATAATCTTTGAAATAAAACTGTCCTTTCCGATGCGTAGTTTATATTGGATACATCTAGCATATTTTTATCAAATAGAGCTGCAACTAATGAGAGCAGATACTCAAACCAAGCAAAAAATGGTGGATAATCCAGTGTCCATTCTGAAGTATTTTCAAAATACCACTTGTCAATGGGCAAGCTGTATGTTATTGCTAACCAGTTCCGATGAACTTCAAAATCAGTGGATCTGCTAAAATTCGAAAACAAGATAGATAAATTTAAAATACAAAAATAGTAAGGAAAATGAACGTACTACGCTGGTATTAGCATCAGCTTTATACATGCGGTTAGTAAAATGCATGTAAGAATCATGTTTACAAAATATTTAGTAGTTTAATTTGTACAGTGAACCAATTAATAAATACTTATTTTCCTGTGCCATTCTAATGCGCCAACTAGAACAGATAACCGCATTTTATTTGAAAAATATATTTTAAGGTTAAGCAACTTTCAATCATTAGATCTATGCTTTGAAGCAGAGAAACTTGTTTAGGAACCAAAGGAAACATTTTTCTTCCTTGAACTTGGATCTGCTAATAGACTTCCAGCACTGTGTTATAAGTTATATACTAATGTCCATTTTCCAGCACTAATGAAGAAGGCGTTAAATGTTTAACTGCAAGCTTTTGTTTCTTTGACCATCAGCCAATGTTGTTATTAACTTTCTGTATTTTAATTGTTTAGAAACAGAAGATATTTGGTTAGTGATAGAGAAGATAAAAGAGTGGACTATTATTTAAAAATACGTATATAGGAAAGAGATAAAAGTTGGGAACATTGGAATTCAGACAAACATTTATTGGGACTGCCATATAGCTACTAAAGTAATAGAGGTGTTGCTGCAGATAAAAAACGAAGCGAAACGAAACATGGCCGCTGACAGATTATTAATAACTTAGGGTGTAGCATTTCTACGCGATTATTTTTTAAAAAATTCTGCTAGATTCTTGGAAAACGACTTAAGTGTGTGGAAATCGCCGTTTAGAAAGAAACTGGCCCAAAGTTGCAGGTTAGTTAGGTTAGTGCTTGAAATGTACAGGCGTGCGCTGAAAATCATTAGCTTTTCTACAAAAATATCAATGGCGCCTGCGGCGCATGAATTTTTACTATATAGGGACTAAACCTGTAAAACTGTATAATCTTGAGGCTGCTTGTAACCACTCACTTTCCATATGCCAGTTTCTGGTTGACTGGGAAGGGGACATGTGACATACTACCGTCCTCAATGGTAAGAAACTAGTAGTTAAATCGTTCTATAATGGAAATTTGTTTTTCACGCTAAATGTAAGGTATCAAAATTATAAAAACCTTATTGTGTTCGGCACCATCAACCACACAACGTAAAGAAGAAAAATCTCACACCTAACCCTTACAGCAGTTTAATTCAGATATTTCACATTTTAAAGAAGCCATGTATCAAATTAAGTTAAAAAAAGGGAACAACGCTTTTTAATGGCTAAAATGGTAATGCACAGAGCCCTATTTACCTGGTTCATATTGTTAATATTTTTTATATTATTGTGTCTGCGGCTGGAGGGGCGTACCTACTGGAATTGGTTTTTGATATTTCTGCCCATGTGGATATACGACTTAATTCTACTAATAGATGCCTTATTTAATATATTTATCTGCTGCAAAAGGGATAGGTTGAAGAACCTATTTAAGAACAAGAATATACTTCTGTTCCTAGTGGTTGCCTTAATAATTGCAGGGCAGATTTTATTGTGTTTGAAGCTGGAATATAAATCTTTGCAATTAGGACTTATTCATGTTCTTATTCCATTTTGGATATTGCTGCCGCTTCTCATAACTGATGTGTCAGTAACACTCTTTAAAAACAGTAATTATTGAAATGTTCTTAAAACTTAAGGATACTGGGATATGTGAATTTGACTGTTAGTGGTTTAGTGATTATATTATATGATTTGACCAAAATGAAGTGATGTAGATTTTGGATTAGTTTTTTAATATTAATATAGTGTTTTCTTAGATTGTTTTATATGATGAATGTATATTGTTTAGAGATCTAAACTAATTAGTAATTTTTTGAAAAATGGAATAGAATGGAAGTGGAATGTTGGATTGTAATGATTCTGATATAGAGTGAAACCAGAACATATCTACATGCAAGCTGCAAATGCTTGCTTAAAATGTAATTGTATGTTGGATTTTTCAATAATATACCCAATTGGAAGTGTATTTTATTAGATACAACATGATTTAACAGTGCAGATTTTGTACAGTGGGGTGCCACAATATCACTTGGCAATAAAATATCAGTTGATGCTCAACAAGGAAAAAGGTATCACAAAAAATGGGTAAATGTCGAAAGCTGTCAAAGAAAAAGAATTGGAATATATCACAGCACCTGTAAAAACAAATTGTTACATATTTTCCCGGCCTATTACTGAAACCACCATACTTTTCCATCTATAATCCTAAACAGTGTACATATACAGAATATGTTATATACAATAAATCTCTGATCCCAACAATTCAATTACTAAAGAAACAGTGTCAATAAAACTTTTACAGAGTGGAGTTGCTGGAAAAAATTATGTAAATTATGTGTACAAAATTTTATAATTATGTGTAAAAATAAATTAAATAAATGTTTGTCATTAAATCGGTTGATAAATCTCCTGAATGTGAGAACCCGAGTCCCAAGTAGATCTTCAAACTTTAGTTCTCTAAATATTTTTACATAACCTTAAATTGAATGTAGTAACACGGTTCTTTAATAATTAAACGGTAGAACACACAATTTTTCAAATGACTTTCAGGCCCTAAATTTATCTTGACTAAAATAAATTTTTGCTTATGCTCTTTGCGGTATGCTAAATTTTGGTAGACACAACCCAAATTTCGATTCAATCCCTGAGAATATTGGTACCGATACGGAATAACCGCCTATTTGATCCGGATTTGGCGGTGCTTTGCTTCCTGCTATAGATGCTACTTTGAATTCAGATCCAGACGGACGGCTAAAATAACATAAATTGCCATAAATGCCTGTATATAAAAGAACCTCAAGAACGAAGTCATCAGATCATCAGATGTAGTTTTTCCAATTTATTATAATAAACAATACTTGCCTTCCACCAAAGTCAACATACAGGACTCTTTGTAGAACTTCATAAGTTAATAGTGTGACGCCGAACTGAGGTGATGATCTGAACACACGAGCTAAAAATAGAACAAGGTAACTAATTAACAAAACAAACACAGTAAACAAGTAACTTAACAAAACAAATGGAAGCAAAAACTTTCTTAAAGCAGCAATGTTAATTACAACGATGAGAATTTAAACCTTTAAATTGATTGTATTTTCTCTATAATGGTATTGGTACGGCCTGGAGATTTTAAATTTTTTCCACTATTGACTGGTCTATACTGAAATTAGAATAGATAAATCAATGCATCGAGAATGATTAAGGTATTTTCAACAGGTATGAGTAATTTGTAACTAACCAAAACTGTAAGTAATTCTAATATGTTTGCTGATTTTATCTTCCTTAGACTTCGTCAATTTGCTCTATTCTAGTCATAGAAAACTTCCTCTATAATCATAGCTTTTTTCATGTGTTCATGTTGTTCATTTCTTACAAAACGTAAACAAAGATAGAGGTTACTGTACTCTTTTCTGATAATTCCAACCTAGGGTTCAAATCAATACAAGTCCTTATAACGATTTCCACCTGTTTTGACTGCTATTATTACTTTTTTTAAATTTCGCGTTTGCAACTTTGGAATACCAGAACATTTACGCAATTTCTATACTTGACGAACGTAATCAATTATCTCACCCACTGCTCCTTTCCAAAAAGCGCGGAATCCTTCTTCGGCGTATATTTTTCTTGTTGCGTCTAAAACCCCTGTATACGTGGTTTGACCAGCTCGGGCAACCACTTGCAACCTTGTTTTGATTACGTCGGCAGGAGTTACTAGGGAAGCTGCGGGTATACCTGCAATAGCACCCGCTACCAATAACGAAAGGGGATGATTGTATCCACTTTCATCTGCCAATCTGAAACACAATAGAAAATCATTTATGTTGATCCATCTAATTGCTTTGGGAGTTATTACTTTGCTTTGGTGTGAGCGTATGCTGGAAAGTAGATCGCGCTGAATGGCACATCTCGAAGCAGACACGCTCTTGCCCCTTTGTATAATCCAAATAAACCAAGTTCTTTCACGACCGCCCACGCTCGTACTTTGGCCCCACTGGCAATCTCGCCAGCGACTTGCAATCTGATTTTTACTATTTCCAATGGATTGGTGAACACTACTTGCGATGCACCTGCCTACAGTAAATAACACCACAATCTAATAAAAGAAACTTGGAAAAGTTACTACATAAATAAGTCGGCCAGTGTATTCAAAGGCATATCTAATATAAACTAAAAAAATATTTTTCACCATTTTTATATTTTAATATAAATGCATATTGTTGAGACAACCTGTATGATATATAGAAGTTCATTCATGCATTCACTAACTCTAGAAAAATAAAGTTTTAAATATGGCGAACATGGTAAATAATAATAATAATATAATAACAAAATATTTTCCTGATATAAAAAAATATGTAATATTTTTAGTATAACAAACCACTCACGACAAAATTTTAAGGGTCAAATTTTAGCTTTCCACTTAACAATACGCTAATTAAAATTTAAAAATCAAAGCTAAAATTTTTTTCCCAAAAAAAAAAATTTCTGACTTTGCAGGGTTGCTATTTTCATTTTATTTTTTGCACAACTTAAAATACTAAAACTCTTACGCTACTTACACATCCACCCGATATAACTTCACCATATAATGATATATTTCCGTTCTTATCGGTAAACTTGTCTCGTACAAAATCGTTTACCTACAAAAAGACATTTGATTAATTAAACCCTCAAAGCTATGAAAAAGAACTCACTGTTAATTTTATAGCCTTTTCGGGAGCAACTCCCATCAGTTGGGGTACCAACCCCCTGTAAAGTCCAAACACACCCTCATGTCTAATAACTTTTTTAAAACAATCGAAACTATTTCGGTACATCAGTTCACCAATGAATGAACCCGTTCTTTGATTTTGCATACGAGTTTTTACTAGATCAATGGGGTAAACAGCAGTCGCGCCAACAGCTACAAAAGGAATTCTTTTTGGAATACCTAGATGATACCAGTGATATGAATAGGAGTAATTTACAGACCCCTAGTTGTGTAGGAGGAGAGGCTAAGGAGAGGTTCACAGAATGGAAGAGCATCCTCTTCTCAAAGAAATTCTACGAATAATAAGAAGGCGACGGAGAGAGAGTGTCAATAAGGTTATCAGAAAAGGCACTGTGGAATGATAGGGACAAATAACAATTGGAGAGCGAAAGACGTCGGAGGACCTTTAAAACCAATACATGTATACCCCTTGATTTATCACTTACCTCCAGCAATAGAACCTAATGTAAAGCGATATGTGCTTTCAAGCACTTGTATCATGATGCCTCTTTCTTCTGGACTCTAAAAATTTAAACATTATTATACAAATAGATATTTTTAGTATTAGTTATTGTTTTAGGAGATCCAAGTTTTAAGCTTTTCTCTAAAATTATTACATAATAATCAGCTTATTAAAATTAAATAAACCTTGCAGATTTTAATACCTAATGATGTTTAAAAGCTGAAAACATTCCAATTAGTTCCAATGCTAGAAAAGATGTTCTATTTTTTTTGCTTCATTCGAAATCGAATTTTAAAATAAATTACAATTGAGTTACACTGCTATTTTTTCCCTGCATCCAAAATCCCACTTAAATAATAATTCATTAACAATAATAAAGTTATTAAGGATTTTCACTATAATAGGAATCTATCTAATCTATTTTTCCTTATGGATGTTTAAATTGAAAAGCAAATACTTACAGACACAGCGTGGATCTCGGCTAATCGATTAGTAATTTGTTTAAAATACTGTTCTGGGGCAATGGCGTATAAGTCATTATAAATAATTCTCCTAAAACAAAGAAAATCCACATTATCACAAATTTTCGCATACAAACGTCCAGACACAAACCCATCCCATACGGTGTTATCTTCCTGGTACAAAAACCTATCCACCAGCAGCAGCAGCAACAGACACAAGAACAATCCCTTTTTAACAACTAGTCACATAATGCATGCAAATTTAGAAATTACTTACGTAATAGCGTGTTATGGCCAACATTTTAAGCGTTAGTTATAAGAGAATCTTAAAAACAAAATACCGGTTATCAATTATATAAAGCGTAATTACCCTTTCTGGTGTAGTACATCGATCAAGTGGAACAAGATATCGACTTCCAGTGGTGTCATTTGTGACATGGCCTGCGCGGAATGCATGAATTCATCTTTGCTGACTTCTTGCGAGCGATGACCGTTGGTCACGTTGAGGTAGATCCGTTTTACCAACTCCATGTTGTTTAAGAGCGAGTTAAACGCTATGAAGTAAGCAAAGCTAACGCGGCGGCTCTGGCTTTGTGATCCTTGAACTGCCTGATGACATTAATTTCAACAGTTGCAATTGATGGAGGCAAAGCGAAACACTAACCTCGATCAGGTGCGACTGCACTTGCTTCGTAAGCAGATGACTCTTGATGTTAGTCATGATATCCTGAAAATCCAAGGCAGAAATAAAACCGGTGCCGTCTTTGTCGGCCTTTCTAAAACCTTCAATGGCATACTCTTCATGAAAATCATGAAGAAACTGACTGAATTCGTTGTATGTTACTAAACGCTGTTTGTTTCTGCCGAAATACAGTTCCACAAATGGGGAGTTCATGTTAAATGGGATCCGCTTGTGCAGTTCGGTTTTCTTCATCACCTCAGCGAACTCCTCTGAGAAGCAAAAAGCAAATATGTCCTTTAATATAAGTATGTAATGGAAAATTTCAAATCATTTATAAGTTGCATCAGTATTGTTTTAACGTTTATTATACAACAAGAAATTTCGTCTATACAAATTGAGTAATTATGTAGTATGCGGAAATATGATCGTCAAATAGTTTATCGTCATTTTGTCGTTATTATTGAAAAATGTAACTTGCACAATACAGCCTTACTTTTTCGAGTCTTTAAGAGTTGTATAAACAGATTTTCAATAGCATCTATCTTGTCTGAGCTATGTAGAAAAGATTAAAAATTGCCATATTTTCTTTAATATCCATATTTTCTAAAAACACCTACATGCCGAGAAAACAAAATAAGTTGTTTGGGGACCGAAATACAGAATCTAAATCTCATTTTGTTTACAAAATTTATATTTGTTTTAGTTGTTTTCTATAAAGGTTTCATTCAAACTCTATTTTCGCGATGTTTCAACTCTCAAAAATATTATCTTTTAGATTTTTGGTAATAATAATGTATTTTATACTTTTTGATACCAGATACCATTGTAACACTTTTTTTTTTCATTAAGACATTAATACATTTTCCAGTTTGTTCTAGAGTATTTCAAACTTACGGCAGCTAATTTGAAAATCTAAAATGGGATTTTAAAATATGATTTATAGTTTTAAAAATAAAGTCAGTTTAAGTTATTTTTTGAAAGTTATGTGGGTAACAATAATAACCTACTTAAATGAGAACATTATATTTCGTGACAATATATTATTATTATTATAATTCACACTGAATAACACTTCTATGATCAGAATATAAGAAACCATAAAAAAAATAAAAAATCATAGCGGAGTCGTATTACAAAAAATTTAAAATATGATGTTTTGGCAGTCAAAAAATGACAAAAATGAAATTTAAATTGAACATCATAGGATTTAAATTATGATGATTCTGAAGAAAACAAAGCTTTGAATTAAAACTGTAAATGCACCATTTTATATATATGTAAATGTTGCAAATTAATTTAAATTCTCATGCATTCCTCTGCACGGCAACGCTTCCCCAACCCCAACCCAAAATCGGCTCAACTAACCAAAATAGAAACGTAAATTAATCATCAACCCTAATGTATTTTCGAATAAGTGACATGATTATTTTTTCAATTAAGTATGCTTTTTGAAGCAGCTTTTATTTCAGTTCAACAAACATAAAATAAAAAAACAACCTGATAGCGATGTATATACCTGCACATTATGTTTATTATCTTCTGTCAGTCAATTTAGGATGCATCTCGCATTTGAATTACATAATATTTAAGTGAAAACAAAAAGAAAAGTTTTACAAACTATATAACACACCTAAGTTGATACCTCTACTACAATAAACAAAAAAAAAGTAATTTGGCGGTAAATTCAGTTGACCTTTGACAAGGTCGAGTTTATTTCAGAGCCGCATCTACTTACGAAAGCTAACCATTCCATTTCCGTTTGTGTCAAAGAGCTGGAAGGCAGTCTTATACAAGGCGTCGGGGAAGCAAAGCAACCCCTCGAACGCTTGGAACTCTGGATACGAAATAAGGCCGTCTTTGCTGGTGTCGACGATGCCAGCCAATAATCGTACTGTATCGGCATTATAATCCTTGTCATCTAGTAGTTTCAAATATTTGATAACAAAGTCCTCGGCGGTCATAAACTTCTCGCCATTTTTTTCGATGGAAGCGTATCTGTTGAAAATATCCTGGAGATTCGACGGGTTCGCTCGCTTCAAGTATCCGCCACCCTGCAAAAGTTTTAATTAGCTCCAGCTGTGGAAACACTAGTCAAAATGAGGGAGTATGTGGAATTCACCTTTTTTTTTTTTAATTAACTGACCTCTTGGATTTGCACCTGCGTGGATGCCATTTGCAACAATAATTTCGAGGTAACTAATCGCGGAATTTTCGTAATACGCGAATTTGAAAAATTCACGAGTCGTTTGGGGGGTTACGTCACATACCACAAAGCGTAGCGGTTTAAAAATAGTTTCAAACTAGTGTTAGAGATGTTTCGAACATGCTAAATATTAATGTTAGCGCGCGACACCAAAACGAACGCGAAACCTCGGTGAAAAGGTACGCGAAAAATATAAAATTGTAGAATTCCATATTTAAACTTGTGTATATAATGACAGAAAAATGTCGTCTCGTCTTGTCAAATCACTTGGTGGTAAAGCAAACTCAAGTAAAATTAAGTTTAAATTTTCTTTAACCTTCCAAAAGCTATTTTTTGCAGTTTCACAATTTACAATAATAATCCAAAAAGGATTACTTGAACTAAATGAATGGTGAATATACATATAATACGTACCATTTCACTAAGCTAGTGTTAATTGATTTTGCACAGCCGAAGCTTTGCTCTAGTGCATTTTTGCCAAATTTCTGAGCAAGTATATCACCTGGAAACTAAGAACTTAACGAATGACGAAGTCCTTTAAAACGACCAATGAATAAGCGATAACGTACTTAATTTGATATCAGATATTTAAATTCACGGGTACGTAATAAGATAATCTTGATAACGTGTAATATTCCGACATTGGATAATATCTAGTAACAAAAAACGCATTCGTTGAGTTTGAAAAAAACATAGTATCATTACTATATAATTTTTCTTTAATTAGCTATGGATTTAAAACTATATTTAAAATGGTTGCTAGCTAACCAAAACTATGGCATTTTTTAAGTCGATGAAGTTTTTAATATTTCATAATATTCAAAAATTATAATTAGGATTTCAAAATGATACTAGGTTATGATGGAGACCTTATTGAGTACGAATATAATTCTTATTTTTCATGGGTGTGTTGGACTTCACATATCGGTTAAATTTTTCAAATGAAAATTGTATAATGAAAAAGACCAACCACATTCTTTAGGGATACTATAAAACTTTTTTTTAGTTAGTTGCACTTACCGATTGTAGTAGAGTTAGACTCATGTTTCCGATTTTAAAACTACACCTAGCTGGGCAGATACATATATTTCAGTAAATGAATCATAATGAAAGAAATAAAAATATGCGTATAACGTTTAGAAGATTAATATATCTTTAGCACTATATTAAAACTGCAACGAAACTGATTGACATTAAAAATCAAAGGAATAGATTACAAAAATAGTTGGCAATCATTTTTATCTCGTAGCAATGCGTAACGGCAATGCGTTGATTCGGTTTAGTTTGAATCTTATTCGACATTTCGCCATTGATTTAGTTTCTACAATCACTGAATGAAAATAATTGATATAACAATAATTGTATTCTCTGGTGATTCCTGAATGTTGTTTAACTTCAGCTGGTTTCGTAAAAAAATGCCCAAAAATGGTAAAAGTAATATTTAAAGATAAAGATTATAAAATAGGTAATATCGTCCAAAAATGTAATCTAATTCAATAAGAACTTTAGGGGCTTGATCAATTTAAATAGAATACCATATTTTTTAAACTTATTACCAATGAATATATTCTTTAATTACCTATTTATTAAATGATTTTGCGCTATCACCATAGTTTTTGGCGCCGTTTTGAAAAGTTTTAAACACAAGTTTTATTGCATCTACATAGTTGATACATAGTTGCATTGTTTCTAAATATGAGATAATTTATTTGGGCTGTCAATTTAGTCTGATTTTGTTGTAAAATCTGCTTATTGATGCTTGTTTTAGACATTTTGTAGCTGCACACAATAAGCGTACACATATATCTGAAAAGTAAAATTTAAAAGAACATCTTTTAACGGTGTGTAATACATGAAAGTATTGATTGTATTTTAATAAAAAGAATATGGTCAATTAAATAGATATTTTATAGTACATGAGACAGAAGGACCCATCAATCTCTTCCGAATTAAACAAAAAAAAACTTGAAATAAAACATTCTTACTAAATTCTTAATTCTACAGCCCTTTTTGTGTGGGTCTGGTCAATCAGTTTTCAATTAAAAAGTAATCCTGTCTAAGAATTTATTGATTTCACAATGTTATTTAGCCACACACTTATATTAACGTCAAATTCATTGCCTAATGACACCCTATCTGGAAATGTGATTACAAAAATTGTGTGCAAAATAAGTTTCAACATTAATATTATTATTTGTCTTTATAGTTCTTGTGACATTTTTAATTCAATATATAATATCATAAAAATTGCCCTTTTCTGCTTTTGATAACTAACCTCCTGTACAGCTTATTACAATATTTCTGACATTCCTAGTATTGTGCTTAATGTGTTTTGCTTCAAAAACCGGTAGAGTCATAGCTATGCCGAAAAAATTTAAGCATTACATAATACCTTACTACAGTCAATCAAACTAATATAGAATATATATCACCCACCTCTTGGCAAAATGTTTTAGTGAAAAACCCCAATTTGTCCATTCCAATCAAAAATCCGCGAAGCACACAAACTTTTCCGATTTAATGCACGTATAATTGATTTAAATAATTATTCAATTAAAACAATAGGTAAATATTTTTATTGGGAATTTGTGATTCCAGCTAATCATGCGAATGCTAGAATAAGGCAGGGCAACCGCGTTATCGGGTGACACGAGCTGTGAAAAGATGTACAGTTCAAGGACGACTAATTAAAACGGAGGATTCCGTTTTGATGGTGGTGGTTTTGTTTTTGACTGGAATTCGCCAATTGCACACCATTTTCATTCAGAGAAATTGCAAGCATAGCAAACAGCTGCAACAGCTGTTTTTCTCTTAAAAATTGGGCGATACTTCAACCATATTCCTACACTGCGCCATCTTTTAGTAGACCACGGGACCCACATAATTGTGAACGCACAATACTTAATAAAATATTCTCACAAAGGACTTCAAATTTCACCAATGTGGCAAGCAGTGTGCCATTTGCTGTTTATTTTTCATGATTTAACTTACACATGGAAATCGCCTAAATTTTCTACAATGTTACTTTACATCATTATGAAATGTTGCTGCAACTAGAAATACATGCAAGCTTGCGTTGTTGTCTTTCGACGCTTTTTATTCCTCAGCCAAGATCTGAATTAATATATATTGTCGTTTACTTCATAAGGAAGGCTAGATGGCGAAAAGTATGATCTAAGGAAAAGTAGACGGCAAAAAATCGAGAGGCATATGCTCTGTTAGATTTATAGATCAAATCAAGGACCTCACAAATATGTCAGTAGCAGAAGTCATAAAAACAGTATAAGGTGGAGAAAACTTCCAATAATTTATACTACAAACTGCCATATACATATGTGCATGATGTTTCTATACTAAAATTCCGACCATACAAATATGCTTAAAATGCTAAATAGATTAACAGCAAAATGTTTTAACCAAGCTCAACTATGTTAATAAAATTTATCCTAAAATTGAAGAATTTTTGATAATTTTTGGTTAGTCTAGTTTATTTACTTCCCATTTAAACATCATTTAGTGAGCATGGTTCATTTTTTTCGGAAGTCAGTTACAACAAACTTTTAACAAGTTGGGAAAACATTTGCAACCGCGAACATATTATGCTAACCATAAATAGAACTTTCACACAAAGTATACACCATTACAATTTCAAATGACCTTATTGGGTTTAAGGCCGGTTCCGGACGATGGTTAATACTATCTGACTTCCCGTAAACGTCCAGCTAAATATTTGATGAACTTCATCTCCATCACTCGATGTGGTCACTTTCGCTATTCGCTTGATCGCTTATATAAAAAAAAACAACCAGCTCGTTGCAATTTGACGCAACGGCACGTCTCGAGTTAAAATTTTGCTTGAAGACCGTGTTTTTGCGGTAATGTTTTTCTGACCGGTTTCCAGTTATGTAATGTTAACACGGAAATTTTGCTGAAAATGGGTGCGAGTTGCGTAAGTCACAGGAACTTGTCTCGTTAACGCTTAAATTCCCTTGGCTGTGATAAATTCTCTCAGATTTTCTGCGACGAAATTATATAGATACGCGAGAGTGTTACTTTGTTTATGCACTGTGTTCCACAATTAATGGCAGACAGATCGCAGATTACATAGGTAAAAATATTTGCCAAATTTACTTTAGTCCAAACCATACAGAGTGTCTTCAAACAGTAGTTTGTTTAATACTCTTTAAAAATTTACGCAACTTAAAACTTTATTGTTTATTGCATTTGTTTCACTCATCAAAATTGTCTCTTTTTAAATCTAAATCCCAAAAACCTTCGCTATGAGCAACATTTATCGGGTAACTGACAAAATTAATACCTAATATTTATCTACAAAATCAAATTCTTCACCCCAAAAAACTACGAGCCCAAAATATCATGGAAAAAATTGTTTCAAGATATGGACGGTTTGCAACATATGTATCCTGTTGATTTCGTTCAAAATTAGCAGGGATGTTAACTGTGATAACATACAAATTTATCCCATCGACGGAAAGGTTCAATAGAGAAGTTATTTATTTTTTTGTTGAACATGTTAGTTAGTGCCCCTGGAATGCCACCACAATTTATAATTATCGTCTAGTTGATGACAATTTCCACTGGAATTTATAATGCTCTGATTGGGGACAATTTAAAATCTTATCACTATTGAAAACGACGCAAACTTTTAACACTGCCGCCATTTTGTGAGTAGTTTATTGGAAGTATCAAATTGATATACAATCCATCTAGTGCAAGCTGTGCATACAGTATAATGCGTTTTCCCCTTGCTGCCCTGCCGTGCGATAATTGATAGTGAACGAAGAAAAATGTAAACCATATTTTTTCTCATACCTCTCTAGTTATACAACATGGGAATTGTTAATACGCATTACAATAAACATTGATTTTGTTTCCGTTGAATTATTGTTGTCTTCCGATAGAGGTCAAAGGGGGAAAAGTAAATTGTGTGCATGTCTTGTGAAGCTCGCGAAGAGAACATCGGATTGCGGGTTAAATGTTTATAAAAATATTTTTATAATTTCCGAATATTTAACTACGTTCAACTAGCAGAATTCCCGTTTGCTATAGAGATACATATCCTCTGTGCACCAGTGAACATCGATGCCGCTTAAACATATATTGGATTTTGAGTAATTACTGTTTACGGTAACGTGAATATGAAGTCATTTCCTATAGAATTTTAAAGATGATCAAAAACAAATACTGAATACTGAAAGGAAGGACAGTAACGTAATTAAGATACAATGAGGTGAACTTATGGATGGAGCTCTACGTAAAAGCCTTCGACGCAAAAATTGTGGTAAGTGACTTATTGAGAAGTCTATTAAAGATAATAAATGCAATAATTTTATCGTCGTTTGAATTGCCCTTTTGTTTGCATCCCCGTAATTTCCTTCGATTCATTTAAAAATCTTGGTGCGAATGCGTCTTCTTAAGTGACTACCATCACCATCTACCATTATTACGCAACGGAATGACCAGCGGGCTTAACACCGGCAACGCATTCAACGAAATCGAAAGCTCGATGATAAACAGTTGAATAACTTCTTGCAAGTAGTTCGCTTCACACTTTTACCAAACATGTTTGCGCGTATCGTGCTAGTTTATTAAAAATGAGCATCGAAGTTTTGCAGTTATTTGAACAAACTCAACATTTTTGAGTTAAAAAAACTTGTGCACATTTCTGGTCTTGGTTGTAACATAATCAAAAAATGAGTGTCGTCGGTCATTTGCTAAGGGCAACGACATTTGCAATCATGATGATCGAAATCGGTTCTGAGCCTACGACAGCGAAATATACGTACAACTCGTCTGATATATCGTATTTGTCGAACGGAATACAGTTTCCGGTTTTTTCTGAGCGCAGCGACAATTTAATTGTGGAATATAATGGCGCTGAGGGGGTCAGCGAAATGAAGTGGTTCGCGGGGCTGTACGACCAACACAACTGGTTTGATAGGCTGGACAAAATTCCAGAGAAAACGTGCAAGGAAGACATGGCCGTTTATTTGTTTAATTTGCTTAATGGCACTTCGTGGGCTGCTAAAGGTAAGTTTTGTTTATTACGCATAATAAGTTTGTGGATTAACTTTGGTCATATCTTGATAATTACAATGTATTTCCGATGATAAGTGTTTTAGTTTGTCAAAATGACCTTTAAGACTTTGCAAACAAAATTATTTTATGCGTAATTAAAACACCCGACTTTCTAAATTTTCTCATGCCATTTATCTAGAATACAACAGTAGTATCATAAATAATTCGATGCAAATGGGAGTTCTGTCTCTTCTGACCATCTACACAACTAATAATATAAAATAAGCTTTAAGCAAGTCAGTCATTATGACAAAAAAAAAAACCGAGATAATATTGTACCGCGTGGACTTTGTTTTTCGTGACCATTTTTTAATGAAATAATTAAATTAAAGCTCTAAGAAAAAAATGCGTTTTATCATAATTTTAATATTACTCTAGTTGACAGAAAAATCGAAACTAATATTAAAATTATGGAAAAAGCAGTTCCTTCTTTAAAGCTTTCACACCCCTTATGTTAGAGACGAAGTAATTCAATAGACTTGGGACCACGTTTTGTCATAATAAATGGTTTTATTCAAAAATGCAGAAACACCTTATAGAGTTGGTTTGCGTTAAATACAGGTTTATTGTGTTTTTAAAATTAATGTATATTACAGCAATGAGTTAAAGTAGGTTTAAAAATGTTCTTATAAGCGGACAAGACCGCTAGCTATACCTACTCAAGGTTTTGCAAACCGAAATAACCTTTAGCCGCCTCGTTTTCTCTTCGATAACGAAAAAATTGCGACAGGAAGAAATTTCTTGCGCGAAATGGTTACATACAAGTTTTTCGCATTATCGCACTCCTAAATTCTAATCGATATGACGTCAAGCGGATAACGTCTTGATTTTGACTAGCTCTGGCTAGTAATCTGATTACTCGATGGCTCTAATCTTTGTACTCGTTTGCAGCAATATCCGTCTTTGTATTAATTTTAAAAATATTCTTAAACAATAAACAAATTCATTGTTCTAAATATATACGTGATTTATATACATAGTATCCCAGACACTTTTGTGGAGTCATAGAGTTTTTCATTTTTGGGATACAGAGTATTTTTGGTGTTTTATTATATAGAATCACTGGCATCGTTATTTTTTGCGTAGAGTTCAATGCTACTCTCATACTAAATATTATGTTGGACATTTTGTTGGAATAATTAAAATTTGCAATTACCAAAAAAAGAGAAATTCATTTTTCTCGCAAATTTATAAAAGTCAAAATAGATTCACCATTTTTATGTCAGGGTGTCAGGTATTAGAAAAAAACACTTTCGGTAAATTTTTTAAAATCAAATTATGTTTTTTCTTAATAACCCCGTATCTATATTCGAAAATAAGTAACAACAATTTCAATGGTTTTCGCCTAAAATTGAATTTTTGTTATTTTGTAATGATTTTACTTCACACCCCCTATATGAGTGTTGACATCATAATTCAGAATTTATGTTAGGAAAATTTTCAAAAACACGCACAAAGACGCACTAATTTTTTGAAGAAGATTAGTTTGACAATTGTTTTTGAGGATAAATATTGTATTGAAACGATTAATTGGGGTCGGATTTTGACCTGACATTTTTTGCAGCATCCCCAAAAGTTGCATATTTTATTTTATAAATCCATATTTAAATTGTGATAGATAGAAGTGATTATGAAAATTTGCATTCCTGTCGCACGAAAGATTAATCCATATAGCGCACAAACAACAAATTGGTAGAGCTCTTCTGGCCTGTCTTACAAGTAGGATCCTAATAATTTGAACAATTGCAACATTGGAAAGCAACTATTTTGTGGTTCTATCTGAAAATACCAGATGAACCGCGCTACAAGTTTCTTGCACCGACTATTTAACTCTTTTGGCGCTTTATCGTCACAATCGCTATGCTTCCTAAACGAAGCTTCTTCTCCTTCCCCCATTGCCCTTGCATTTCTGAACAAGTCAGCAGATGATAACCCATACCATTGGCACAGGTTGTGTATCCAAGAATGTCGTTTTCTTCCTGGTCCTCTCCTGCCATATACGAGCTAGATGTACAATATTCGTAGACTTAAAAAGATTGAAATACGTGGAAAAATATCCACCGACGAACAAAACAGCAAAAACTAATCGACAACCAACTCGTTATCTACTAATGAAATTAAATTAAATAAACTTTCGAACTCTGTAGTTTCAGACACCAGGTAAAATAGAATGTTTAAAAATATATATTCGTTTATTTAACGTATTCAATATCATATCACTCTCTGTCAAATGTACACAGTTATTAAAAGAGACGTCAACAGCAGACCTGTAAATGTATTTTTAATGTATTTGTATTTTAATGTGTTGTAATGTGTTTAGTAAGCTGAAGTTTTGATAAGGTGCAACGCAGTTTGTTTGGGACTACGTTTCGTTTAGTCTGAATTTACCTTTACTGCAAAATTATTAAAACTTGACGAACTTATGTACTTATTATTTGCTTATTTATACTTCCTATGAAAGTCTTTTAGTAATAATAATAATTTTTCAACAAAAATTCCAGGTGATAGTAAATGTGCACTAAACATTCTCATTGTAACTATGACCTATATTTGCACAACATTGTTTAATTGAGTGATATCAGTAGTCGCTTAAGAGTGCGTTTGCATCTGCGCTACGTAACCAAACCACAGACAACGTGCTATTCCAAGGATTCTGATCACAAAATCACAATACATCTTCTGGATCATAGGGACAAATCCAACTTGTAATGTTGTATTAATGGTATATTACTATCCTCTTTATTTTTCTAGTTCCTCACTTGTTCACTCTCATTTTCTTTGTATATTGCTATGACGCGCCCCTTCTGCGAATCAAAAAACAATAATAACGAAAAATATATTGGTGAAGAAATACTATTTTTTCTAAATTTTTGAAGGAATATTCTAGAATCTCTGTGCACCGCAGACCAACAAGAATATATCGATATACATATTAAGTTTTGGTAAAAAATAAAGATACTGTTATTAATATTAATTTGAAAGCGTTGTGCTACTTGTTTATGCATTAAATACTCTGCAAATTGTGTTTTGCAAATTTTCACCGCATAGCTTCGGAATATTATAAGAACGTGCAAAGTCGTCGACATACCTACATGTTGGTTTACTTTCGATTCCTGTGCTGCTCATAATTGCTTGCATTTAACTTTTCTTAAAAGTAAGCCAGGCAGATATACGCGATTATACAACTCGCCGGAATTTATGTCTAGCTGACTGATACGCACCATTTCATTCGCAATTATGTAGCACCGAAGGTTTGTACCAAAGGATAGTTCTTCTAGTTAGAGAGGGTTACAGTTTACTCAGGAACATTTGCTTTCATCACCATTAATTTCCATTTTGTGATCCCCTATAATACATTTTCTGACATAGAAATTTAAGACTTTCTTATGTTTGCAAATATGATTATGGAGACAAAAATGCGATATAGTTCTATTGTCCCATTCTGTTCTATTTTTATATTGCTAGGATAAGCAACATATATATGTAATCGGAATAAGTTTAATAAATAGCTGAACAATATTTTTTTACTAATTTCTTCCGTGGTTAAGAAGCTAAATGTTAATGGTAAATTATACCATGCAACGTGTTTTTTAAATATGTACCGTGCGTTCAATTTATCTTGATAACATTTTGATTGGCTGTAACTTTTTTGTTTTTAGAGATTTCAAGGTAAACAAAAAACAAGTTTTTTCCAAGTGACGTATAAAACAAAACACTACCAACTTTCTGACATATAAGCCTACATCATATTTTTTTAAATTGAATACCCTGTATTTTATATATGTTTAATAGAATATAGATAGGCATATTGTGGGTCCGGTATTTATAGATCAAAAGTTAACTGGAGACCATTATTTTCCAATAGAACAATATATAGAAAATTTACCCCTAAATATATCAGGGCTGATTATATGGCAGCAAGACGGCGCCCCTCCTCACAATGTTGTGCAAGTTAAAAATGTTCTTAATATGGAATATCCCAGGGGTTGGATAGGGAACGGCGGAACTATGGATTGGCCAGTCAACAGCCGCGTCTTAACAATAATAGATTTTTCTTTTGGGGACACATAGAAAATCACATGTACCGAACACCTTGTAATAAAGCCGTGGAACTTCGGCAAAGGATTTCAGGGGCAAACAATCAATCATACAATTAGAGTGTATAAGAAACGTGTTCAGGAAAATGGTGGTCACATACAGTAGTATTTAGAATAGTTAAAGAATTTTTACTATAGTATTTCAAATTTCAAACGCGTAAAATTATTTATGTGCGGTTAGCAGGTACTCAATAGGTTGACTCCGCAATCAGTAAAAGAAGGTACGGAGCCTGCTATGTGCCAATATGTGTCGATATGCGTCACATTCTATAAAAAATTCGTTGCATCTGGTCATTTTAATAAGGAAACAAGGTAAAAGTAAAAACAGCCTTATTTAATAATTACTTTCCACTGCGATGCAAAAATTGTATCCGGTATTCAATTAGTGTTTGGTAATTGCATTTAATTACCTTTTAGGTTATCCGCTAGGCTATTTTGACCCTCAAACGGCAATTGCGATGTTGTTACATTCAATCTAGTTGATTTTGCCATATTTTGATCAGTAAATTGCAATAATATTTTTTACCTTTCAAACCTTTGATGAAAATAATGAATTAATTTCTACAATAATAATAATCATTTAATATAATATTTTAAATAAATTTGACGAAGATCATCAAACCCTGGAATACTCAAACTTGCATTATTTATATATCACCAAGAAAATCGAATATTAAGAAAAGCGTTTCGCATTGCTAGGAAGATATTTTGCGGTATATTGCAGTCTGGTTATTTTTAAAAGTAGTCACATCACATCATATCGTATGGAGGGGTTGTCTGGTGGACAAGAACAATAAATGTAATGAATATGTCGCAGGCAAATGATACTTTTAGGCAACTTGCATTATTGCTTTTTTCAACAGACAACAAGGTAGACAAAGAAGAATATTATCAGCAGCTAAATGCGAAATATGAGCAAGGAATCTGCACAAAAATAATAAAGCTAATGATTTTTGAAAAAGTTACCTAGCAAAAAGAAAATACAAGCAATACCAAAGAAATGTGGATTGTCGACAATATAAACCTTGCTGTTTTTGTTAGCGACATCGAAAGTGCAGGTACATAGAAATGTTCCTTATGTAAAAAAATAGTACACGATATTTGTTGTTGCTAATAAAGTTAACACCGATTTTAGTACTGGGGTTAGTTGCAATCTCTGTCTCAGTGAAGAAAATATTAGAATTAATAGGAAAAAATCCTATGATGGACAGGTAAACGCTGCAGAAATAATACTAAATAGAAGCAGAACCGTTTTTGGCGACATAGAAGTAGGTAAATATTTGACTGTTGTTGTTCCAAAATTTGATAGAGGACCATTAGATAGAAGGATACAAAGAATGACGTCTTTCGAATATGCCCAAAAACAGGTGTGTTAAAAAACTAATTTACTTGGAGTGATCTAATGCCCATTTCGGCAATTACCTTTAATTATAATGAAATCCCTAGACACCGTTTCATTGGGGGGCAATTGTTGTGCTTGTTTTAAGTCTAAAAATCTTTGCTGCCGTAAGTGCCATTGTGGCAGTCCATTTTAAAACAAACCAGATATACGAAATTTACAATAACAAAAGTTTTGTGTTTACATTTTGTTATTATTTGTAGAATTAGTTTCTTAGCTTCTCATAAAAACTGTTCACTAAATAGGCTGGACTTTAGTTTATTATTACAAATATTTCGATTTCTAATTGCCTAAAACATGCTTAGGCAAATACCATTTGACTAGTCAAATAGTATTTGCCTAGTTATTTAGCACTTGACAAAGAAAAGGCACTATTTACCCGGGGAAATAGTCTAGACAAACGACCGTTTACCTAAAATTACCATTTGCCTGAGACAAATATAACAACAAGCACCACAGACTCTATAGGGAGATAAAGCCTCGCAACTCCATACTACCTGCCCGTTTCCAGCGCTGCCATTTTAACCCCCCCCCCCCCTCACCGTACACGCACAGTTCAATCAATTTCTATCGACTATCGCGCTTTGAAAGTTTCAATTTTACGATTGGAATTAAATTTCTGACGCCGTTTCTCGGTCTTGGACTGCAAGAGACTACGAGCTTATTTTATTTGCTTTTTTATTTTAAAAGTCGTCGGATATTGACTATTCTCTAATAATTGATTGACTCGAGTTTTCCCGAAATGCAATTCGTAGGGAGAATACCCCGTACTTTCATGAATAGCCCTGTTCAGGTATATTTGAATGTCCTTAAGGAAGAATGCCCACTTAGTGTGTTGCGCATTACAAAACATATGTAACAGACGACCAATCTTCATGTTAATCCGTTCTGTTTGGTTACTAATAATACACGGAAGTGTGAACTATTCTCACTCCTAATTCCTTTAACTTTTCTGACTATATTTTACTACGAAATTGAGTCCCATTATCAGACAATATGGCCCGTGGTTTGCCAACTTCGCCAAAATATTTTTGGATAAGTATCCGCAAGATGGCTTTATTATTCGCCCGTTTTAGCGGATATAGGCAAACATATTTGCTAAGTGCATCAACTAGTACCAACAGTTGTGTTACACCAGCCCTTGATGTTGGTAAACTACCCGTTAAATCTAGACATACCAAAACGTTAGGAGAATTTACTAAAACCGAATGAAATTTACCCGTAGTTTTTTTCGAACGTTCAGTCATTTTTCCTTATTATTGGACGCATTTTTTTTTAAATAATAATATCGTTTAAGCCAGAGCCAACATTTTTTTGAACCGAAGTGACCATTATCATTATGTTCTTGAGTTACTAAGTTTAATATCATCACTTTTGGTGCTACAATCTTGAAACCGTTATTGTCTTCCGAACCGCTACGAAATAATTTGCCTTCATACAGAATATACCATTTTTTTATTCCGTTTGCACCATTAGCCATTTCTATTCCTTTTTTTATCTTAGTACAAAATTCATTTTTATTTTGCTTTTCAATGATACTTTTGAAATCCATTTTAATTTCACGGGCTAATTTTGATACTAATAAGTTAATCTCAATTTGTCCGGATTTCGGTCGATCCTTTTGGATATCTTCAAAATGACACGGGTAGGGAGACAAAACATCTGCTACAATATTCTTAGATCCTAGAGCCAAGCAGTAACAAAAACTAAGCAATCGAGCAAAGTAACCTCCCAGTTAGTTTGTGATTGTTATAAGATGTTAATCGAGATTACCTCCCAGAGAGCATGATTGGAGCAGAATGCTTTTGTGGGGTGGGCGAACCGTTTGTAAAATTATTTCTCAAAAAAGTCCATCCGCCAAATTTACATTAGACCTTCTAAATTATAAAAAAAAGCAGTAAGAATAATGATAAGCCTGTGCCTCGTAATATATCCTTTGGGTCGCAGTGACTGGGCAGGTTAAATGCTAATTCTCCCAAATTATCAATAAATCGAAATATGTTCGAAGATGGATCATATCTGCGATATTACCCACATACCTTCTGTCGTGGCCTATCCCAAGCTCTATTTCTAATGATCTTAAAGTTTAAAATGAAAACAGTACATTTAATAAATATATAGCCTTTAATCCGTGTGATTTTTGTAAGGAAACTTTTGACATTTCAGCTTATGATTCATCCGGGCGTTATAGTGGTCAATTTTTCTTCGGCAACGATTATTGGTTGGGATCCATGTCGCTCTGTTACGAACTTCAAAATCCCCACACCAACAGCGAAGTACCACCGTTCGACTTTCAATTCTATGTTGCGAAAATAAGGATAAATATTAACGCGAACCTCACTCCTGTGGTAAGTTAATATTTAATTTACGCTATTTGTTACATGCTCTGCTGCAGCAATTGAAGAAATTCATTCTAGTCTTCAGCGAAATATTGGCGTAAAATATTGACTTCCTTATGAAGCGCTACTCACCTGCTTTGCATTTATGGGTCTGAGCAATTTTTTTGAATGATATCTGAATTAATTCGACAAAGTAAATGATTGGTAATTATTGAATTATAGTCGACGAAAAAGTATAGAAAGATATCTATAAAATATAATAAAATAATCTTCTTTTTAAATGTGTTACAAAATATAAAGTTATAAAAGTTAATCTAATTTTATAAAACACACTAAAAACCAACGTGGGCATTTACACCGTAACAATAAAAATTTAGTTAAAATAACTCGTACAAAGCAAAATTGAAGTCAAATTTTGTTAGCTGTCCGGAAAGATTATTTGAGCACTCACAATTTAAAAAATATATTTTTGCCACATTACGAAAAATAGTTGATCGTTTCTGAAAATTTATATCTTGTGATATTTCATTTTTGGGTTTAGTCCCAGCTTGTAAGAAATTGCAAATGCCTTAGATTAAAATGAGTAAATTGTTTCAGTTCAGACCAGACAGATCTTGCAAAATTAGCTGCTTTTCATTTTTATAATGACTTTGCCAGAAAATATTTTCTTCGTTTTCAACGTATGATGTTATATCAAAAGTGCCACAGAGTAGAAATTTGACTCCTTTACTTTTTTTACTTTAATATATTCAATTTAGGATTATTCTAATCTGCAATAATCTATTAATAGCACAATCAACTGTACGAAAAATGAAACTTTTCTATCACATTTTCAAATAACCAAAATTTTACACTATTCCTATGTGATATATAAGTTAAAATATTATAGTTCACAACCGATGAAAAGTTGTAAATATTTTAATGAAGACATTAAAAGAAACCAAAATAAATTTGTACAATATCTTCAATTTGAGTGGAATCTTCAAAATGAGTGGAATCTTTCCAACATTTTTGACATATACGAATTTAATTCGAATACATAATACTCTACAAAAAAGGAATTTACCGCAATTTTGTATGGTTCTAGAACAATATTCTAGAACAATATTTATGTTCAATGGATGCATTTTTCAAATAATAATTAGTAGCACATATTTAGTAAAAAAGTGAAAGCGGTGGCTTTTCTTGAATTTTTCGACTTTTTCTTTTTTTACTAATATAATAATAATAATAATTTTAATCTTAATTGTTGTAGTCATAATTTTATTGTCCATAGGTTGTTCGTTCTTTGTTTGAGATCCCATTTGCAGGATTGTGATAGTTGTGGTTGCTGTTACTTATTAGGTGTTGTTGTCGTTGCGGTGACGCTCCTCTAAAAAATCAATAGATTAAAATAGTTCAAGGGTCGCCTTAAATGAAGGGTTAGTCGCACGCAAGTTAGGGAAATCAGCGGTTGTATCGAGCAGAGACGAGGAAATGAAAGTTACGTGAACCTGCTGCGTGCGTTCAAAACACGCGTGACCCTCTACGAATTCTGATCTCCTGGTGCACGGGCTGCTTTTGCGTCTTCCTTTGGCGTTGCATCTTGTGAGCGCAATAACGTAGGCATCGCAAGCGCACATTTTCATCACTGTGGTCCGCATGTCGCATAAGCAGGGCCACACAGTTTAATAATCACGTCGCAGCTTTGCTACGTGAAGCGCACGGAAGAGGTTGAAACGAAACAACGTCTATGGCGGACAAATGTGGCCGCCACTAGCTATCGATAAAAAAATTTCCAATATTAATGTAAATATTAAGGGATGAGGTCCGTTAATTCTTATGTAATCATAATTTTTGATCAGCAATATTCAGAATTGGAAAGGAAATGCCCGCAGTCTACTTTATATTGAAGTAGAATACATGTTTCAATTCAAAAAACCCGCTGTTGCAAATATTAGTTTAGAGGGAAAATGCACGGCAAATTGAAGGTTTTATTTAGTATTTATTATAAAAATAAATATGTTTGAAAAAGAAAAACTATAGATTAACCGCTATGAAAAATAATACGACCATAAACCAAATTTGCTAAAAATCTTTACAAAAGCACGAAATACTAATATGAATATGAATGAACATTACAGGGATGATGTCAGTAATAAAATATTTACATAAATAGTCACACGTCAGATTTTTGTCTGAAATAGGGTTTTAGAAATCAAAATCCTTACATCAGTAGAAAAGCTCGGAGGTTTTCACTTCTCAAACAGCTTTGTTTATGTCGCTAGCCGTTACATACAACTTAAGTTTCCTAATAAACTTACTTTCCTTTTAAATAGTTACAGGTAGATTAATTTTTCAAAGAAACTTTCACACATTCTATTGTAATACTATTTACTAAACTTCTGGATTCCTCCTGCTTTGCTTGTTGATGAAACGAACTTGCTGACGTTTCTCCAGTTCGATTCATCAACAAACGACGCAGGAGGAATCCAGAAGTTTTGTAAATATGCAGGTAGATATGTAGGTAGTAGTTCTGGGGGGTCAATACCTGACGTTATTTAAATATATTTTATCAGACGATACATTAACACTAAATGTAACATTCACATTGGATTTTTGTATTTTATTCAAGATTCTATATATCAGCTTGCCCTGTTCAAATATCACTAGCTTTGTAGAGTTGTTCTCTGTGGGTTAATCGGTCAACCAAATATGATCTTTAAGATTTAATTTTGTAGAACACCTGCAATGCGAGAGGCAAAACGCACTATGCACATATAGTTATTTTCATTCTGTTCGTCACGTTGCTCCAAACATAGAAGATACTTTGTTTCATTAAAAGGCTATATGCTCCTTCGGACCAAGACTGTGATCTATTTAATCTTAGATATTTAATTTTCTTGGCCATGTCGACATCCATATTATTTATTACAGTGTGAAGATTTCCCGTTCGTTTTTTTTTTTCGTTGAAAGAATATTTATTTATTTTTGTCACTATTAATTTTTAATTTATCAGGCATTAGCCCGTTTGTGTCCAACTTTAGATAGCAACTAACTTTATGTTCTAGATCTTCTTTGTTTTGTGCTGTATAGTAACACATCATAAATAATGGATAAGAAAAAGAGTGCAACATTAATCATCCTACATACATCCGGAAGGTCTAAAGAAAGTATTTTTAGTTTGTAGCTCTTAACCTACTGCCGAGGATGATTTTTATGTTTACTACATTACTCAAAAACTTTAATCCCCATATTTGGCAATCCCATAAAAAAAGAAACTCCCAAAAATTGTGAAATAAACTTTTACTAAAATTTATTTAATAACTTTCGTTATGTTAAATAATTGCGTAAGCGGGTCTTTTGTGTCTACTTTACGACCAGCCTCGGGCTTTGTGGTCCGGAAATTTTGGAAAGTTTCATTAACAAATTGAGGAAGAAAGGCATTCACCCAAAGAGAGTCTGACCTCGCGTTATTAATGCAATTTCGCCCAGAGCAAGTTGCAAACAAAAAACCAACCGTGAATTAAGTTGTATAAACGAATGCGTAACAATTTGCATTTTTGTTTGGGCGTGAATTGTTCTAGATTCCACTGTTCGGTATTCCGCGACCTTTTTTTTCTTTTTCGGTTTGGACTAGTTTTCTCGTTTTTTTTTTTGAGTGAATTTACTTTTGCATGCATATTTCATCTGATGTAGTGTACGGGGTGTTAAAAAACTTGGTCATTCCGTTAACCATACATCTTTTTCGTAAAAATAACGGGACTTTCCTTATATCAGTTTCCATTTGTTTTCAAAATACAGGTGGTTAACTTGTTGAATGCATATTTATTAATAACTTCATTAATAACGTTTTAAATTGCTTTTTTATTTACCCTAACATTTTTCATTAGTTATATTTCGCAACTTTTAATTTAATCAAACAAAAACATAAATCTGAATCTGAATCCTTGAATTATGAACTGCATTATCAAAACATAAAAAAACTCTAATATTAATTCTAACGATTTGATACTGAATTTACGAATTACTTGTGGTTCTGTGTATATAAGTTAATTGCTAATGAATTTAACATAATTTTTAATTTATTTTCATTTATTAATACACGTTAGTGGGATTTTACGGTTCTTTCTGAATTTTATTTCGCTCAAGCTAGTTTAAAAAACATATTTCGAGTAACCGTTATGTCAATTTAAACCCGAATTTAAAGATTTAAAACTGGAAAAAGCAAAATCTGTCTACAAATAAAGAAATTTGGACCAAAAGTTAAATCCTTTAGTAGAATCAACCGTTCACGTTTAAGGTTAGCTGCTACTCAGAAATGGAACAAAAATCACATTTCATGCTGCAACTGGTCTATAGTATTGTACCGGGTTTACCAGGTTTTAGTTATTTTTCTTTCGGGGGAAACCGAAAATCCTAAAATTTGAAGAAATATGTGGAATATGCTATTAAAAGTAAGGTCAGATTCAGATGTCACAATCAGATAACTATATATTATTATAAAAATGTAATAAATTAAATAAAAGGGTACGTTAAAAAATATAGGAGTAAGTTTGCATTCGTTATTATTTTCGTTTCACAATGTTGTACTAACACACTTGCATTTGTATTCAATTTTTTTAGACTCGCCAACTGAATCTGGGGCAATGCCTTCCGAAATCTTGTAAAATTTCGGATGTCAAAACGATCTTGATTTATGAAAAAAGCCGGGCTTCCTCGGTTAGTATTGTCAACGTCAGACGAGTGCCCGGAGACTACTCCTTACTGACAGATGTAAAAGTTCAAATTGTGGGGTAAGTATTTTGGAAATGAATCTAGTACAATGGTAAAAATTGTGCTTGTAATGGTAGATTTATTAGAAAGTTGATAAAAATAGGTAAAAAGTATTTTCAAGAAAGACAGATGAAAAGGGTTGAAACAGCACTAAATTATATTTAAATTTGAACCCTCAATGTCAATGGGGCAAATATTCTGTCGTAGAAAGGGAAATGTTAGAAGAAAATTCAAATTAAAATTACGAAAAGGAATTAAGATTGTTTCAAAAACGAGAATAACTTCAATTTGATTTTGGATTCAGAAGAATCTTTGCATAATTCCCCTTTTTTTAAGTTTTACCTTACTTTTAAAGATTGTATTTTGAAAATGTTGGTGTCAAATAATTTCAAAAATAATAAAGTCACTGAAAAATATAATAGCCATATCATCAATCTTTTTGTTTAATGCCACATGGTACACATTTTTATGAAACATGCAGTTGTGCTGACGAATTTTTTCGTGCATGTTGTATAATGTTTTATTTTATTATTTATAAATTTGATATAAGGATATTGTATTTGATTATTGGTTTGACGTTGCATAAGTTAAAGTAAATAAAGACAAAAAAATGAATAATTAATGTTTCGTGTACAATTAAGGTTAATGGTAAATATTTCTGTTTATATGCGTAACGTTAAAATCAATAAGGCAATAAATACAATAAGGACAAGGCAAAAGGATGAATTTTCATGATTTAAATAATCACGTCATTACGTTTCCGATGCAATATTACTTGCGATACTGCCAACAATGCAAACAATGTGATTAATATTTTATTCAGTTGTTTATAAAATTATGTTTTGCATTCCTATATGAACGTCTTTCAAATTATCGCGTTAGCCAGTGTTACGTAAGTTAATTTGAAGCTAGATAAGATATAAGTTATTAAAATTAGTATCAGCATACCATCTGTACGATCTTTTGCTATAAAGTAAGAGTTTGGTACGTGTCTCTCATATATTCTTAAAGAAAGTTTCTTTTGATGTATAATACTATATTGTGCAACAAGTTTTGTTTACACTTAAGTGACTAATTTGTTTATAAAGTTAATACACATGTTGCATTTTTGCAAAAAAACACGAAAATAGACAGTGCAAATCTACCGAAATTATGTAATCGCTAACAACCCGTGACTAAATTACTGGAAACCACTGAATGTGACTGGCGACAGTGTTTAACTGAACTACTATTTTAGTCTGAGTGTAATAAAAAATATATAATTTTAATGTCGTGGATAGTCTACAATCATATGCAAATAAGTTGTTTAATTATTTTCTTGTAAATGTAAATCTTCAAATGAACAATTTTGTAATGATTTTAATATCTAAAGTTCCTTTATAATTTTGAAGTATTATTTATTTGAGGTATCCTGACTTTCAAAAGAATTTCAGCTCAGCTCAGCTCAAACCGCTTAATTAAAAATTTGGGATATGTAAAAAGCAGATATTAATAAATATTATGTTAAAATCTGAAACCAGATTAAAGTAACATTATCCAATACGGAGAACGAACCGAAAGTTAATTACCACAGAAATAAATTATTAAGTAATGCTATATTAGTAATAATATTACATAATTCTTGCTGGGGCTTAAAAAATTGAACAACACTAAATGATACCCCAATTTTATTTCTATGTCTGGTAATGTTTGGTTTTATTGCCTCACTGCTATTTGGTACAACCTATGGTTGAAACTGTTACTCAAGTACTTATAAATTTTAATGTTTATTGAGTGTTGTGCTTTGAAATATTTTATTAAAAAACTGCGCTATCGAAATATTTAACTTTTTTAATGTTTTTTAGAGGATGTGGTCTTGCCACGGTATTTATTATAATCGTGGCATCTGTCGTTGAGGTGTCTTTGAAAAATCGGAGAAACAAAATTGGCCACAAGGATGTCGAATTTCAAAATAATAACATTGACGGAGGAAGCAAGGAAGCGGTAGTAAAATCACAAGAAATTGAAAAACAAAAGAATAGTAAGTTAAACAACGTTCTCGTTTGGTATAACTTCACAAATATGGCAATAGGTTGCTCCAGAAGCATTTTTTCCTCTTTAAGATAAGTTGAACTACAGTGTTGGACCCTCGAACGGGTTAACAAAAATTGTGGACTTTTTTCATATCTTCAACACTAAAAAGATATTTTCTAAGATATATTTCTGAAAAACTCTCAAAACTGTGTGTGTTTTTTGTTAAGCAGGATGTTAAAACATACATAGGTTTTTCTGAAAATTTTACCTGTATTACTAAAGTATATTATTAAAGGAAAAGGTTTATAAGATATTTTCTTCGTCTTAATTTGATTTTGCAGGTTTCAATAATTTAACAAACTAACCAAAACTAAGAAAATCAATCTAATCAATTAATTTTTTATATTTGTTCAAATATTGATATACTTATGAGGTCTATCAAAATTAACTGTCGTTTGTAAAAAATAGGTTTAAATCTGGTGGTACATGTTGGAATAAACATGAATAATTTAAATAATAACCATCTTAAAAAAAAACGAAAAATTCGTATGAACTTTTGAAAAATGGTAATTGTTTTGATTTTCCACACTAAGAAAACGAGGATGTTCAAAAAATAGACGCATATATTTAACAGAGACAGAGAGAGAATGTTCAAGATTTTTTTTAGTAATATCTGACGAAATATGTTATTTGGTATATTAAGAAGCTAGGCCTAATAGAATAAAAATATTAGGCGCAGTGGAAATGCTGGAAATGTCCACCATTCTAACTCGACGAATCATCTAATAATTTTAATTTTAATAATTTTAATTATTTAATCTATTAGGACTAAATCACACTCTTAATACATAAAATAACATTGCCAAATTTCAACAAAACCGAAACTTTTTTCATATTTTTCACAAAGAAACTCTAAAATCTTTCCGTCTATTTGAAGAACACCCTGAAAATATCATACATATTTTAAGATTTTTATTTTTTTTTGTTAGTGGATTTTTTGAGCCCTTAAGTGTCCAGTCTCGTATGCTTTGCGCAAAACTACGTATCCAGTATTGGACGGTTTATTTATGATTTTCTGTAACGCATAAAAGTTAATTTCTTAGCTGTTTGAATTACAAGAAATCACTGATAACTTGATTTACTTCTATTATTTACCTTATTCCAGACAACTAAGACTCGAGTCAATTTTCCCATTACAAAACTATATTTTCAGATATAATTTTAAGGTTACTCTTATCGTTTTCTGCGCTTACCAACGGCAGAAAAATCATGTCGGTTGAACGTATATCCCAAGACGCTATCGGCTGTATCCACGGGTTGAGATTTTTTTCCATCACTTGGATTATTCTGGTGCATACGTATTTGGAGGTTTTCGCAATAGGAAGAAATAAAAGTCTACGAACGGTCACGGAACGTGGGTTTATGTATCAGACAATTTCTAATGCAACATTTTCCGTCGATACTTTTTTCTTTATCAGGTGAGTTAATTTCCAAATGCGCTTTTGTTATTCTTCGACAGTGTGGCACATTTCTGTTTTCTTTATAGCGGTCTTCTTGTTACCCTAATTTTCTTCAGAACGGACAATAAGAAAATCAAATCGATTAAGCAGCTCAGCGGTTTGGAAATATTTGGAGTCGAATTACGAAAATTTACAGTGATGGTGTTTTATAGGTTCGTGAGATTGACTCCTGCGTACCTGTTCGTGCTGGGAGCCAACGAAATTATCATGCGGTATATTCACAAGTAAATCGCACAAATGTTATCTATTTTATTTTACCTTAACAAGTTTAAATTACGTTTTTAGTAACTCTGTTTTTTCGCCTGCGATATTGGACCACGTGACCTGCGATGTTTACTGGTGGAGGAATATCCTGTATATTAACAATTTTTTTCCTCAAGCAGAATTTTGTATGATATGGTCCTGGTACATGGCAAATGACACCCAATTTTTCATAATCGCAGCTATTTTGTTGCCAATTGCTGTTAGGTAAGATTTTCCTTCCACAGGCTCATAATTGCGAGTCTTTAAATTCAGTAAATGAAATTAATTAATTTTTTCGGAAATTTGCTCTAAAACTTCAAATTTTTGTTCCTGCAAATCTAGAAAAGATTTAACAAATATTAAATTTGAAATTCAACCCAGTTCAAATTTTTGTGCAGATTAAAAATGGTTTGTCGAAAGATTCAACGAAAATGCCGTACTTAATTTAATAGGCTAAGAACACAAAATGAAGTTATTGATTTATCTACTAGACAAGAATGTTCGAAAATTGGAAGACATCTTGTTTTTGCTAAATAAATTTTTCGAATAAGATAATTTTTGTTAAATACTTAATACATGACAAGGACTAGAAGTTTAAAATTTTCTTTGATTTACTGAATTTACTCCAATTTAGAATCTCGCACCGTATAGTAATTATAAGTTTACTTTAAAGGGCCCGATAGGTTTCCTATCAATACAAGCCATTAACAACAAATCGAATATTGTATTAGGCTTGTAAGATATTTGAATTTTTAAATTAAGGTTATAATAATTTGCTCCTTATGCTTTTCCCTTTTTTGGGTGTAACTTGCGCGGCGCAAAATCTTAATTTTGATTATTTCAAACTATTAACTCTTAAATGTTGGCACAAAAACCTACCTAGTATTTGAATGGGGACTAAGATTGCACACAACGTATTATTGTTGGAATCTTACGGAAATGCCTGCCTGTTGCCTTTAGTGATACAGGGTTTTTCAAAATACAAACGTATTGCGCACTTTATCCAAAATTAAATATAAGGTATTTTCTTTTTTTTTCTTTGAACTAAATTTATTGAATATCAAATTGTCCAAAAAATATATCATATTCAAAAAACTATATTTTGTAAATTTTCATGATTCTCCAAAACCATACAAGAGTAAAAGTAAAAATTGTACCTTTAAAGGCAATACTAGTCATGAAAATACCTCCCGGATAATATTTATTTATTTATATTTAATTTAATTTTAATATTTATTTTATTTATTTAATTTAAAATTTAGTTTTTAATATTAATATTTAATATTTATTTTTAATATTTTTAACTATTAAGCATTTCTATTTATATGATATTTTTTCCTTTTTTTTTGGATGTCAGCTCGGCTGTCCGTCAAGCTTTGGCGTATGTTTTTTTAAAATACCTTGTATAGGCAATATAATTTTCATTGTACTTGTGAATAGATAACTTCTTGTGTAAATTAGCAAAAATTACAGTAATAACGTGTATGTAATGCTAATAAAGTTACGAGATATTTTTCACAAGCGCTTTGACATTTTTAGGGGATACAAGCATCTGAAATTCGTTGCGATTTTTATTGCGCTTCTAATGCTGTTATCTTGGATCACAACCTTCCTAATAGCTATGCGAAATGACTATGTTGCTCGAGTCGAGGAACCCTTTGCTCTATTCGACCAACTGTATGATAAACCCTGGATGAGAGTGGGATCCTATCTCGTGGGGATAATAATTGGTTAGTTATTTGCATAACAAATTCTAGGACTCTAAGGCTGCACTGTTTCAATTTATTTGAAGTAAGATTTTTCGCGATGATTTTAGGATACCTACTGTTCAAAATAAATTGCCAGTTAACCCTAAAACCCATGACGGTAGTGTTTGGGTGGACATGTGCTCTGACTTGTTTGGGTACTCTAGTTTATGGACTTGGTAAAGAAGGGCTTACAGTTCCAGCGTCGGCATTTTACGTAAGTATACGAAGATTTCCTAAGTTGGAAACCGATTGTGATTGATGCATCGAATATAGGTCCTGCGTAATGAATGATTTATTAAGGCACAATTACGGTTAAAATAGTTGGGTAATTTTTACCTTGGAGTTTTATTTTTACGTTCCATTTGCTTCCGTTTTTGTAATAATTATTTAAATTGGGTGCAAATTAAAACGACGCTCATTAATATTAGTTTTCATCAGCCGATCTTATTATATGAATAGCGATTGGATTAAGCGACCGTACTTCTGGTAATTTTTTTTTAGTAAAAGTGAATGCAAAAAGTAGCCGAAGATCATATTTCAAGGGCGTAAATAGGAAAATTTATTTTTCTCTAAAATTTATCTCATAACATGCATTTTAAATAATTGGAACAAAATATTCTCTTTATTACGGTTACTTTTAGTTGTGACCTTTCATACTTCACTCCTCAAATAAGATGGCGGCATGTGTGTGTTCTTTTACCGAGCGCGCTAGATATTTTTTCGATAATATATTATATTTTATTATTTTTTCCGAAAAATACAATTTCAATGAGATATATACTTCTGTAGTGTGACATAAGGGACTGAAAAATAGAGTGATTAAAACCTTAGCCGCCATATCTCTAACCTTAAATACTAACGAGAAACTTAAAATGTAAGATGAGATAGGGTACACACGTTTTTGATGGAATAAAGCTACCAAAATTGAAAGTTAATATTTTCAAAGAAAGGATAGTGTGTTAAAAACAATAAGAACACTGAAGTTAGCATTTCTGATATAACCATCAGCATATTCTATCACGCTTAACTTAGAATATTAGAGATGGACTAACAAACATATTAAAAAATCGAACCCTTTGATTTTAGTATTTCCTTCCTAACACACTTATTTCCAATTTTACAAAAAAAAACATACAAAAGTTGTTTGATGTTTTGTCTATAGAATGTCTCAATGTTGAATTGGTACTAAAAATTTTGAAATATTTAAATTTATGGTTAATTTTTTTTTATAATAAGTACTCGATTTCGAGAAACAACAATAGAAAAATCTAAATTTTCACAATTTTTTGAGTTAATATCTCTCAAGTTGGTTTGAGATCAGAGAAAACTACGCGCATTAGTTAATGAAATAATATATTAATAATGAGGCGTTTCCACTATTTGGTATTAAAAACGAATTTGATCATATTTACAATTCGTCGCTTAATTTTAAACCCCGGATAATTTAAATTTGGTGATTTCAGGGTATCTTGTAAAAATTAAAGAAAAAAAAAACATATAATTTCCCAAATCTCGAATAACTGGCATATAATTAGTTAAAACAGTACTGATTTTCGCTGTAATTATGTTTAAACACAATGATAACTATCGACAATTTGTTAATTTTGAAACATGAAACTTCCAATTCACGCCATCAAAAACCTCAACCACTAAAAGAAGTTAAAGTCGTGAAATAATTAGATTGCGTGCTTGGGGTATAAATAGGAATTAGGGTTTTCTAGGTAATTCCGTTATGAGTCAATACTGCACTAGAATCAATCATTTTACCATAAATTGCGTTAATCGTTTGCTTTCTGTATACTCCTAGTGTCCTGATAATGTTGGATGTAATCAATAAATCAACGTAACGATGATCTCACTATCCTTTCTGTGGTGTAGGTAACGACATCGACTATACCTATCATCAATTGATTAATTTTAAAATGAAAGTATAGATAAAATTTAATTTCGTTTCTCCGTTTCGGCAACAAAACGAAGAGAAACTCTCCGATGTCCTCAAATCGATGAATAATATCAAACCGCAATTTTCATCCGACCAGAACTTTTATTATGAACAATAAAGATAAAAAAAAAACATCCTCAATACATTAATAAAAATATTGTAATTTGTTTCTCAAACGACTTCACGGAATCGATTGTTGTTATTTATGGTTATTCCGTTGCGATGCCGATAATTATTGTAAATCACCTTAGCGTTATTGACAAACATCTCCCGACTGTTACTGCTATCCTGATATTCGAAGCAAAGCTTCAAGTCGGTCCTGCCGAGCGAGGAAGTTCACCGGCTCCTGCAGAGAACGATTCTTAGCGCTCGACCCGGCAGGCCCCCAGATCGTACTGATTCGCAGGATTTCAAGTGTAACGTAGACTGCAGGAATTTCATTCTCATTTTATTAAAATGGTGACCTGCGCGTTTTCGTTGCGATTCACGTATTTACCGCTCCAAACCCCCATACTGTTGTTTTTAGGAATAATTGTTGGAGAGGAAGTAAAAATTACATTAAAATGATGTAGCAACAGGAAATTATCAAATGAGTGTTATAAATACACCACTACAATCTTTACTGTCATGTTTTGCCAATATTGTATAATAAAAAAAAGAAGGAATTTCAAAAAAATCAAAAATTATCATTTATATATATTTGTCGTCATTTTTTAAAATCGGCGGGGTATAAATATCGGCAATAAAAAGAGACATTTCGTTGGTTTTTTTTTTAGAAACGTATCGCTGCGAAGAAAGATTGACAACATAGTCTCGCGTGTATATTGGGAAAACATAAGAAGAAGTGAAAATTGTAAATTTTTCTCGCATGGCGCATTAGGTATTACATTTTTTCCGCCAGCAAAGAACGAAACTTTTATCGAAAATTTTACATTGTGCCAACGGCGATCGGTATGGATTATTTTCATACATATTCTCCAACTTATTCGTAAATCTAGGTTGGTAGAAGTAACCCCTCCACTGTGTTTTTCACCTTGAATTCAATATCCAAAATATCCAAACAAACAATCCAACAAATCCAACAAATATCCAAAAGTTTTGTGCCTGGTTTAAATGGCATTTTTCGTGGATTCATCCTCTAGGATTTGCCAACTTCTGCGGCCCTTATGATAAATTGTAAACTAACCAATGCTGAAATTCTTGAAGGATTCTTGATGAAATCATTGATGCACGATTCGTCGTACTGTCATTGGATTTTCATTAGTTAGTTGTTGCTAATTGTCCAGGCTTGGTGGCGCAGTCAGCGTAGAGTTGTTAAATCTCTTAATTGATTATCCGCTCCTAATACATCGGCGCAGGAAGGTTGTCGTATACGTATCGCATATGCGTTTCAAACGTAAGCTTCCCCAACATTAAAATAATCTTTATCGTAACGCAGTCTTTGATCGGGTGAAGGCAAAGAAAAAAATCTTTTTTGGTGTAAATAAACTGTGGGCCTAGTTTGTGTTTCTGAAAAGGCATATATATAAACATCGTAAACCAATTTGTTTTTGTAAACGATCATGGTTTCTGAATAACGCGATTTTATCAAAACGATTACGGGCAAATGCCCAATTATGTTTTTAATGAGCTTGCCTCAAACACAGGAACGTCTCGTATTCAAGAGTTATTAATAATGTAGCAAAGATAGTACGGATATTTTCGCCATCGTTTCTGGTCATTTTGGATTAGCTTCTCATGGTTGAGGCTACGATTTATATTTGTAATTAAAATAGATCTCGTATGTATTCTGATATCCTGATAGTAGAGTGCGTTCCTGACGCCACCAATGTAGTGTGTACGTGTTTGGCTCTAAGCACCAAACAACATTTTGTACCGAAGTCCAATTATTTTGTTTCTTTCTATGACACTATGATATGGGCCAAATTAGCTATTAGCTAAAATTTCCATGGTGTTACTAAAAAGTTTATAACAATGTTTTTTTTTTATTCTGTGAGATCGATTTCTTCAAAGTTCCTGTTTAATGAGTCGAACTAACATTTTGTATTATATCTAACTTGTTGACGTATTTGGGACTGATCGTGCAAAAATATATTACGGCATTTTCTTCGAATCATGGTATTAGGAACATATACGGCAGAAGATCAAATTTTTTGCTGAGCATTTATTCACCATCATTCTTTTCTGATATCCTGATGCTGGATTAAAAGGCTGACATCTTGAATTATGAGCAAAAACACAGGACCTAATATAAAATTTGGTTAGTATTCAGTTAAATTCTATCTAAACTTTTTCATTGGAGTATATCTATACGACAAAATTTCAAAATGTTCCTCGACATTTTTTTCTAGAATTGTTCGGTTCCGCCATATAATAAATAAATAATGAATATTTTTTTTGCATTCTCTTTTTGCGCCGCATTATAATATGGTTCGGGGTTCGTTTTCAGAATGAAATTTAGGATTTCTTTTTGGAGATCGGCTTATATAGGTATAGGTTTTGTTTTTAGCATTTAACTTATTCCCTATCCTGTTTTCCTGATACACAGGAAACCTCATCTCGCCAACCTTACAACGTAGCTTGAATGACGTAGAAACAACACACATGATTTAGATTTGCGCTTTTCCAGGAAATTAATTTGCCGCTTATCTACGTCCCGTACTAAACTAACTGTCAGTGCATACTATCAATCCAGTTTTTTTACAATGCTTGGCTGTAACATGTACAAAACCTTATATCAAAATAAAGGGACGTTAAATAGATCCAGAAAATTGCCCTGCAAAGTTATTTCGAAATACATCTCTCTTTTATTCTCTAACCTCGGGCATTTGGCGATCTAATGCGGTACGGCTCAGTCAAATAAGGCTTTTTTAACACTGCAACGTTCATTTTCTGCCGTCCTGGCACCGATCGAGTTCCTGACATTTTGAATTTTATAACGAAGTGATAATCCAAATAATTTTTTTTCGGAAATTCTCATACCCAACCCTAGAATCTTCTGTTTTAAGATTCACTTTAAACTTAAAATCCAATCTGTGCAACATTTTTTCTTTTAATAATTCGAGTTTTGTCAAAATACGTAACCTAACAAATACGAAAGAAGTATTTAAGAGTTTTAAGGTAATCTAGTCTAATACTAACTTGACGTACAACGGCGTATTTTTTAAATTATACCTGGGATGTAGGTATTACTTACTTATCCAATAATATTTAGGTGTTCTATAACTCTTCGTATTTTCACACAGTTCGCGAAAATTTAGTTGAAAAATAGACCTGAAAATCATAATAGACACTCATATATAGCTTGTTGAAAGGCAATATTCCTTGCCGTACATTGTGAAACTGTAAATTTATCGGATAAGCAAGAGAACAAACATATGCCGAGACCATTGTCATTCATTGATGTTCTATTCCAAATATCCAATTTCATATATTTCAATTTCTGCGGTTAGTGCAAAAATGACAACAGCTTTGCGAGAAAAATAAAGAATTTTTTATTTTCCAGGTAAACGAATTCTAAAATTTAAAATTTCAGTACATCTACTTTGTTTTGACTTATTTGGGAGATACGCTTGTTTGTGGAAAATATATTCAAATATATAAATAAATCATATAAATAAAATAAATATAGAAAATAACTGACGTTTCTAGTTATACGTTATTTATGAGGAAAGGGCAAGAATATTTTTCGTGTCTTAAGACACTTCCCTGGAAAAATACTGTTATAATGGACCTCGATAAACATCCTTAAAGTTATTTGGCAGTAATAATATTAATCCATTTATCATATTTTTTGCAAATTTGGGTACGGAAAATATTTTTTTAGGTTGCTTTAGGACATACCGCTTGGGGTTTGGCTATAGCGTGGATAACAGTGGCCTGCTGTACAGGATATGGAGGCCCTTTTAATTGCATTTTTAGTTGTAAGCTATTTTTACCACTCAGTAGACTGACATACGGAGCTTATTTGGTCCATCCAGTTATCATGTGCCTTACAAGTTTTGCCTTGGACGGATCTCTACAACTGCACAATGTAATGACGGTGAGTGTCTGTCAACGCTATCACATGCGAGATCTCATAACATAGCATTTGATTGTTTTAGATTGTGATATTTTTTGGAAACGTAGTGGTCTCGTTTATGTGCGCGTTTTTGATATCCGTTGCATTTGAAGCTCCCGCGGTAAACTTATTAAAAGTCATTTTTAATTAATTGAAACGATCCAGATAAGTCCGAGCCAAGACTGCCCGACTTTCCTTACTAACTGGGTTGTTACCTTCCCAGGCAGTGTGAAAACGAGATGAAAAAGAATAAACTGATTGATATTTAGTGATTGTGGCTTCTTTATTTACTTGTCGGATAAAACTAGATCTAGGCAAAAAGAAAACTGAATTGGAGTCGAATAAAAGTACACCTTTTATGTTCCTTGTTGTAGCTGACGTTAAAAATATTTATGCCGGATATCAAGGAGATTATTTGCTAAGGCGATTTTTCCTTACTCCAAAAGATATATTTTTTGACAGTTGAACTGCAAGCGTCATGATTGAAGAAGATGCCAATTTACATGGAATAGCATATTATGCAACAACGGTATTTGACTCAAGAGTTTATTAGACATGAGCGGAGCGAGTGTTTAATAAACGAGTGACTTAAAAATTTTACCGAACATGTTGCATACTATACTTTTTCTACGACCGTTAGGTTTTGAGTATATTTTCGCAAAACATCACGAATATATTCACTGACATGACCGTCAGAATTGACAAACGTCAAAATTCAAAGCGTGGGAAATATTTCCGAAAACATCCGATTGCTCCCAAATCCGTGCGGTAAAGTCCCAGAAATGTCCGAAGTTGCTCGGATCAGTGGGAAACGAAAGTGACGTGGTAAAGTGACGCTTCCCGCACGCTAGATCGGTGAGTAATTAGGAATTTTACAAACGGGAGTAGAAAAAAAATCACTTCCGGCGTATGAAAAGGAAATTTATACAAGCTGAAACTCGCTTTTGTATTGAAAGTCAATTATACTCTGTTTCATCAGGGGCGATGAAAACAAAATATTTTGAATAAATGGTATACATAAGTATTGCATGCAAAATACCGACTATATTAAGAATAGAAGAAACAAGGAGAAAATATTTCTAAAACCGGTAAGTATCTTTTAATGTAACGGGAATGTTAGGAGAGATAAAACTTATTTGTAGAGATATCAGATCCCAAAGATGCTCCTGAAGATATCCGCCTTTCTTGTAACCATTCCGTTATAATTGATAATATAAACAAAATTGTTTATTAGATTTTATTTCGAAAACCAGTAATCTTCACAAAAAAACATTGTTTGAAAAAAAAATCCTCAGAATGTTAGACAATATTCTCATTGGAATAATTTCAAAATTTATCAAAATTGACTGTTTATTTTTGTTACTAACAAAATTCATCATCAAAGGCAACATTCTTTTTTTTTTTCTTAATTTGTCAGAATTTATTTATGTATTTTCACTCTGAAGAAACTGTCTGTTATATTATTTAACTTTAATAACCAAAGGGCAATAAAAGACAATTATTTTATAGTTGGTACTGAATTGTTTATTTATTTCACAGTTAGCTGGATCATTAATTTACAATAATTGGATTTTATCGCATTGTTCCTAATTGAATAAACGTTTACACTCTATAGTTGGTGATAACATGAGTAGTTGCTGAACGGACAAGTTATGTTTAAAAATGTGTTGTTGTCTATTAGCTATGAACGCATTGCGTTAAACGAGTTGACGCGACCTAATCTAAATCCGAAGCTCTGTAATTTAGAGACGTGCTTCGCACGAACTACTCAAAACTTTTAAACTAGACTTACAATTTTGATTAGCATTTTTACATTTTTGTTCCGAATCATTTTAAACTGTTACAAACAATGGAACAATATGGAAGACGATTAAAATATGTATGCAAATTATATGTAAATAATATTAACGAGTTTCAACCAGGACTAAGCGTAACATATAAAAATGTAAATATACCATCTTAGACTAATGAAAGTATTATAAACGTTCGTTTCAAAAACACCAAGTTTTTTTGCGAACATGTTTACTCGCTGATCACAACACATATTTACATATCACCGTAAGTACATTAAATAATGTTCCGTAGAGTTCCACACACTTTCACTGAAATCCAATTTCGTTATTCTGAAAAAAAAATGGTATCAGCTTAAATGCGTCTTTGAAAATAATGACTTCTTAAATCAATCCAAAGGACACCCGATAATCCATAATTAGGTACATACACAAAATCATAACTCGCTCATAAACACACAACATTATTTATTTTGTTTAAATTTTTTGAATTTTTATTTGTTATTAATTAAGGCGTTGGTGGTTTTATGACACATTTTTGGCTGAAACTAATTTGATTTTATTTATCCAAAAAGAGTGGGGGGTCGAGTGGATTGGCTGCCAGTTTTTGGCTGATTGGTCGGGTCTTCTTTGGATACAATGTCATGTGATAAAACTACGGCACAATCTGAACCAGGAATTTCATATTAAAATATTTAGTATATCTTGGTAATTTTAACTCCATTTGTATTAGTATGCACACTGATAATTAAGACGAAAGGTTACGCAATGAAGTAAATAAAGGAAGCCACAGAGTTTATTATTAAATATATGGTTAATAACTACTACCTACCACCACATTAATCAGTGCAACAAACAAAACAATAGTAAAGATGAGTAAATGTTATATGGCCGACGCTGATACAGGAAGTGCTATGTTGTTTGGATCAGGATAATCTTCGTACTCTTCTTCCACCTCTGGTTCCTCATAATCATCACCACCTTCATCCACGGCTTCCTCGGTTTCATGGTCAGTGCTTATTGATGGAGTTGGTGGAGGGGCGGGCCGAGTTACATCCTATAATAGTGTGTTAGTAGCTAGCACCATTGTTAAAACCGAGTAAAAATTCAGTCGGGAATATTAGTTTACGAAAGATAGTGCGAAATTTACACGTTTTTGGACATCACTCTCAATGCTAGTTGATGACTTCTATAAAAAGTGAGACTTTAATTATTTTAGTAGTGAAATCCAAAAAGCTGTAGATTTCAGCATATTAAAACTATAGTTCTGGTCGAAACTAACACTTGTTAATCTACATACTTTGGGTGGTCTCCAACCACATCCTGGAAGTGGTAGACCATCCGGTCCCAAAGGACACGGGGCATCTAACCCAGGAACACCTTGGTCTCCTTTGTCGCCCTTGTCCCCTTTCCTACCTCTTTTGCCTATTGGACCCTGAGGAATTAAAACTCGAAATGAAATTAACTTGCGCACATTGAATAACTTAATTCAAACTATACGACTTCATTGGCTGTTACGAAAAAACACTTACAGCATCTCCTTTGTAACCTTTGTCCCCTTTAGGGCCCTGAAATGTTAGAAAAAGCGTAACACATAAACGTTCCGAATAAACAGTTGATTGAAAATAACGTAGCATGCATATTTCAGTAATTATTTGTTCGCTAAACCAATCCGATTGTCTGCACGAAGCTGCCACTAAAGCTTTGAGTTAAATGCCTCCACAAAAGCGAAAGGTTAGATGATTTGATGAGTGTTAGTACCTCTTGACCAGGAATCCCATCAGTCCCCTAAAATAAAAAAAATCACAATATAATCACCAAATCCATGTTTAAATGTATTAATGCCATTTAGACGCTTATTCGCATTAGTTTTACACAATAATTCATGGAAAACCCTCACCAAAGTCATATTTTAAACTGCGAATTAATAAAACGTTCCTATTCAATTTTGAGAAGATTTATCTGAGATAGTTATGGTGATTTTACCGTAAAAATAAATTTTTTGTTAACTATGAATTAGGCAAGAAATATTTGTTGGTAGATAAATATTATTTTCTTATAGGAGAAGAGCATTTAATTTGATTTTTTTATGATTTTGTGTTTAAAATGGTCTTTGGGCCTTCTTCACGATGGACGAATGGGATGTGGTAAAAATAAATTTATTATGTATAATTTTATAATGTGTACAAACACTAAATGATGCTTCATAATTGTGAAATTTAAATTGCCCAAACATTTAGGTCTGTTGTGTAGGGTACCAGCAACAATGGAACATTATTACACAATCTTTAATTAATTTGGGCGTAATGTTTAATAACCAAAACTGAGTATATTGTATAGAATTTTTATAACTATCACAATATATATTATGAAATGTATCCAGCATTTTATAGACACGTCAGCTGGATCCCTCTGCAAAGGTGACTCTTGCTTCGCCTCTTTGCTAATTTTACATGCGTGTCCTATAAAATTTTATATTTTGCTGTTAATTTCTATATTATTTGGACATCGATATTTTAATAAATGTTTCATTATTCTTTATTTATGGTCTTCCATTATTCTAACAGATCTTGATTTACAAAAAGAAGCGTTGAAACATATAGACCAAGGTTACTAATGTAAAATTGGTATCTCCAGAGTAATACTTACTGGCAATCCCGGGTCTCCTCTTTCTCCTTTGCTTCCGGGTTCTCCTTGTGCGCCCTGATACATCAGTTAGTTACTAATTGAATAAATTTCCAGTTTAACTAAAATTTTATTGTTTTCATTTCTTAAAGGAAATTCTATAGGACTGTGGGACGTAAGAAAATGTCCTGCTATCGGTTTTCAAAATATGATATTTCGTTAAATTCCTGCTATCAGCTTTAGTTATAACCAGAATGGAAGGTTTATTTGTATCAGTAATTTTGTTTCTTGTATTGTTAATAGTTGAGCATAACAACCGGATTGCATCTACCTCTTAAAACATGGAAATTTGATCAATTAACAGCCAGCGGCAATAATCAGAAAATATTATCCGAATAAATATCACCTTCCATTCTTGTCAAAATCAAAAACGCACGAATGCAGAAATGAGTGAATTTTTCAACAAAATTTTAATTATATTTAAACAAATCATTCTTATTTTTCTAGATTTTTATTTGGGTAACTAAAAATAAGAAGGAACTTCACCAATGAAACGCGAAATTTACAATAAATACTTGTGGAAGAAATATACTTACTTTCATACCATCGAGACCAGGGGGACCCTGTGAAGAAAAATATCTAAGAAATGATGTGTGAAAATGTGAGCCACTTATTAACAACTAGATGAATGAAACAATCCAGCAAAATGCTGCCAAAACTTTTGTTTGCTTTGTAGTTTTCATGCACTCACACTTTCTCAAAATAACGCCGGAAAGCGGATTTTCAAAAAACGTTAGTGAAAAGAGATTAAAGAATTAGTTAAGAAAACATTAATAGACGATAATGGAATTTTAGCATTATTATAAAATTTGTATGTACATATTCAGATTAGAAATAATAAATCAAAATCATTACGTTTGATGGATATTTGCGTTGGTATTTATTTTAAATTGCGTTATTTTTAGTATTTATCAAAATTGATATCCATTAAGATCTTTTAAAGAATGACTTCTGTAAAAAAGGCTTGCATTGGGTAGGAAGCATTTTCAGGCAAAATGTAAAAACCAAAGCTGCTTTAAATAATTCCGCACATGCACAAACATTTATTTTTCTGACACGTTTAATAATACACCAAGCGTACTTAATACTAAATATTAAAATTAAATTTATTTTACAATCTTTCTTATTTTGTAATATGTTATCTCCAAATGTACAGGCTTGGACGTAACCGTCATAAGATGACATTTTGCATTGAATTGAAATACCGACAGAAATTTGGAAACACATATTACTACAATACGAAACATGGTTTCTTACTCTAAGATCAGTCACGTATAATATTTGTTATAAACTGTATAATTAATTACAATTTCTAACCTACTATAAGACATCTATAAAAAATGTTAACATTTATATTACAATACTGTCACTATTCATCCTTACAAATTATTTGCTTTGTATAATCGTCTTGCAAAAACTTCGTTCTCTTTACAAAATATAATAAATACTTACTCATAGCCTATGTTATTATGTATATAATTTATATAAAAATTCTGTCGGGACTATATTTAAATGGACTTGCTTTCTCTGGTAATATTCCGTATTTTAAATGGATACAGAATCGAGCAATAAGTACTACTATGGACGTAAATTTCTTTGTTAAAACCGATTAAGGTTATTTTGTTAAGTTTGACTAGTTACAATAAACGACACTACACACTGAACTGCTGTAACGTTGGAAGGTTGCGTTCTATAAGTAATCATCTGTTGTAACTAGACCATTTCGTTTATTTAATTGTCTATTAATAGCTAGCAATAAATAATATGGTAGCAATAATTACATTTGTCGTTTGTCGGAATAAGTGTTATAAATCAACTTCTGTTCCATATTAATTTAAAATAATAATAATTTAATAACGAAACAAAAAGAAAACTGTTGCCTAGTTTTTTAAAGCAACATTTTCCGGTCCAAAAAAATTGCGTTGAATTAGTACTTTTTTTGGAAAAATATCCGTTTATATATATGTATGCATAACAGTTAACTGCAAAGTTTATGTAATATGGTAAGTAAGGTATTGTTTCGTTCACAAAATCGCTTCCATTGGATAAAAATACCGTAAAAGGCCATGTCACTTTACAATCTACCAAAACATATGCCTGCGTTGATGATGGCAGTAGAAATCACTCTTCCCATTACCAGCTATTGTAGTTATTGTCCTCCTAAACCATCGGGTAAATATCTCAGTAAGTAAGTATTGTTGGACGAAACTCTGAATCTGAATGACCAGCCGCTCCAATGGACTTGATGGCAGAATATGCATCAACAACAATCACTTAACAAAATCGAACTAGTTCTTTGAACATACTTAGTTGCAATAGTTTGGTGTAAGCCCAGCAGGTGTTTTTATGGTTGTGTGTTAATTGATATTTCGTTATTGTTAATTTGTTAAGTCACTGCATTGGAAAACGCTGCTTTAGTTTTCTTGGTTAATAGAATGTATTCCTTACCATGGACCCAGGTTTGCCGTAGTCGCCTGGTCGACCTCTTATTCCCATTGGACCCTATTCAACAACAGTAAACTTCGAATTAATGGATAAAACTCTATAATTAAGTGTCACTTTTACTAGTATACATTAATGATAGAAAGAACAACAACTTAAGAAATAAATGAATGAAACATATATTTTAGACAATAAGTTCCAACATTAACTTTTAAGAATGAAATATATGTATCAAGTCAGACGAAGACAATGCTAGAGCAATAGTTAGTGAGAACCTGGATTACTTGGTTATCATTGGACATGTACTTACAGGCAAGCCCATCGGCCCTGGATCTCCTTTTACTCCTTTCTCCCCCTGAAATATATATGTGTAGTGTAATTTGTGTGTTGCAGATTTAATTTAAATGATATTTGTTTAAATACTCACTGGCTCTCCTTTAATACCGTCCATTCCTCTATCCCCTTTAATTCCAGGAGGTCCTTGCAATCCTGGAATTCCTGGCGTCCCTGGAGGTCCTGGGGGACCAACCACCTAAAAGGAAGATGATTTAAATTTTAGTTTCAATTTAAAATTCTCTGAATGTACCCCTAATTCTTTTTACTGTACTTACCACTTCACCTGCGGAAATAATTTCGCCAGTGCCGTCTCCCTGGAACAGTGTAGAAAAAATAAAAAAAGACATTGCCGTTATTAAAATTGACGCACAAAAATGTATGCAAGGATTCCATATAATAAAATTAGAAAAAACAGTTACCTGTCGTCTCCTTAGCTTCTTGTATTTCTATTTGAAAAGAAAAGAAAATAGATTAGAATCGTTGAATGTAAACCATTATTAGAAAATAAAAGATAATATAATAAAAATACTTAAATGCGCAATAAAAATATACAAGGCGATTTATCAGGATCTACTGTATAATATGGTGGCGTGTACCTACTTAAGATATGGCAAAGAATTAATATTCGAATTTGTTAACTCAGGGTAAATACCAAGATTTAAAGTTTTTAAATAAAATAGAAATAAATAAATAATCCAGACAGGAACGATTTTTATTAGGAGCGAAACCTTAGGATACGAAACCTCGCACCGCACCTAAGACATTCAATTAACTATTATTTAGTGATCAGACTGAAAGGATTTCTTTAAAACGTAATTAGGTGCTTTATTATTTACACCTTTCTCGAAATAATTTTTTCCTTCGATAAAGGTTATGGTACTAACCAAATGATTCTGGTAGATTTAAGAAGTACTAATAATAATGGATACAATTCAAAAAGCTTTTAGTTGATAATTTAGTACTTTTTTTTATCATCTTCTTCATTTGTTATGCTTGATCGCCCGAACGTTAGCGATTACTGCGGACAATGCGTCTTTTGCAACCTTGAACAGATCTGCAGCCTTATTGATGACTGAACAGATGTTATACACTCTTATTACTTTGTCTGCTGATAGGACAAACGGTACTTGACTAATTTTTTAATAGTCTAATCTATTACTAAACAATAAATTTAAACACCATTAATTCACAATAATATTAATCGCTCCGAATTACGAAAGAAAGCGTCTCATCAGTACAACTACCTTTTCTATCAGTAGCACACAAAGGTTCTTCTTTTTAAGAAAATCACTAATTACTGAATTAGATATTTTCCAAAGATAAAAAACATTATAAAAAGATCTACACAAATTGTTCAACCAGTTATTTAGTCGTTCGGCAGTTCTATTGAATAACATTTTCATTTTAACGTTTGGCCGTGATCTTCTACAGCTAACCATCTACGAAAACTTCCAATTCGTTCTAGAAAAAAAATAATACACATCTAAACAGGTATTTGCAGATCGGTGTCGACAGACAAATACTTGCTTCAGTTTTACTTAATGATGATTCTCACTTTAGATGGCATGGCAAGCATAAAATTAAATTGTACATCTTCACTGTCACATGAATTTTAAACCTATTTTGTGATGAAATCGGTGGAAACAGTTTTGAAAAAACATATCTTTATTTTTAAAGTATAATTCAACGTGAGGGCTTTGAAGTTAAGAAGCAACTGCTTGGGAAAAAAATAAAAAACAACGCACACTAACTTGCTCTTCGTGCACTATCAGCAATGAATTAGGCGAAATTGCATTATGATTATTAATTATCTGACACTTATCAACATATAACTCGCGTATTAATGTCCTCCGGTTAATTTTGTTGAAAGGTTTTTATTCGATAGACAGATTTAAGCCAATCGAAAATTCGAAAGAGATGTAATTAGATCAAGTGTGAGTCAATGTCCGCAAAAGGGTATTCTATTTGTGTGCTATTTCTAATTCTTATAATTTAATGTGTTGTTATCAGTAATAAATAGGCTGCAGGTTTTAAAAATATATGGCAAAACTATATATCATGACTATTTTAAAATTGTGTTCATATATCGCACAAAAGTTACGTAGAGTTAATTGTGTTTTTGTGTTCTTACCGATTCGCCTTTTTCTCCTTTCTCGCCTTTTTGTCCAGGATAACCTGGTGGACCCGGCAATCCTGGTGGACCCATTAGACCAGGAGGTCCAATGTCTCCGTATTCACCTTTTTCGCCTTTTGGACCAACTAGACCCTACAATTTACAATACCGATTAGCAAAACGCAATATTCTAGAGGTGGCAGGTGTTAGTTTATAAAAGTAAATAACGTCATACGGGTAATCCTGGAGGTCCCTGTGGGCCTGGTTCGCCGTTAGCACCAGCTTGTCCTGCGGGTCCCATTAAACCCATGTCACCTTTGGGACCTAAATATAAATTTCTTTAATCGTTTTCTTTTTAATACATGCCTGTGGTTCAGTTAATTATCTCAAATTAAGTTAAGTTGTTGCATGTACCAACTGTATTTGTTTATTTGTTAATTTAAACGATTTTTCCGATACGCGGTATTCAATGCCTGGCGCCTTCGTCATAACCTCGAACCAGACTGGCAGAATGTAATTTTTAAAAATTTTTCTCTTAGTAAGTTTTAATTATGTAAGAAAAAATTGCTTTCTTGTAGTACCTGGAAAACCTGTAAACCCCCTATCGCCCCTGTCTCCTTTTCGACCAGGATCCCCTGCCTCCCCTTTATCTCCAGGTGGACCCCGCGATAGTACCGACCCATCTTCTCCCTAAGCAAACCACAAAAACATCAAATACATAGCTTCATATTTTGCTTCTCGAAATTTTTGATATGGGGGCACTTGTCTGATTTTCCAAAACGAAATTAAATATTTACAATAACGTGCCACAAATTGAACTCAAACTACGTGTAACAACTAGATCATAACTTCACAAAATTCTACAAAAACTCGATTATCCAGAATAATATTATCATTAAATATTTGATCTCCACCTTTATGAGAAATAATTATTTTCGGTATCATATGACGCATTAGTTTAATCCAAAATCGAACTTGAAAGATCCTGTATTTTTTTATATCAGGATAATCGAATCTGTTGAAAATAAAAGGACTAAAACAAAAATTAAACCAATTTTGGAATAAAAACAAAATACATATCAATTTATACTAAACTATTTTCTTTTTTTGTAGATTAGTGCAACTGTATTCTATTTTTTATTAGAGGTATGTTGAAATTAAGTAAGTAATAAATCAAGTTAGGTACACAAAATTTTAGTCACTAGTTTTCAGATACTATAAATATAGATATCAAAGACTATATTCATCGTTATTTCGCCATTTAAAATTTGTTCTTATCAAAGTAGTGCTATGAAAATTTTAGGGTGTTAAAATGGAATGCGAAGAATGAATTCATTCTGTAATTTAATGTTAGGTATATAAATAATACACAATGAAATGTTTTAACAAGTAAATACAAATATGCTAGTGCTGTATACAAAAGACAAAGTTCTTTAGTGCAATGATTGCATAGATGACCCAAAAACGTTTGCATTAATTGCACCAAAGAAACAATAACTAAGTAATACAATAAAGTTAATTGCAGTGCTCTAACTAAATAAAAAAAACATTAAACGAAAATTTCATAAAGTAAATCAAATACTCACCTTAAGTTTAGTTCGCAAATACGATACATAAACTAATATATATTTCAATACATATTTAGTAACCTAAGATGTGTGCTCTGAAGCGGCTAAACATGCAAACTGTTTCAGTCGAACACAAATACTTCGGACACAAACAAGGCAGTAAACATGCAAGAAACGCAACTACACAAAATAGCATACGCCGTAAAAATAAAAGGAACATTCCATGCCTAAATATCCCCATTTTGTATGAAGCTATGCAATGAAGTGTGTAGTTTGGTTAGGTTTGTCCAATGATGTTGCGACATTATTGGCTATTTCTGACAACTTTTTATATTCAAATGGAATCCTTTAACTTTACTTGAATTCAGAGGAAAAATAAAAATTTATTATTCGACACGTTTTCGGGCAAAATCTGCAATTTAGTCACCATAATCGTAACATTATTGGCAATAGAAGAAAAGAAGGTTAATATCATACGTTACCCTTTTACCCCTTCTGCCCCGAGCTCCTTTTTCTCCAGGGGCGCCAGGAGGTCCAACAGGTCCAGCTTCACCTTTTTCACCTTTTCAAGAAAGAACGTTTTGAAGAGCTATTTTAATTGCATCGAAATTCTTTGGTTAAAATCTGATACTATTCACAAGTAATATCGACGAAAGCATTTGTAAAGCTAACCTGGCGGACCTGGTGGTCCAGGAGGCCCTTCGATGATACCAGTGGGAAATTTCACATCTCCTGCTATCGTCGTTGTCAATCCTCGTTCGCCCTTATCGCCTTTGTCACCCTGAAAGTTAAATTGTCATTAAAAAATATTACCTGTATTCGGTGCTTAAAACAGAAAGGCATCTCATAAATTCCAACACCTTCGACGCTCAGAATCAATAAAGTAACACTGAAACCGAAGCCAACGGAGGAAAAAATAAGCGACCCAGCACTACCGAAAGTATTACACCATGTACCAGGAAAGTTAACCACCAAAGATCGCACAGAAAAACCATTTCCCATGAAACCATCAAATGTTTTCACTTACTCGATCACCTTTGCTACCATTCCTGCCAGGAAGGCCCTGTTTTCAAAAGAGTTAAATTTAGTAAACTTTATGAGAGATTCAAAGAAATAGAGAGTATTTTGGAAGACGATTATAACAAACTATAGAAGAAAATGTCTCACTGGTAAACCCATATGTCCCGGAAGACCCGGATATCCTGGCAATCCCAGCTTCCCTATGGTTCCTTTGTCTCCCTAAATAAGGAATAAGAGTAAGACGTTTTGTATCAATATAACCGATGAGCATAAATGAGAAATTAGAATATAAGCTGGTCTATCGAAATAATTTTGATTATCAGTTGCCAACAAATTGTCGCAATATATGGTGGCCCAAAGTTAACCCCACATGTGCATAAAACCCAATATCCTTTCAATAACAAGTAAGTAATATTAGTCATCAGTCATTAACGAACCATGTGAAAAATGATGAAAATATGTTCTGAGTTATACATAACTTTCGGAAATTCACTTGTAGGCAATAAACTTGCAAGTGTCAAAATCAAACTGTTTAAGTTATATAATAAAATTTCCCGTTTCAACTACCTTGGGTCCAGTAAGTCCATCCAATCCAGGTGGTCCAGGGGGTCCAATAGGACCGGGTTCCCCTCGCTCTCCTGCAGCACCCGGTTCTCCAGGCATCCCCTGTCTCCCGTCATGACCTGGAGGCCCTTCTGGTCCTGCTTGTCCTGGAGGACCTGGAGGTCCGGGCTCTCCTGGTTCACCCTATACAAGCAAATGTTTTTTTGTGTAGATACATGCTTTAAAAATAGCAAGGAGAATTTAATTTTTAAAACTGTTTAAGGTCTCTGAATGCTATGAACAGGAGAACAAATCTATTAATTCATGATTAGTAAAAATCATTTAGCAATGCTTTATTAAGTAAAAGTTTGTTGGTTCTATTCATTCCAAGACAAATGTATTAGATAAGTTTTGTCAAATAAAAGCACAGAAGGTTATATTTGGGCTTTGTTCGGGTTTTGTTATTACAAATTATTATAATATAAATATTTATGTACAACAAATTTTATTTGATCTATTAATTCGGTCGTAACGTGAAATTGAACCTTTCAGCACATGCATTAATCAATTTTTGTAAAATTAATATTGCATTTTTCTGCTTCTACTTTGTTTTTTTCTTTTTTCAATTATAGTTATATAGGTTATGGATGTTAACAAATAAAATGTTTTAAATCAAATTAGTACACAGAACATGCAAACATGCAACTAGGTATATGTAGGGCATGGCAAAATTTTGCTAGTTAAAATTGGATTCGGCATAAAGTTAGGTAAACCAAAACTGTTACGAACTTCCCAGGCGTCTACACCGAACAAACAAGTGGAAGTAAATTATTTCAACATGGCAAGATACTGATCATTTAAGTTCCTCAGTTCGTCCGAAGTTTTGAACGGTTAAATTTAAGAGGGAAATAAAAAGTATTTAGGGTTTTAGTATTTTTCAATTCTCAATAAAAACCGGCTGCCACAAGAAACTTCAAACTATTTTAAATTATAAATTAATAAATAATTAAATAAAATTAAAAAAAAAGGAGAAATCGTGCCCTAACATATTCTACATAAAATGTAACAGAATACAGGGTGTGCCATATTTTAACAATTAAAAATTTGCAAATTGCAAATCTCATGAGTTTTAGATTTCTACGGCTACTATGAAGTACCTAAAAACTCATGTCAGCAAGATCTAGAAATTACTAATTTCACAAGGTGTGAAAAAACGTAATGTCAACATAAAAATTTGCAGTTAATTCTCGAAAACTCTTCACAGAATGTGATTTTACTTACTTAAATCTGATGCCTGGTCAAGTTTTAGAATTCCGATCTAAACCTAATTCACTTTCCCGTATTTTTCGTTAAATTTTTATACACTTCGTATGTTACTGATTTCGAATAAATTGAAAGTATGTGGGCAAAGTGAAATATGATTATCATTTGCTGCGATTTAAAACTAATTAATGGTCGCAGAACAGGTATAGTATACAACACATTGATAAGGTTTCTCATACTTTACTATTTTGGCTCAAGCAAATTTTTTAAATAGACGCTATGAGGAAGGAATATTTTATGCCCATATATTTTAACAGAACTCAAAATGTGCGCCACCCATATTTTATTAAATTTTTACCATATAGCGAAATCATGTTTTTGAGATATGCCGTTCGCAGAATTTCTGTACCTTTTTCCTATACTTAGGGAAATAATTAATAAATGCTTAGTTTCCGATCAAGTTTAGTTGGAAAGGTCTTTACCTGAATTAGTTAGGAATTTTGTTTGTAGTCTGCACGAAAAATAACAATATAAATTTTTTGAAAGCACCCGAAAAGGAAAACCGCCATGAATTCAGAAAAGTTATTGAGTACTTACTTATTCCAATTAATTCAAATTTCCTTGTTCCTAAGAAAAAGATCTTATTAACGCTAGTTTACCTTCGTTCTACAATAAAACAAAAATTTTTTACATCGAAGACAAATCGAATCGATCGAAGATCTATCTACCACACAGATTTTAAGTAGTTTATGTTTAAGAACACTCACCACATGCTTATACGTGCACCTTCTCATTTAAATTTGAAAATTATCTACTAATTGTATTTACCTGAGTACCGTAAATTTCGTATTTAAAATAAGCCTTTATAGACCAAGTGTGGAAGAAGTGGGCCATTAGAAACCAAAGTAAATAAGGATTCAAGCAAAGAAAGGTAATGGTTAAATGACAATGTTAAAGTAACAAAAATAAATAAAAAAACTAACTCACTTTTAATGTGATGATAGTTTCCCCGGAAATGTTATGGCCCCTTTCCTGAAGCCCCTAAAAATACACTAGTGATGAATAAACAAACGAATGCTACTCGACCAAAGACACCGGGTGCATTAATTTACAGTACAGGCTACGGTTGTATTTTGTCGAACGAAAGCTGGAAAACACCAAAATAAAACATAAAAACCAAAACGCCAAATATTTTGCAACGATGCTTGGCATTTCGGATACAGGTCAATATGTACATTCGAGAAACAAATACTACACAAAACGGGTAATACGAGTATCTACAATTATCTACACAACGAATGCAATGCGCGCTGTCGGTGCCGGTCTCACCTTGACAGCGACAATTTCGGCGTACCCCAAGGTTCCGCCCCGTAGCGTGGTCACTGATCTCTTAAGGCCCTAAAAGGAATTTGTACAATGTTACGCAGTAGATGTTGGGTTGGATGCTCTATACATATTTACACAGCACATACACCATAAGCCTACAATTTTTACTGAAGGACAAATGAAAACCACATATTTACAAGTCTGGATTCTTCCTGCGTCGGTTGTTGGCAAATGGAACTTGCTGTGGATTCACCAATAATCCTGTTGACTTCTTCAGAGCTTAACTGGAAACGAAGAATCTGAAGAAGCCAGCAGGATAATTGGCGAAACGCCAGGGAGTTCGATTCACCAACGACGCAGGAGCAGTAGCCTGTGGAAGTTAATTTGAAAAGCATAATGTTTTTGCTTTCCGAAGTGATACCTAAGTAATACTAGTTATATTGGAATATTATGAAATTAAATAACTTAATCAGAAAAAGAAATTTAAAATTCACCTTTAAAATGCTATTGAAATTCGAATTATTATTGAAGTATTTCATTTTACACAAAAAATTTTACTTAGGCATTATTCTCGTATCTGGGATGTTTGGAAAACATAGAGGAACACTTATTCTCTGTGGAAATAAAGAAGGCGGCTGCAAAATGCTAGTTTGCGTTTGTGACAGAAGTTGAGCACTTTCAATGACTTTAATTTTTTTTTCGTTTCGGTGTCCTATTATGGACAATAAGATGCGGTATTAGGGAAACAGACTAGAAATAAAATAAAATGAGTGAATCGGCCAATTGTAATCTTGAATTTTTGCAAAAAATTCTAACGTTAACCATAATTAATTATTAATAATTAATGAGATTAGGTACGCGGACCACACTGTCATTATGGCCGAATCGGAAGAACACCTACAAATATTGATGAACAGACTGACCAAAGTGAAGGTTTAGAGATAAACACCACAAAAACAAAGGTTTTTGGACCCAGCAAAGATAATGTCAATACTCAGATAACTGTCAAAGGCGAAATTCTGCAGAATGTTTAGAGCTACATATATCGGGGCAGGGAACTGAATAGCCATCTAGACCACTCAAAAGAGATCAGAAGAAGAATTGAGTTGGCTCTTGCGATCTGCTGTTCGACTGACAACTCTGAAATCTATATACGCTGTTGTACGCATGCGAAACATGGACATAAAAACAAGAAGACATGAAAAAACTTAACGCATGAAGAAGTTCTAACAAGAGTGAACACCTGCCCGCTTTTGACAGGCTCATTAAATCAGAAAAACTTGCTACCTTGGACACATGATGCGCCATGAACACTATAAACAATTGTAGCTCATCCTGGAAGGCAAACACACACCATTGGTAATACACTACTTCATGAAGCCCACAAAGACTTTGCCATATTGGTCGCCAACCTCGCGAGAGAAGGCACATAGGAGCAGGAACCATAATTAACGTTTTAAAGCTGAAACAAATTTAATCCTTTTTTGTTTGATGCTGTTTGCTTTATCTTTGCAAGGAAAGTGATGGAAGCTTTGAAACATTTTGTTAAATAATTGTCCATATCTTCATTAGATAGTCAAATAAGAACCCAATAAACTTAGCAAAAATTGCATCTCAATCTGTTCATCATAAGCTGGAATACGATAAACAGAACGCTAATTCATTATTTACGTTGCCAAATGTTACTTCACACCAAAATAATTTTTTTTTGTCGTTTACTTTTTTGTATAATAACTTTGCTTCGCAAAAATTATAACGTTTTTAATTCATTTTTTATTATCACTAATTTTTTCTTTAACAATTCGGTTTTACACATTCTTCTACTTAAAAATAAAACCAATTTTGAATGACAAAATAATTGGTAACACCAAATATTTGAAAACTGCTAAGCATGTCAAAATCCTTCGAACGTTTTGGAAAAAAAGTAATGAATTAATTAAAAAATAACATTCTATTGTGGATAAGGTGGATAATTTTCCCAAAATCTACCTTTTTCGAGAGTAAAGTTTTTTTATTCATATCTTTGCATTTATACAATTTCCGGAACATTATTTTTTTTTGCGATTACGTCAGAAAATGCCACCTCAATCGCGTCACTCATAGCACGATTAATAGTTTAGGGAAATTCTTTTTGAACTACTCTAAAGGAGTTTATTAAAATGAATTAATCCTTTTTGGAGATATAATTATTTATTTTAGATAATGTTCGATCAATCCCGCCACCTTCACCTTTATCACTTTCTTGCAGAGGTAGAGCAAACAGCAATAAACAAAAAAGGTTTCAATTTATCTCAGTTTTACAGTACTGACTCACTTTAATGGTGGTTAACATCAGAATTTTATAAAACAACCAAGTTTTAAAATTCAATAACAATAACAATTACGCCCTCTGGTGGGAATTTCACAAACTTGGAAAAAAAGATTCTAGGACTGTCCGTTTCCCTCATACCGTATCTCATCCTTACTGAGGACTCGGTATAGGAAAATATATCCAGAATTAATATCGCCCAAGAAGACCAGTGTGTTTTTGGAATGGGAATGATTTGTCGTCAATAATTAGATTGTAACAAATTCCTTATCTGCACTCTACTTCAACTAGCCAACAAGCTATATGCAAAAAATACATAACTCAACTGAAAAATCTGGACTCACCCTTCCTGGCTGCTGTTAAAAATGGAATTAATGAAAATAAGCTTATTTACGGGACATAGGTTATATTAATTAATTTATTTATACGTAGTGGTTCAAATCTTGCAGTTCAGCTAAAAAACAATTTTATGAAAATGTATTTAAAGATTTTGAACCACTAAGTATAGTGCAATCTATGGTGCAATGGAAAATACTTGATTAAATTTGTAAACATTTTTACACTAATGGCCAGCCAAAATTAGCAAAAACTAAGTTTATCTAATATAATTGTTTAAAATTGTATTATTTTTGGTAATGAACTTATAGAAACGAAATATACAGCGTGTCCCAGAGAAAACGAAATAAAGCAATTTTTAGTTCTGACACAAAAACTGCCAAACAGGTCAAATTTATTTATATTTTAATTATATTGATTTATATATTTTCCAGTCCCTAAGTAGGAACACCTTTACTGTTTTGAAATGGAACAGAGAGTCGAATCTTTCAAAAGATTGTCGGAATTTTGGAAATTTTGTGTGAAATTGCGCCTACAACGAAAAAATTAACTTTTCAAGGTGCTGCTCGGCCGGTTTTTCTAGACTTTTATACTTAATTTATGTGCACAAGAGATTTTTAATTAGGTAATCAAAATTGGCTTCAGGTTTGCGAAAAAAACTGTAAAAAATTTTTTTCATTCGGAAACGTGCTTAACAATAGATTTTTATTGTAGGATTGATAAAAATTTAATAAACCGTCGAAAGTAAAACAACTCTCAAAATATGCAAATATTTTAAAAATTACCTTTACAGCCTGTAAAATATCAATTCCTGCGCTTCCAGTTTGGCCCTTTTGACCCTTTTCTCCAGGAGGACCCTAAAGAAAGTCATGTTTTATGTAGAAGTAATTTCAATATTTTAAAATACTTACCGCTTCACCTTTCGGTCCATCTAATCCTATAGGACCCTTTATAAACAGAGAAAAAACACCGATAAGTCATCCGAACCATTACGTAATAAAATTGAGAGGCCAAAGTTTGCTTGTTGCTTTAAGAAAATTTGAAATATGAGGGTTTTAAACTTTGACCTCTTTACCTTGGTGGTTAGTAGAAGTTGCTAATGCGAGTTAGAGTAAAAAAATATGTACTAATATTAATTGGATACATTTGATGCTTTCATGAAATCTACGTGGTTTAAAATGCTTCCGTAGAAAGTACAAAAAACTGCAATATTCCCACCACCAAAAAGCTGTAAATTAAATGAAATTGTCAACAAACCGGAAATCCCGGGAAGCCGCGCACCCCTGTCGGTCCCTGCAATAGATATTTCGAATTCATTTTGACTTTGGTACTTCACGAAAATGTCGTTTTGATGCGATCGCTAAACTCAAGTCCAAATACAAATATTTAGTACGTTGCTAACTAAATAAATAAAGCCTTTTTAAAAAAAATATTTATTACAAGTTTTAAGCATAATAGAAGACGATGATGTTGTGATAACTCAGAGACGCTTATTGATATTGGTCACCTATATTTAGCTGTGATTTGATAGCTTTGAATGGATACATAGAATTAATTTTGTAAGCAGAGCACATGAGGTATCCAACGATTTGACATACAGTCAAAAACATCTCCGTGCACATAGCATTTTTTCAATTTTCTTTTAGTTTCTTCTTTCACTCACATTTAATGAGACACATATTTCAAGTAGATATCGCCAATCGACAATTTATTTGAACGATAAAAAATAAGGCAGTTTTAGAAGCAAGAAACTATGTTAAATAAGTCTCCATATACTTTAATAAATCACTATTCAGAGCTGGAGGTAGAACCGTTAATTATCAATATTCTATCTTGTATCAAATTTCGCTTAAACAAAATGAGTTATACTTGTTTATTTTTGACGCCACTTTTAAGTCAGTGGTTTTGAAGTAAAGGCAAAATGAGCGCTAAAAATTGCGAAATTCCAATTGCACTTCAAAAAATCATAGTAGATTTATGGCAAGGGAAAAAATACTTTACAGATGTTGGTAACAGTATGTAATAAATCAATACAAATCTTATAAATTGCGGCCATCGATCGTTCCAGGAAGTTAACTGCTCGAGAAGAGCCTTCTGTTGTGAAAAAAAAAATAGAATTAATTCTAAAACAAGCGCCCTTGCAGACGAAATCAGGGAAGAGTTATCAAAAAATTTTAGCCCTTAAACGATTAGAAACTGCCTGTATCGAGCAGGTTATAACGGCCACGCTGCCACAAGGAAACCGTTAATTTCGAAAAAAAAAACGTTTGGAATTTGTCCGAAAACACATTAGGAAAAGGTTATCTTTAGTGACGAAACAAAAATTAATCTTTTTGGGGCAGATAGTCGGGATCGAGTTTGGAGGAAAGAAAATGCAGTTCTGAAAATCGAAAATGCGGTGAAACATGGTGGAGGTAAAGCTTTAGCTAAAGGTCAGGCAATTTAGGTTTTATTGACGGAATTATGGACCAACTATTTGAACATCCAATTTTGAAAAAATTTAAACCAAAGTGTTGAAAAACTTAACCTTGAGGGGCGTTATTTATTCCACCAGGATAACATAACGACCGCCAACAACATACACCACCACAATCTCCGGATGTTAACCCGATAGAGCACCTGTGGAAAGAATTAAAGCGACGAGTGAAAAAACATCAAGTTAGAGTAAAGAAGACCTGAAAAATACGATAAGAAAAGAGTGGGAAAGCATATCGTCAGAACCTACAAGAAAGCTTGTTTTAATTTCTCCGAAAAGACTGAATGCCATTATTAAAGCAAATGGCAATTGTACAAAATATTAAACTTTAAGAAACCTTTCAATTTATCATAAGAAATTATTTGACTTTTTTTTTTGCTTTTAAAGCTGCTTTCTTTTTTATCGTTTAAATAAACTGTTTCAATTGATTTTTATTTTATTTTTACTTATATTTACTTGAAATATATTTCTCATTAAATGTAAGTGAAGGAAGAAACTAAAAGAAAACTGAAAAAATGCTATGTGTACGGAGACGTTTTTGACCAACTGTTGAAGTTTTTGGTCAAAAATTACTCAAGAAATATTGTTTTAAAGGTTGCAATAATTACGTTGTAAATGAAATATAATTTGGCATGGCCAATGAAAACAGCTTTAGCAATGACATCTCAAAAAGGCCGTTTGCAGAAGTTATGGTACTAGGAAATTTGAGTTTAACGTCCATTAAAACTAGATTGTTCACATAAATGGGTTACCACGTCCTTAGTTCTACGTGAATCAGTTAGATGAAACCGGAAGGAGTTAATTGCTGTTGAACAGGGCTCAACGAAGGGCGTTTCAATGCCTGGGTTAGTTACTAAATGTTATAACTAGCTAACTAAGTTATAGTTTCGTAATTTAAATTCAAGCTGCCGTTATATTAATTTTAATACTTAATGGCAAACTTAAAAATATAAAGTGAAAACACTGTCAGTTGGAAGCAACATTGGGCGGAAAACATTTGCTGACAATTTAAGCTAAAATAATTTTTACATTTGCATTTAAAGTTTGTACTAATATATTTAGATATATAAATAGATATATAAATAAATAAATAAAATAAATATTCTTCTCCTTCCTCTGTTTCCGTCAACTTTTTCCTGAATAATATACACGGTATTTTGTTGCGTTCCTTATTATTTAATTATTTGGGAGAGTTCAAAGGCCTGCACTCTCTGTTCCGTTTCCTCCATAATAAATATTATTTTCTTCCTAATCAACATGTCCTGCTACTCAATCTAATAGTTTTTTCTTTCCTTTTTTCGTGCAAATTAGTACAAAATAGTCACTAAAAAATGCAGATTTATTTCGATACGGCCCTGCTGTTGCTTTCGGTTTAAGAGAGCGGATAATTGTTGCTTGCAAAATTTCCAGAAAATAGTGAGCAACGCAGAATGGAAAAAGAAACAGGCGAAATTTCAATATAATTAAATCAATGAAGAGAAAAAAGAATTCCATTTGGGAAACACCACTTGTTGCTAATTACGACCTCTCCAAGTTAGAGACTACTGTTAACTACCGTCGTTAATGAAAAGCCACAATCCAAAAACCATCATTATTCTTACCCGGTAACCCATTTCGCCTTTCTCACCCTTGTCACCTTGTATACCCTGGAATATTAATCGAGGCTCAGATTTTACACATAGTGTTTCCTAACTTTGTTCGTAAAATTATAGGTCTAAATAGTAACCAGGAAGGAAAAAATGTTTAGAAAACGAGTGCATTTCATTTTTTGTTAGTATTTCGTTAATTGTGAGTGAGTGGGCAAATTTCTTCAGAAACTCTATAAAAATTAATAGATTCTATGCCTAGCCTTCGATGGTCGAGGCTATGCTCAATACTAAAAATATTAAATCACATGTTCAAAAATATTTTCCAATAGAATAATATTTTTTCATATTTATTTTCATATTTTATTTGAAAATAAAAAATGAATTTATACCAAATTATTTTTTTGTAAAATGAATAAATACCGTTTCAAAAACATTATAAATATAGAAATGTAGATATGCTCATAATATTAAACAGTTTCCATAATTTTTTCACCACTGTTTATGCTACGTTTTCGTCTGAAGATTAAGTTCAGTCCCCATTTTGCTTTACGAACAAAGCTAAGAAAGACCCTGTAAAATTTACGAACGTTTCAGTTAACGTTACTGCACCCGAACTTAAGTATGTCACAATGTCTATTTCCCGAAGAAATCCACAGAATAACAACAACACAGGACATCCATGGATGGAAAATTCAATTTGAACAAAGAAATTTTATAACTGCAAAGAGAAATAATTGCTTCAGACCAACATCCGATTTAAATGCTCAATTATCAATTACAATGTTAATCAAAAGGAGACGCTTTTGAGCAAAATGTTGTCGCTAATTAAGAACAAGATTTTAATAATTATACCAGCAAGTTGTTTTTTCTTTCAAGTAAGAAACTGTATGATTTATGAAAACTATTTGGATTTTTTATTGCGCGCGAGTCTGAATCGTTAATAGAATTATGTGTAATTTGGAATGCTGCAGCTTGCAAAAACCAGCACAGTTAATAAATTATCTCAAAATTGACTTGTCAACGTTTCAAAGTTTTTGACATTTCGCGAACCTATTAAAATTAATTTACCAATTAATATTAGATAAAATGAAACGATAAGGTAGAATGGTTTAGACCATAAACGAGAATGTAAATGAATATGCAGGTGTAGTTGGTGAATAGACGTGCGATCAGAAAAAACTAAAGAATTAACAAAAAAAAAACAAAAATAAATACCGGAAAACCGTTCTTTCCTGGCGTTCCTGGTGTACCCTAGGAAAAAATAAATATAATATAGTATAACTTCAAAAATAAAGTTAAGAAGACTAACATCTCACTCTATTGTACAAAGTAGATAAACAACTAAGTTAATTAGGAATAGATATCCATGCATTTCCCAAAAAACTACGCATGTACTAAAAATTTGAAAATAATTACCGCCGGGCCCGGCTCTCCAGGTTCGCCTTTTTTTCCTTTCTTCCCCCTTTTGCCGGGAGGGCCAGCTGGACCTGGCGGGCCTGGTGGTCCTGAAACAGAAACAAAAAAATTAATATGTGCAGAATTGAAAAACACACCCATGCGCAAAAATCCGTAATTTGAAATTAACGCAAATACTTAAAATTAAAAAATTAATTCCTTTTCATTGTTTGTCATAAAAATGCTAAACAATAAAAACCATAATCGTTTGAAAATATTGATTTTGTGTTAATACGATTTGCATAATAGTAATATTATACAACGAGTTTTCTACCCGATACTTTATAAAAGTTAACTTTATAACTTAATAATTTTAAAAATTATAATTGCATATTCTATAATTTTTCTACGATCATAACTTCAAAATAACATTTTTTAAATTTACCGAAACCATCCGATTACTTCCAACCGCTGACTAAAGTAGCTTACACAGTGTTTAATAAAATTGACGTTTCAAAGTGATATGTTGCACAGGTCTGATTAGTGGATCATCGAGTATTTTGGAGTAGGGATTAGAAAAACTAAATTAATCCTAATTGTGGCAAAATTAATTTGAATTAAATTTATTACCAAGAGTTCGTTTAAGTTTACTATGAAACGTTATAGAGTTATTGTTAAATTTATTTCTGGAAATAACTAAGAAAGGACGAGAAACTGTAGACAGTCAAAAAGATTGAAAACTAACGCCTTCTGTACATTGCATCCAATAATTTTTGAATTTTGTTAATTCGAAAAAGAAATACGTCGAAATTTAACAACCTCGTCGTCATCGTTGTCGTGTCTAATTGGACAGCCTCAACTCGAGCCAAGCAAAATAAAATTAAATCCTTGAGAAAATGAACGAGTTGGAGATTATACGTTATTCGGCGTATTTACGGCCTCAGCACAAAGATTGACCGAACAACATAATAGTCCTTTGACTTAGTTGCATTAACTCATTAAATCTTCTAACCGTGGAGAATAATGTGCTACAATGTTCGTTAAGGTGTTAAGGAAGTGCTATGCGGTTCTTATAAAGCATAAATTTGTAGTTCAAGCCCATCATCATTCCACATGCAAAGGAGGCATATATAACAGCACTGCTTTTCTTTGTGCTAAATAATCAGTAAGGAAAAAAAATATTTCCAAATTTTTAAATGTTTTTTGAAGATATGATCGATCGAAAAAAAAAACCTTATTATTATTATTATAAGACATCATTCACGGACGAGTCAGATTTTCTCCTTTACTTATACTTCGTACCATTTCAAGATTGCGAATTGCTGAATAAATGCAAAAAAACATGAAGACACAGATAAAAATGACTTATAAGAGAATATACTGGGTGGCCTATTAGAAGTATGTGACGAACAGATCAATGGATTTATGTTATGTTTATGTTACATGGTAATGTAAGAGAATGTTTTTCAAGTAAGCAGTGTTGCCGGTTCTGTATAAGCGTGGCAACATCTTGCTGAGTTTAAATGGCACTCCTTGTATATCATTTCATTGTTAGACTGGACGCAATAAACAAAGTAGATTTTGTTCAGGAGATCTAGAAATAGGGTTTATTGAGTTGAAATAGCACATCATGTATTTCATTTTATTTTGAAATTATAATTAAGAAATTAAGTAAATTTCGGTCAAGTTTCACTATACGTATTTCTTACTAGCTTTGAAATAAAAATTAATTTTCATGGCTTTTACGTGATATCATCATTGAACACCTATTTAATGTTGAATTGGCTTGAATTTTCTTTACTGTGCTGTAAAGGTTAAAACTATGTTATTCTTTTAACGTCTCCAAAAAACTGAGAAACTATGCAAACATTTAATGACACACACATTTTTAAAAGCGAAACAAATTATATTACTGAATATTTGAACTGAATTATAAACTTGCAAACTTAATCGGTATTACACAAAAAAAGTGACTAAGACCAAGGATAATATGTTCGGAAATTTTTATTTTTATTTGAACTGAGCTATATTTATATTCCTACGCTACTCTACATATTAAATGATCTATCTCCCCATCAAATTTTCAAAATTGTAAGAATTCGGTATTACGCACAGACCGTATAAATCAAGTTTTTCTGTTCCCCTTTTCGGGTTGATGAAGCAATATGAATATTTTAAGTCCTAAATGTCAGAGCCAAATGCTTTTATTTTATCACGTTTTGCGTATAAATGCGAAACGACGGACATTCTCTGGTTTCTTTATTTGAATCATTCTTGGTGCATATTAAGTTCCAACGTCTCAGTGGTGCGATAAGGATTTTTTTTCTTTTTCTTCTTTTGTCTTAAATGTGCCTGATGATAAAAAACAACATGTCTTCTACATTAGCTAGTATTAGCCTTAAAGCTGTCAAGATAAGGCTGGTTTAGATACCGCACCTCGACTGGACAACTATATTATCAAGCAAAGATGATGTATAAAGGACCATTAAATTTAAGGCGTGGGTAAGCAAATGGAAATAAACTAAATATTACGATACATTTTCGAACGTTAAAACTAGTTTTGCTGACGTTATTTCATTTTATAATTAAACTATTTTTTCTTAATTATAACCTTTATGACGAGAATGAATAATTTTTACTTTTACGAGGCTCAATGATACATGAAAAATAGTCGTATCTACTTATTAAACAAAATAACTGCCCACGCATTTAAAAATACCGTTTAGTTGAATCATTTGGTGTCTTAGTTACTGCGTTTGTGCGAATTCGTTTCCAAGCATCATTCGGATTTAAAATTTTACGTAAAACTTCTCTACTATCATTGCTTAAAGTGTATTCATTCAGTAGTAATAATAGAAACCAATCAAGCCATATAAAAGAGCAGGTCTAAATACTAATTCCCTGCCACTGTAAGTTATGTCACGAAAGGTTTAACAGTTTCCTAATTGGACCTGGACTGCCTTGGATGAAATTCTTTCAAGGCCCTTGGCAACAAGCTCTGCACGTTGAACTGATTTCTAAGATAGGGAGAGGCAGATAGTCTGCGTTAGCAAAAGCGAGTTAAGAAATTGATATAGTAAATTGTTGGATTACCTATGCGTTTACTATCTCAATATTGATGTTTTTATTTTTTTTTTATTTTCTGCCTATATTGATAAAATCTAGATTCGTTCTGGTTTAAGACGATCACAATATGGAATGGAACAACCAATGAAATTTCAAGAAGGTGCTTGAGAATGCTCGATTCCTTATCTAACGTAAGTGAGTTTTTTTGTAGTAGGATTTAATTAGCTTAAAGAAAAGGATATTTTCGGGTTCGCGTGTTTCAATTTTCTAAAGCTTCGCCTACATTGACTTATGAAAAACTCAATTTTTGAGACCATTGAGCTTTTTCGAAAAGAAAAACAAAGTAACACACTTGTGTGGGTGGTAGATCGAGCAAAATTTATAACGATAGGTCTCATTAAACACGGTAGACAGCTTATATCGTATAGTTCAGATAAAAGCACACCTCGTATGGTTTTTAAATCAGAGTCTGACTAATTTGCTTGCAGGACGAGTTCTACTCTTTATAAAACAAATTCAATTTGTTATCAGCTTCCCACATTATTTTAATTACTAAATCGATTTTCATTATTTCAATCACTTGTTCGAAGCACTTATTCCATTTTTCACAATCCACTCTCTTTATTCCCTTTTGCAATAGGGTTTCAACGTTCCATATTTTAAAGGTGGTGTGTTACTTGCACCTATAACAATTCTATCTGGTTTAATTCACAATATGGCACAAGTCGAAGTACAGTAATATTTCGTCTTGAATCGATTTTCCGTTTCTAATCAACCTCGTTGCTATAGCTTTTTTCAGAATGGTTTAGAGTAGTAATAATACATTAGCTATGTAAAAAAACTATAGAGTCACAGAGCCGTTCAACGAACACTTAGACCGCTCTTTTTTTACCGCAGTACTACCGGGGTTTTGGCTTTTGTGTAAACACCCATTTTTTTTAAACTTCCACAATTTACAAATCTTCATCGAAGCATTCTGAAGGCTTCTTGAGAACTTAACTGAAACTCAGTTTCAGGGCTTAACCGAACTTAACTGAGTTGCAGTTAAGTAGGATGACTGGTGAAACATCAGCAAGTTCGATGCATCAACAACTAACCAACGCAGCAGGACCCCAGAAGATTTGTAAATAGTACTGAAAATAGTGTTCCAAAGCCGGGACGCCTTCTCCTCTTCCTTAATGACATGCTGAACAGCTTTAAGCATTTTATTTCACAAAGTTTACCTATATACGCCTATTATGGCCGATACCGAAATTGAAGGATTTTCCTATCTTCTTATCTACTCTTTTCTGAAATAACCTATAGTGTAATTTGAGCTGCACCGCTGTCAAGAGTGCAGAACTAACCAAAACTAACCATCAGTAATTGCTTACGTTTTATCGACATTTTTAAATCTATCCCGTCTATATAGAAAACGCTAACTGACTGCCATAATGGACAATAAATTTAATATACATACTAAGTTCGTAACTCTCGGTGGATCGTTACCGTTATAAATAAGGTTGCTTAAAATAGGATGTCGCGTTTTAAAATTTTATGGCAAAATAGCACGCTAGGGGCCTCGTTCTTGTTTGAAGAGTAAATCAATAAATGTGTCATATTTACGAATAAAATTGTGGGGGAACAGGCCATTGTTTATAAAAGTGGTTTATATTCGGTAAGACGTAGCCAAGGCTTGTACATATCGGAACCTGACGCAGAACAGGGAAACACAGGGAAAAGCAAGGCTACGAAAGCGTTTGCTAACATATCCTGGTCGCTTGTCGAACGAAAGAAGATGCTTTGCAATGCTCAACGAGCCTATACCAACTTCTAATTGATTCTTGCCGGTAAACGTATTAATTCGGTACATTTTAGGTGTTGGTGTCTGTAGTGTGACCAGAAGAGAAACGCCTAGAATTGATTGATGTTTGTCACAAAATAGAGTTTATGTAGAAGGCACGCAATATTTTAATCAAATTATAAGCAAATCGGAAATTTCTTATCAATTTAAATATTGTTAGAGACTTGATAATAATAATAATAAAAATAACACTAGACCTAT